CACATTTCGCTAACCAGACTTGACAGAATTGATCGTATAAGATCAAGGCCACACTCATGGAATATCTTACTCTGCAAGCATATTCCGCATCGCCACTACAATCCCCTGCACTCGCACAGCATGGCGTCTTCACAGTACACTGAGAGACGGATGGGTAGTTTGGCTGCGGTACGTGAATCTCTTCCTCAGCCTGTATCGCAGGGTACAGTTGCTCGCGCTCCAATACACCTCCCTGAACTATCTTCTCTTGCTCCTTCTCCACCCAGTTCGGGCCAGGAGAGCACCACTGAACCACCCTCTTCCTTTCCCACAGCCTGGCATCCCTCCCACCATCCCCTTCCTTCCGACGGCACAAACTCCACACTGCGAAGATTCTCTGAAGAGGGCAAACACACCTACCTGAAGCTTCGCGAACAGAACACATACCATGAGAACGCTATTCTCGACACGTTCCTAATGAATTTACAGAACCCCAACTCTCGGAGTTCACCGCCCATCCAGCCCAACGAGCGTGGATATGCCGACAAACTTCCTTCTTTCTCAGAGGTATGACAACATTTCGTCCTCGCGATCTCATGGGCATACTGACGTGCAAGTTTCTCGACACAACGCGCGCGGATCACACGCCACCGCATACACCATCACGAAGACAAGGCTCACATGATGAATCTCCGGGTGGTGCGAGGCTTCAATTCGATGACATCCTATGGCAAGACAAAGGCCATCGTCGGATTGACACCCTCGGCGACATCTACGCACAAACCGGCCGTGCGAACGGCTCGGACGCGCATCCTCAGGACCACAGGCGCATGAGCAGCGTCGCTGATCCCACACTTACAAGGCGTAATTCGCCAGCATATGCACCGGCACCTACTCAACAGCACAGGCCAAGCTATTCTTACCCAGCGCCGCAGGTGCAGGCTGCATACACTACACACATGCGACACCACTCATCCCCTGCTCCACCGCAACAGCCTGTTTACCGGCACTCTCCATCGCATCAAGGCCTAGCTGCCCCTGGCGCATACCCTCCGCCCGCCCCACAAGGTGGCTCAGTTCACGTACACAGGCCAAGTTACTACCAAGAGCATGCACCTGCTCCAGCGTATGCGTACGGGACACCTTACGTGGTTGCAGCCCATCCAGGCTACGAAAATGGCTACGGAGAGGTCCGCTTCCAGCAGCATGTTGGTGCGGACCCCAACAATTTCAACAGGAAACGACGTGGAAACCTCCCCAAAGAGTCAACCAACATGCTCAAGCAATGGTTTTCGCAGCATAGGTCACAACCGTACCCTACAGAAGATCAAAAAATCGAGCTGTGCAACATTACGGGCTTGACGATGAACCAGGTACGTTCGATGTCCCTTTTGTCTAGTGTTTGACAACGAAGACTACATGTGCCAGTGTCACCTCTGCTCTGGATCGCTGTTGCTGTCTGTCGTCAATCGGTGTCAACTATTGTCACATGTACATTGCTAACAATCAAAAGGTCTCGAACTGGTTCATCAATGCCCGGCGCCGAGCCCCACAAAAAGAAGCACGCGAGCGTGAAGCCAATGGTGGTCGAGGAACAGAGGAGCGATAGGCCTAGTTATCCACTTCCAACCGGCCAACGTTGATTATGCTGCAGCCATGCAAGATGATTTCATGGACATCGAATCCGCCCAGGCCTCATCCCAACTTTAAGGCTAGTTGCATCGTACCACAACTCAACACTCTTCCATCCCCGGACTTGACGTAGCTGTCGATCACCACTTTCTTTCTGGGCATCGGTCTCCACGGGCGGATCTACCCTTTATTTCTTGATTTCATTTTGTCGTTTTCTGTTACCGCATGCATCACCAAACTCGATGGTATGCATGGCACGGCTGGATACAGGATGGCGTTCTGCAGCATCTGCATGGGCGCACTCTATCTTCAAAACAATACCCCTGGGTTGTACATCGGGTCTCCTTACGGACATTGGGAAAAGGCGTCTCGGCTTCTTCCCCGTCACAAGACGCTGGCTTTGGGAATTTCATTGTGTCTATTCTGCATTAGGTTGGAAATCGATGTGTTGCTATCGTCATTACCACTGTTGTCATGGTGAACCTCGTGCATGTGGACACCAACCTCCCCCCCACCCCCCCCCCCCCTCCGATGGAGTCCGACCGACGGCCAACCAAACAATGCCATGAGACCCTTACGTTTCCGCCATACAGGTAAGTTTGCCCCGTCTTTCGAAACCTTGAAACACCCGCATCATTCATGACGCACCCGCTGGCGTTGTCCAAATCCGGAATATCGATCTCCCAAGGACCTAACGAATGTAGTAAAAGCTCCTGCCAAGCTCCCACGCAAATTGCCCAAACCCCTCCATTTCGGACACATCTCCAACCTTTATGTGCTGAAACCTTGCAGCGGAAGACTTCTATTTTGGCGAAACATTGCGCTCCGGCGTTTCACCTGCCAAACCTTGTGGGAGATTTGACGCACAGCAAACGGGTGCTAGTGTAGTGCGTATATGCATGCATAGCACAAACGTTTGATGCGAAACATGTCAGGCTAGAAAGAAGACGCGTGATTGTCGGGGTTGCCGGTGCGAGATCGAAACATTGACGTCGGCTTTCATTTGCCGCGCATTGGGGCGGCGGTTTGGGGAATGACAGTTGCTGCTACGAGTATTGCGCGCCTCGAGGCGAGGGGTGTAGTTATCGTTTATTCACAAACTGATTGCATTTCCACATGGATTGTGTCTAGCGTTTTTGTGGTGCCCGTGAGTCTGCTGAGATTTCCTCGCCTGCAAAGCTACGCAGAATGCGTCGCTGAGTTAGTTGGACTCCATGCTCGAGGGGAGATCTCCACTGGGATGCGAGGGTGAGTTCGTGCGCACTAGGTACAAGGGCGTATGTAGTAAGAAAGCCGCGCGCGGGGTTCAGGGGGGAAATTGGTAGCGAGATGGGCGCGGGCCGGGATATGTCGGTCGGGACGATCAGTGATGTCTTTTTTTTCTTCTTTGCTATTTCGAGGGTTCGAAGGGATGGGGTGCCTTGCTTGCCTATTCGGCATGTTATTTGCCGCGATTTATGTGTGGGTGTTTAGCCTGGCTAGATAACATGTGATTTACTCTTCTTTCGCAACGACGTGGACTGACGAGATATCTCTCGCGATAGGATTGTTTCGTTTCGTTTTAGTTTGGTAAACTACAGATCGGATATATGTGCCCTGATGATAAGTGAGCCGGAGATTAGGAAGGCTGGGCTTTATGATCGACAACATATCACTCTTGGCGAGGTCTGAATCACACCGCAGTGGTGGAGTCACGATCACCGTTGCGCCGACGTGCGCTGGAAGATGCCGATGAAGTCTTGCGTTCCGAACCCGAGCTTCCCAGTCAGTGATCAACAATGGTCTTATCAGACCGTGCTGCCTAGACTACATGATCTTCAGCATGCTATGTAACATCAGCAGACCGAACCATATAATAGCAATAGTTAAGATCGCCATTACGCCGCTTGTATTGGAATTCGACACATTGCCGCCCTTGCAACAGTATACCGGCACACACTGTCAACGAAGGCCGTTTACAGTCTCAGTCCAAGTAAAAAAAAACTCGAAGCTGTGAAGCTGCTGTGAAAAGTATCGTATTGTCCTCCAGCAGCACCACCTCCTTGCCACGCGACAAAATGGCCTGACGCGAAATTCTATGGCTCACTTATCTCGACCATACCGCCGCGCACCGTGCCGAAGCCGGCCCGCATGCACGCAGCATCACGGACAGCGAAGAATGGTACGATACCTACTAGCTGCAATCTCGTAACTTCGTGTTGTGAGCTGTACAGAGAAGACGCATGGCATCGTTGACCGTTGCGTCGGCAGGCTTGGCGCATCATGAGCAAGTTCGGTAGCCATGGGTCGAGACAATATCCGTTGGCTTGGCTTTGCAGGAGTGAAGACATGGTGACGATGGACTTGCGTCAAGGGTATGCGCAACGGCATGTGACGAAGTGGCCGGACGGGTAGAGGGCAGTGATGTCCGACGGGGAACGGGAGTTCGCGATAGTCGTTGAAGTGCGGCCATTGGAAAGATGATGCAGCCATTTGGAGCTCAACGTCACAGCGTACCAGGTTTTGTGCTTCGGTGATGGTTGGTCGCTTTTATCAGGTGGTATAATCTTCCTTGGCTGGACGAGTCCAACAGTGTAGGAAGGTTTGTGGTCAGGTTGATTGGTTGTGAGGCCATGTGTAACGATCGACTGACCTCTCTATTTTCATGTAGACAACGTAGGTCGTTCAGAGTCGCGTATGTGAAATGCTCGATCGAGGCGCCATAGAGCAAGTTAGTAGACCTTATTTGAGGTAAAAAAGCAGTAAGAACTTTATGCTATGTACGCTTCGTGAGCCCATGGATAATAATGTGTACGTACGAGGGTATCTTCCCAAACGCCAGAACAATGCAAAAATAAACACTAGACATCACCGTCTCCCTTCCAAAAGCGCCAGCTTGGCCCCCGGGTTCTCTTTTTCGTATTTGGTGGCCATGTCGTAGACCACAAACCCCCACTTGTGCTCGCCGCTTCGATCCTTCGCCGTGCTAGGGCTATGTCTCAGTGGCAGGAACCAATCCAGTGGCGATTGGCCCATTGTGTCTCGCCATCCGTCCATCATGGTCCCTGACCACGGGTGCTGGAACTGCATGGTCTGCATGACAACAAACATGTCGCCTGTCCTTCCCCTGACTGTTCGCAACACCGGCCATTCATCGTCTCTTCCTTTGTTCACATCACTGTCGGACGATGTTGACGCTGTAGGTGGTATTGGCGGACCGGTAGGCATTGTCGTGATTCGAAAAGCAATGTTGGATACGCCGCCTCTTTGGATCGCTTCGACCGATGTGTAATTGATAGCGAGATTATAGCCTGTCATACAGCTCATGGTGAATGTGAAGATGCAGAACAAGACCCCAACAACCAGCGCTCCTATCCACGGCCCAGGCTTCGATCCAGTCTATCTTATAGTCAGCGGCTAGTGGTTCAGGTTGCTTTTTCCTGGAACTTACCTTGGAGCTGCGTTCTGCCAAAAAGACGGCGACTACGACCCAAACGTATGTCGTGTACAACGCTGCGTAGGAGACGAATTGCATGAAGAATTTGTGCGAATGCTCCGCAACAATGCCGCCAGCCCATGGACAGTAGTGGTCCATCTTTCTGACACAATGACCTAATTTCTTTACAGTGATGCACTCTGTCTGGCTTGAAGATGCGACACTTGTCGCAGAATAGGGGGGTGCCATCATAGTCGCAGATGTAAGCATCGTACTGCTCGATCGACGTCGAGTCGGCATCTACCTTCTCCTTCGTCGGCTCGTCGCGCCGAAGTATGTCGGACTTAGTCCATATGACTTGTAGTAGGCGCATCCATGGGATGAGGAGCACGAGGAGCAGTATCGCATAGACGACAATGAGTGCGATGCCCGTGGAGCGGCGCGGCTGGATCGCGAAGCTGTTGCGCAAGTCGGGCGAGGGGTTTATGAGGTACTGTATGCATATGAGGTAACAAAGGACCCAGGTCACAAATCCTATGGCTCCAAACTCTAGCAATGGCATGATTACAGACGTCGCCATCCCGATCTTCTGCTCCAGCGCGCTCGTGTTGTCGCGCGCCTCTGGCTTCTGCGAGCCAATAACGAGGGGCGCCATGATCGGAAGGAATATGGCGCGAGAGGCACCTTGCGATGAAGTTGGGAGGCGTGCCGGCGAGAGTGGTGAAGTTCAGCAGGTCGCACGCGCACGTCAAGGTCACGACGATCCACCATCTTGGTCATGCCAAGACAGGCTAACTTACCCATTGTTGGACAACAAGCCACACGCGACGTCACCTTCACGTTTCTCGCATTCAGACTCAACACCGACATGTCTATCGTTGACCATAACTCATCGACATACTGAATGCTTCACAACCCCAGTTGGCGACTGTAGCCGCGGTGATCTTGTAGTCAACTCGACAATTTTTGGTGCAGTCGAGATGCAGAAGCTAAGCAATAGGCCTGACTAACACATGCATGGCGTAAACATCGACCCCGCAACACCTCACCGACTCTCTTCAGCCCTGTTTTAGTAACCTATTTCCTTGTCTCAAATTCTTTGTTTCGAACGGCAAGAGGAGGGATTTGGAAGGGCTGTCAAGCATTCATGACATTGACACCGCAAATCATGCCGGGCGGTGAAGACTTCGTCTGAAGGAGGACCGCAGAGCTAGACCTACTTCTGTCTCACCGGCGATTTCTAGCTTCGTTCAGCCTTGTGCAGAGCCGCATCAACGATATGGTAGCGAAACAGAGCGCAGACTGGCATCTCTTGGCCCCCATTCAGCTGTTCAGCTCGCTCACTTCCGGTATCACACTGGCAATATGTGCGCACATGGAAGCGCCCAAGGACGGAAAAGCAGAACACTCACAAGGGAGGCCGCTTCAGGACGCGGATGCGGCTCTGTTGAATCGCATATATAATATCTGGGGCGCAGTGTTTAACCTTAGCATGGACAGCCCCCAACAAACCTCGCACCGGCCGATTGTGAGGCTCAAGACAGCCATGCGGTTTTCTAAATTTGGACGCCATTTGGTTTGAGCCCTATACGCCGGTGACCTGGTCGATCTGGCAAGTCCGTCATCGTTGCATTCACTCACAGCTATCGCATGCGCCTTGTTTGCCGGCTCAATGACATGGATCTGAATGGGAACACGCTCACCAGTCTCTGTATTTTTACCATATACGAGTCTTCATAGTATCTTTATGTGTCCTCCGTCGGTCCTTGTTGCAAGCGACAAGGGTGGACTCCAACCACAGGTCCAGTGTTACAAGTCTACTGCAGGGATTTGGTTCATTCACGCGCAAGCCCCTGTCCAGTCACAATAATTCGTTCAACACCTTGCGGGCCATATATCACCTTTTTCTCGCCTTGTGCGCGCCTGCGGGAAAGATTGCTCTCAGTGGATATTGGCAACGCCCAACGTCAGGCACCCAGTGAGGTGTCCCGTTCACCGAGGCCATGGGGAAGAGGCAGCATCTAAATGCGTCCGCAGCTACATGTCTCGTGCGCTCGGCTTTTGGCTAGGCGGTCTGTCCGGAGAGTGTGTCCTTCCGAGGTATTCTTACACCTCAGTCTTGCATGTTTGGAAGGGAAATGTTTCCTAGGTAACGCCAGCGCTTCCATAAGGCCCAACATAGGATGCCTCCTCGATCTCAGTCACTGACCATGACCTGCACCGCCACGCTCATTGTCGGACCTGTTCAGTTCACCCGATTTTCAAGCGACCGACTTTTAAATACCGTGGTATCATCGGGTGGCGCATGGGAATGAGGCGTGAAGGTTGAAATATCGAGTCACGAGCTCGAGTATTCTTACAACACCCCACGCCCAACACGCCCAAACAACCTGGGCTTTTGCCTAAGCATAACCGGAGATAATTTGATGCTCCATGGGCCTGTTTGTCGCTCCATCGCCTATTGTAGGACGGTAAACTGTTGCGGCTTACCGGCGGTACCACCTTAATCCTTACCTTACCTTCCTATCCTGGTGAACGATTCAGGCGCCATCACCTCTTCGTCCCCATCAAGCGGCCACTCTCGAACGCTGTCAACACCTAAACGTGTCACCGACATGATGTTTGCACAAGCATCCTGGCTTGGCATTGTGGGCACATTGACGCTTTGACGATGACTTCTGTCCTTCACCACAGTTCGCTTCGCCACTGGCCGCCTCGGGATGCGTCCACCGGTCCTCTTGCTAAATTCTGCTACCTCTAGCACCGAGCTATGGTCATCTGTCTTGGGGGTCCCTCGCAGGACCCTAGAATTTTGTCCTTGGGCATGAACGGGGCTTGTAGCATTCGTACGCAATGAACAGGCATTAACCAGGATATATCTTTGGGCTTTATGTTCGCATCTCCATTGTTATTCTACAGCTCACAATCTACTTCCTACATTCAAATCGACTTCACAATCACCACGCCGCCTTTTGCAGCACCTATTCGCGATACATCCCTTCTATCACCTAACGACAATGGCAGTTCTATCTACTATGCATGTCTGCAACACAGCTCTCGTTAGCCAAAGCCAGCTCACTATGGCGCGCTGCGATGATCGAAACATTTCGGATGCATTCGAGACACTTCCCACTACTCTCCTGAGCGGGTCAGATGAGCCATCGGCCCTGGACCTCGAAGACGATAGCATTGTACAGCCCACTGTTCATCTGCACGGCGGCAAATGGCACATGCAGACCGACGACTTCGCTACGACATCTCAGATGGGCCATGTGGACGCTCACGGGCAGCCCCGTACTCGCGGCCCTACAACCATCGTCTGGTACTGCTCTGAGTGTAGAGACGGGCCTTTAGGTATCTGGCAGAACGTTTGCCCGAGCTGTAGCCACATAATCTGTGGCTATTGCGACAAGGAAGAGGTTTGAGCTCATTCCTACGCCCCTCGCACACGGCCATTGTCCTGTTGCTTGCTTGATCATCCAGATTCGCCAGCAAGACATCGACGCCTCACAATATCGCTGTTCTGTACGCCCTTCAGCCACCGCAACACCCCGCCAACAGCCCCACCACAGTCTTCTCCAACCCGTCGAATCTGCATTTTCCTACTTGTTTAGAGTTTTTCCATCAGAGTCATTATCGCGGTCTTTATTTCGTGGAGCCTGGTGCTCTATGCTTTTGATTCACATTATGCCACATTTTGTGGATTTGGAGTATGTTGGTCGCAGTATCTTGTCAAGCTTCGTCTCGATGATTTTCATAGTTGGCCATATACCCCAATTTGCCTGCCTAGAGTAGGCATTTGTTTTGTTTGGAGTTCTGCGCGTTGATTTCTAGATATGCATATACACACCTTACTCGAAATGTTCCGCTTCTCACTATCTCCGTCATCATCCACTCACTTTGATGTCGTCATATTTGTTTATGGCTTGCCATATTCTTGCGACGCTACAACACACTCGTCGGTCGTTAAAACAAGATAATGCTTCGTTTGTCTTCACAAGGATGCAACGTGGGAATATGCAGGTACGAAGATCTATTCGGCATGATAGGCATGATAGGTGTGAAACAACAGCACACGAAACACACCATCAACTTCTTTTGAAACTTTTCTGATTGGTGTATATAACACATGCTGAGGTTACCGGACCGTGAGAGGCGAATCACTGTCCTTCAGATCCTCCTCCAAGCCAAACAACACGTCATACAAGCAGGCAAAACGGAGGACTGTCTTGGCGCGGCAGTCTTGCTAGCCTCGACTCTCGTAGTGAGAGAGGCATAATACACGTAGCCTGAGGCTTACCGAAGAAGCTCCGCCACAGCTTTGCAACACAACGAGCTCGCGCCTTTTGCCATGTTCCTTCCTCAGTGAATTCGAAAAAGTCTTGCAGCCCAAATCTCATCTCCCAAAAGTCCTCCCCACTCCACTTTTTGCACTATGACGCGTCGTCTTGACTCGCACAATCTGGTCAAGAGACATCTAAGGGACCTTTCCAGGGTGCCTGGCAAGCTCAAGGCGGAAATTGCTAGTGAAGCTGCTGGTGTTGGTTAAGTGCACATGACGAAGGGCGTGAAGGGGCAAAGGGGCGCAACGAGCAAGGTGAGGCATCTCGCAGCACGAGGACGCGATGTCCTTCGGTTTCAGTCCCATCTTATGTCGCAGACGCGTATAAGGATCGAGAGCTTTTCGCTTCTCTTAAGCATCACAACACATTTCAACAGCTCTTCACCAGCTCGACGAACATTATACACTTTATCGCATCGCAAATACCTACCTTCATCACAATGGACAATGTTTGGTTCTGCGGCAAGTAACTCGAGTCTTTTCCATCTCTACCTTGTTAACACTCGTTAGAATATTGTGGTGATGGCCCTTGGAACCCCAGAGTCGTAGTCTTGTGTACGAGCTGCGGTGTTGGACAATACTGTTCGCAATATAACACTCACTCACTTGTCCTGTCTCCACCGACCGACCATTCTTCATCACATCAACACACCCACCCGCACCAACACCCAACTGGCAAGACGGAATACTTCTGGGTCTGTTGCAACTGTGGGTACGATGTCAACAGCTATGAGCTGAACGCTGGCTGCACGAATAACTGCGGTCATTGGCGGGAGAGTTGTTGCAGGCTATATCCCAACACCATGCCAAAGGGACGAAGCTACGCGCAGGAGTAGTTTTGCGTAAATATTGACACTGTCTTGAACTTAGTGATGGGTGCTGACATGTTTAGGCCGATGGCTTCTTGAATCTCTCTTCGGCCTTCATCAATACCCCTTCTTAGGTTTTGGTTTTCTGGTGTTCGGGTTTCTGGTTGGTAGTTTTCGAGCATGGTATTACTTCCTTTTCCCTTTCGTATACGGGCGCGTTGATAGATTCGGGGATTTGTCATATGATATCGTGTTGGCTTGTACGTTTTGGTCAGCGTTAAGCGCAATATAGCTATAGATATTCGGTGCACTACATGCTGCTACTTAGGGAGCTATGCATGCTCTTTCGCACTTCGTATTGCTACAATAATGTACTTCATCATCATGCATCTGCGTCATAGGAGTCTAGTTAGTGTGAGGTACAATTTCAATATGTTAAGCTGCAAGTTTGGAATACATACGAAACGAAGTCGGCCGCACAACCGACTAGTCATCCTGCAAGGGCGCTAAGTTGTCTGATAAGAATTTTTGGGTGTCAGTGGGAGAAGCTGGTTGTCTGTACTCTTCGTCTTCAAGGATTGCTTGATCGCGCGGTTTTACACCGGCCCAGTCAACCTCGTGAAACTGATGCGTAATAGGCATGGGCGCATCACCCATACGATACGACAGATTCAACCCTCTTCGAAGCCATGAGTTCGTGAGATGTTCCCACTGGCCCAGCTCATATAGGCTGACGTTGTTGCCCCAACGCTCCATATCAGAAGCAATCAAGTCGTACTGGCGGATCTGCTCAACGATATTCTGAAGACCTCCATTGTCCCGAATATTCCATAGCAGAGTGGATCCGTATTTTTTGGTGTACGATTCGGGACGTAGCAGTGGACATGTGGGTCCGCAACCACCGGGCTTGCGCTTCCGGCTACAGGTCTGACAGTATAGTCCATAGTGCTGGACGAGGTAAGCCAGGAACTTGAGAGAATCCCTGTCCTCTCTGAGAATGGACATGACGTTGCGGAGTTTACTTATCCGAGCAGCCAAAGCCTCCATGTGATTCGGCATCTTGCGCGGTGGCAGAGGCGGTGCGGATCGCTGGGTAGACATTATTACCCCATTATGAGTGAATTTTGATGGCTTCATTATGGTTGTATGGAGAGTGCAGAGATAATGACCAGCTTATCTCGAGTTGCTCCTACAAATTGATGACTATCACAGCGGATGGGAAGAATTCCAAGAGCCCTATGGCTTACTGAGCTGTACATTGTGCAGTTTTAACGTCAGCACATCGGCGTCTGCATTGTGTCGTTACAATGTGCACCAAAGTCTTGGGACCTGAACGTGTGTTCACAACGATCACTGTACTGGCTCCGAACTATGGGCCATCCACTCGACCCTGATTTGGTCACGAAAGCTTTACATTGATGCGTGTCGTCGCTGCTAGGCCGCAATTAAGGTCCCCTCGATTTTGGCCTGGTGCACTCGCGTAATATTGTTTGCCGTAGGACGACCCAGGGAGGATCCCTACACAGCCGGTCCACGCCACCCAACATCACCTGGTCGCTCTCATTTCTCAACGGTGGTAAGTAGCCCTGGCCCTAGGCAAGACTTGCCGATGTCCGCGTGTCGCCCCTGCCGTTCCCACGTTGTGGCGAGCGATGAGGGTGGCGCCTTTCCCGCGTCTTACATTACGGTCTGAAACCTGGTGTCGATCTCAAACCTCAATATTAAAATCTTTAAAATATGAGAATCGAAACTTTGAGAAGCTGAAGCGTGCAGGTGAGGGACGTAGGGCTTTCTTCCTTGTGCTTTGGGGTCGTCTGTTAGCTCGCGAGCCCAAGGCAGCAGTCTCCGTGGCTTTCAAGGAAGTACTCAGCATAGCCATTGCAGCGTCCAGAATGATCGCCTTCTCCCATTGCCTGCAAGATGAAGTAAACCACCGGCGCTGGCCGATGACCTTCCAAAGAAGTTTGGCGGAGCTCACCGCCATCTGACTGCAGAAGCCGCTCTTAGAACGCCTTGTCGCCCTCTTAGGGCTGCATGGTACTCGCCCTGGCCGTATGCAGGAAACCGCAAGACATAAGGCTATTCACCAGGGTCGTCTTCTTTTTCTTACGGAACAGTGTGGCACTGCTATTAACCTCGGGGTCCCTCATGTTGCTGCCTGGCAATGACGTGGCGACAGGCCCCGCGGAGCGCATTCGAAAGAGCCATAGTTTCACCATCCCCCATGCCGCATGCATAAAGCTGATCGGTGTACTGGCAGTCATTCTCAAGTGGAACGCAAACATTCAAGAAGCGGACGTAGAAATGAGGTTGTCTTACTGAAAAGAGCGGATACCAAGCAGGCGCTAACCCAACAAGGACATCCGACATTCATCCCCACTTTGCCAGAACACTGTTCAAGCCTTGTCTCAATTTGTCCCACCGCTATCAGCCCGGCATCAACGTACCATCGATGTGGTTGTTCGACCAGTATCTAACTATGATGCAAAATTTCCGGACTCGCAGTTCGGACTTGCTCGCTCTCCATCCCTGTCGCCGCACGGCAGATGCAGATGTAGTGAACGATTTTGCATCGTACGCCTGCGCTTGACCAGCAGCCCGGCCAAGTTCCCCAAAGGCCCGGTTTGTGGTTGTGCTACGGCCGTGTTTCCGATCACGACGCAATGTAAGCTCTTTGGCACTCGTCAGCCAATGCGCAGGTGACTCAGTGCGGGGCTTTTAGTCGTTGTCCCTGGAGCATGTTCTGACGTTTTTCGAGAACGCGGCAGTTACGCGGATCCCTATCATCGTTCCACACCAGCTACTCCACGTTTCTCCACTCTCATCCAGAACTTACAAAAGTCCGTTCGTGAAACGAATTGAACTTCGTGGTGATGACATCCGCTCGGCAGCCACATCCACATCCACAGCCTCGTCAGCTTTACAGCTACGTGGCTCAGCCTTCGCTCTATTCTGACCACTACCCGGACCATGAAAATACGCCTGGAGGTTTAATTTCAATTGCTTTAACGCGCTCTAGTCACCGCAGTTTACACACTAATAACGACGCTGTGAAGGGTGTCGTATTAGTACAGACGAAGACGAAAGCCCAGCGAGTCTCCATCAAATTCATCGGTCGCACAACATGTCGCGTTCTGAACGAGAGAAGCCCTGGTAGCCATCACGTTGCGACAGCCGATTTATTTCGTCACGAAAGAACTCTTTCTCCTCGAGCTACACCCAGTGCGAATTGCCCGCCGGGACGCGTAGAATACCCCTTCGACTTCCGATTCCCAGAAGCTGTTGAGCTAGATCCAGGCTTACAAAATGATGTGCCTTTCAAGCCAGATGATTCGTTCGAGCACGAAAAAGGGCATCAGCTGCCTCCATCCTTATGGTGGAACGAATTTACTGTCCGTAACGAATATTTTCTCGAAGCAGATTTTGTCACTGCTCAACGATCTTTCACGTTGAACCCTGTCGTAATTCTTCAACTTCGCTTCACTCCCTCGGAGCCAGAATTAAGCATCTCGGCTCCAGCTGCATTACTGCCTGTCCCACCAATTCGATTCGAACGTCGATCTCGACCTCCCACGCCAGAGCCTGGTCAAGAGCGACAAGGACCTCTGATGAGGCTTAAGAACAGTCTAAAGAGCGAGAAGAACGAAGAAGCTTCATCGACATCATTACTTGTCCTCAGTGCGCCACCGCGTTATCGTGTAGGCGCTACCACAGCGCTCAGAATCTCGCTCCAAGCCACGCTGAGCGATGGCCTCACACAGCCAGCACCTGTGTATCTCCGTGGTATCCGTGCCCAGGTCTTTCTACATATCAAATATCGCATCCCTCTATCGTCTGCACCAAACCAAGAGATACGAAAAGCTAATACAGAGAAGTTCGATCTCTTCAACCGACGGTACAGCAAACCAGGCCTAGAGATCACTGAAAGCACAGTTGTCGAAGATTTTGTCATCAACAACATTGTACCACCGACGTTCAAGACATATGGGCTAGCTACACGGTACGAAGTACGTTATGATTTATTGCTCGAATGTGCTGGGAAGGAATCGGAGCATGAGGTTGAAGTAAAGGATGTTATAATTGAACCAATGACTCGGGAGGGTGGGCATCTCGGTCCGCCAGTCGACCCTCCACCACGAGGTTCGATTGACAGCACAATTCCTACAATGTATGGACACTTGCGACCCAGAACTGTTACCGTCTGGAGGCCGGAGTCGCCGCCGCCATCGTATACACAATAAAACAAAAAGGGAGATGCCGTATAAACGATCTAGCCTGCGCCAGTAGCAACAGTACCGTACAGCATTGCAATAACACATGATGATCTCTGGAGCATTCTTCATGAGGCACGAGAGACAAAAGAAAATGTCAAAAACATACAACAGCAGGTATTCGCTAGTGGTCTCCCACCTAACTACTAATCTGCCGGTACGATGCTTAAATTAAGCTGAGCAAACGGGAAGCTTTGTTCTCATCGTCCTATGGTCGTATGTGAAAAGACGGTCGACGTGAAAAGTTTATATATCATGCAAAAGTAGAGTGGTGGTGGTGACTTTACTTTGCACAATGTTCAGTCCAGCGCAAGACCCCTTTGAGAGTAGCCTTATCACGGAAGATTCATACTACGTCTCCGACAGCAATGCGGCATGTTAATAGGACTTTCCGAAAAGGATACGCTTGTCAAATGAGCCGAGGACCTCAGTCTCCTTGCGCTATCTGTGTGGAAGTCGAACAATAGCCCCACAAAACACGGGCCACTCATTGCGCATCTCTCGGATGATGGAAATCGCTCAGATGAGGAACTCTACAATCAAGCCTTTCGTGAAGCAGAGAGGCGTAATTACAAAGCTATGTTCGTTCGCTCAGTGGGCGTGGCGTATAAGAGGGTCGCAGTGGGCCAGACGCACGTTGACGCACGGTTTGAAATAGATGAGACGTGGGGAAGGCTCACAGTACAGTAATTTGATCCTGGCGTAAGTTGAATCTATTCCGTCTGATGTATGAGCGCTCAAGCCAGTGTTGCATGGTAAGGAGTGCATCGCGATCACCAGAAAATCATAAAAGACTACCAGGCACCCGCTGGGCGTATGACCATGTAAGGGCGTCCTCATACCGCGATTTATATAGTCGCATATCGCATGCATCATCATGTAAGTGCAATGGATAGGCCAAAGCTCACTGTGTATAATGGAGTACCCTGCCCAGAGACCATGCTGACGGCCCAGCGGCTGGGACGATGGTACACTTGGGTTTTCCCGCCCAAAAACGTTCTTCAACTATAATCATCCCAGACAGAACCGAAATCTTGACTCCTTTATCCCACCGAAGATAGATCAGTACCAATTGCCCGTGCAGGTGCAAAGAACTCGATGTCTCAATTAACGGGGCCCGTGGTACCGAACCTGGACATGGTCGGTGTTCTGGGCTTAGTTTAAAAACTTGTGGTGCTATGCATACGCAAGAGCAGTGAAACGGTAGCGGGATCGATTAGCTCAGCTGGATTTGGTGGTGGTGAGTACGTCGAAATCGTGGATGCTCATGGGCAAGCATTGTAGCACACCCACACGACGCTGCCATTGAGTTTGGAGATGGAAACCGGTAACGGTATGTTGATGCCATTGGTCGTTCAGTTACTGGGTACGAGTTAAACAAGGCCCCTTATCGAGGGAAGCCACTGCTATCCAACTGCTCGACATTTCAGTATGGGGACCCTGGGCTAAAGTTGAGCCCCGGGCATCCCACCTAAAAACGTCGCATGCCTATTAACATAGCAGACTTAGTAGGTATGCTAGAGCGATAATCATACCATCTGACATGTGTACAGCCTGGGATTCAGAAAATTGATTGCCTGAAAGACTTGGTTGCCGGAAGGCTGAACTTTTCCCAGCAGATGTCATGACATTACAAAATCGTACATACCTAGTTACTCAGGTACGGAGTGGCGCTGGCTCAACCGACTGATGTTCACTTAAAGAGCCCACAAAGACACCGTGCGTCATAATTCCATGCGGAAAACGATCACTATAGATTTTACATGTCGCAGAAGATGCCAGATCAGCTTTCGGATGGAGGCGTCGGGCACAGGGGCGTTTAGCGACGGCTGGTGATTGGTAACCTCGTACGTCATCATCGATCCTGTAAACCATTGCGGGTTGCATCCTATCACTCAAGAAGCACAGATCGCGCTAACAGAACTCCCTAACAAAAATTGTAGGAAAACTGTACATATTATGCTCCCCAACACATTGCGCTAAGTGAAAGACCAACCAACCTCCTTAAGCCATTCCTTCCCAGAGCTGTGAAGGCGCCATGTATGTGGCCCCCATCGTCAGCCTCACTCTAATCGCTCTGTCATCTGTCATCTCGCGGAGCGGCATCGTCTATCGCCCTTTCACTACTTATGGCATATGATCATTTCATGCGCATAAGACCTGACGCATCTCCTCAGGGACCAAACCGTGTTTACAATGCCGTCTGCATCTGAAGACTCCGCGGCTGGCCATCAAAACCCGCAAGCGTCGCCTGTCCGAACATGTAACAGCGGGAACAGCCAACACGAAAATACGCCCACAAATGGCCCTGGTCGCGTGCAGCACCTTGAAGTACCGAGTCCTACCTTAACATCGCATCGAAAATCATCAAGAGCAAAGCATGTTCGGCCGCGACAATCGCGTAAGAGAATATTCTCATCTTGTGAAATGTAAGACTCACAAAGCCCTTGCTGACTGCTCTGCGAAGTCACTCCGCAACAATACATCCAATCAATTAGCGCTCATTCATCTCGCCTTTTGACCACCTCATCATTCCCAGGCAATAACTACGTTGATCTTGCCAACTGGCTTTCCCAGGAAGCATACACCCCTACAAATTTACACCACGACTCTACGCACATCTTAGTCGTACTTCACGAGTTATCTAGTAATGCCAGTGATCCTCAGTGTTTTACTGAAAACGATCTGGAAGCTTTCAGACTGGTACAACCACCTGCTCAGGGAAGAAGCCAGCTACTCTTTGTCCGAGGATTTCTGTCACCTGAATGGTTATCTACTATTGGAAGCAAGTATATGCTTGATCCCGAGTTCATTCTGCGGCATCTCGACTTTTTCGCTGGCTCCGTTCAACGACATGGCTATGGTCTTCCGTCTCTCGCCAGTACGAACAGCAATATCATGAGGCTTTGTACGAGCACGATCGTCCACAGAGATGAGCGCTTCCGTGTAAACCATCCAGACAAGCTGATCAGATGCCGACGAGAGCAACGAGAGGAGATGTCGGGGTATAAGAGGCAATTAAGGAACCAAGCAAAGTGCGGAGATTCGCTGGTTCGAGAATTTTCAACTATTGACGATAAACATTCTCTGGTCGAGCAGTGGATGAGTCTATGTGTTGCTAAGAGTGCTGAAGGCTGGTTAGGTGAGTGAACGATCACTGTCTCACAGTAGCCTTGCTCTGAGCTGATGCACTCCTAATAGGAGTAGTTTGGATGGATCAAGGAAAAGATCTCGCTGTGTCTCCTCGGGGTCCATGGATATCCCACCTGCAGGCAAATGGTTTTGCTTTCCCAGTCATACAGCACCACCCCAAAATGACCGTTCGGAATACTGTTAATATCGCACCTATCAGTCCGAACAAAGACCCTCTATCGTCTCAGTCGCGCTTGTCAATCTCGAATCGAGAAAGGGAATACCCCCAAAGCGGGAGTCTCTTGCCTCTCGAATATCAATCCTTACTTGCTCTCGTTGATCTCGGACGAAGATGTGCGATAGATCCCAAACTGGCTTTAATTCCCACGTTTGTTCACGCTGCCTTTTCCCAGGTTCATCTATCCAATCTGATCGAGGCTCAGATCAGCAACGAGGTGGATGCGCTAGCAGTTGGTGCACCACATGGATCGATTGAAAACTTACAATACTTGTCCAACATCCTCGAGAGGCATTCTAATCATAGCAATGACGCTTTGAAAGCTCTCTCGAATCTGTTCGAACATCAATCTGACCAAGGAGATGGTTCGCGACGATTGGCTGAAGCTATGAACACCAGAATTTACCCTGGTCTAGAGATAGGTGCAGAAGGGTCGCTTCCCGTACATACCTCTGGTCAAGGCACATACAGCTCGCCCGGACTGAAGGACGATTACCGAGAGCTTTTGTCACGTTCAGTCATGCTTATAGACCGCTGCTCCATGGGCATTCAGACCATGATGAATAAGGCCATGGTGCTGGAATCGCACAAGGCTATCGAGCAAGCTGAAGATTTGAAGAAGCTCACACTTTTGGCGTCATTTTTCATCCCATTGAGCTTTGTCTCTAGTGTCTTTGGCATGAACTTCCGGATTATGGGTCAAGGTTCATTGGCTATATGGTGGTTCTTTGCTGTTGCAGTTCCGATTACTTTACTCTCTCAGATGTGGTACATATGGGACTCACAGAAATTCAGGGCTTGGCGGAAGAAAGAAGTCCTGGGAAAGCGGCATTCTCCTAGGTGAATTAATAGTACAAGATTCTCTTTATACAGAACGCTTTGCTGAATACCTAGTACATACCAAAGAGTATCGACGAACCACGCAATTTCTGCACATATCTACAGCGAAAGCTGCTTCTCTTACCCTTAGCTATAGCCTTACTCTACATGTCCTGTAAACCTTCAATGATTTCAAAGTAGAGCATGAATGTCCACGCGCCGCTATACTTATCTACATCCTTTTCCCAAGTAGACTCTAGTACTTCAAAGCCTGTTCACTCATTCGCTGTGACCGTCTAGACCGGGATTTTCGTGTGACATCCCGCGAACGCGTGATGCAATCGACGGACGTGCGCAACCAGTCAGCCGCATAAATTGGGGGGTTCACGCCTACCCCGCTACTTACACCTATCTTGAGGTAGTTCTCGGACCAGCCTCCACAGTTTTCCATGCCACTGTCCGCCCATAAGTTTCTCCTCTATATTCTTCCACGCAATAATTTACTGTGGGTTCTAGTGCGTGTGCTAGCGTTTTTTCGTTCATTCATGATGGCGCCACACAGGCTGGGCAAGCTTCGAGAGGTTGCGAGCCACGAGGGAGCGCGCGACTGCGACATTGAGTAAACAATCGACCAAGGACTTGCTTTACGTCTGACTAACTGAATACGCTAGTATCGTTCTCGTACCAGGAATCGGCACGTCCTCGGCGGATACATGGCCTTTCACGTCAAGGGCATGGTTGAGGAATATCCTACCCCAAGCGAAATGCAGGGCGCGGGTGCTCGCTTTCGAATACTCTTGCCCCGTGGACGAAAACTTCTCCTGGGAAGATTTATTGATGCAAGGCTACCAACTACTACAAGAGCTTGCTAATGCACGCTCGACATTAGACTCTGGCGAGGTATACTCGAACACACACAACGGATACATCATCTATAGCAACGTACTGACATGTCGCTAGGGTCTAGTTCGACCAATCCTCTTTGTGTGTCACAGTATCGGTGGGGTCATATTGAAGCAAGCCCTATGTATCGCCAACGAACAACTGAACCATTACGAATTCCTCGTTAATGCGGTCGCCTTAATCGTCTTCCTGAGCACACCCCATTCGCCTTCTGTCAAGGAAGATACCTTAAGTCATTTCATGTCAGTGTTGAAAGCGACCACGCGGAAGTCGATCAAGATACCCAGCGCCCGAATCGAGCGAGAGAGTAATATTCTCCAAGGGTTGACCAACCGATTTGAAGGTATTTTCTTTCGCACACCAGTATTATCAGTGTACGAGACCATCGAAACAAGGATAAACGATAGAGTGTTCCGAACTCGGATGCAAAAGGTGATAATACATAATAGTCCTCGCTTTGGTACTGTAGCTGACATGTTATCCTCAGCTTGTTGATGAGTCTACTTGCACGACTCACGCTCCAATGGAGAAGACGTTAGGAATAGGCCTAGATCACATGCATATGTGCCATTTCGATCAAAGCAAAGTACCGGAAAGCTCGGAACTCGCAGCTTTCATCATGAATGCATTGGACAACGCTACCGAGCTCATTACATCCCGGCTCAAGGCCTGTGAGGCCTTGGCAACTTCTGAAGACAAATTGCGTAGACTGATTGATATTACAGTGGAGTTCACCTACGCAACCATGAGTTCATACTCACCGACCGCAAGTGAAGTGGCAGTAAAAGGTATTTTTAGGATGGTTGCCTTGTTTGATGACTTCGCTTACTCTGTTGTGAAGCTTTCGAGCTACCCCTTCACTCCACAGCACATGCCTCCAATGGATCTTCTACTGCAGGATATGAAGTAATTACCACCACGACTGCCGTTGAATCTGACCGACCCCAACTACGATTGCCGTGTGTGCTCTTAGAGACATCCACGCCAAACCTTACCTTTCGTGGGCGGGATGACGTTATTAACGTGATAGGACAAGAACTGCTCCCACCAAAGACCAAACTTGTTTCTTCACAGAACACAGGCTTACGACAGTTTGCACTGTGTGCGATGGGTGGTATGGGCAAGACCGAGATTGCGCAAGAGTTTGCGATTCGCTACCGAGAAGAATTCGATGCCATCTTTTGGGTCCAAGCTGATGAGATCGCCAAGATCAATCAAAGTTATCAACGTATATCCACTGAGCTTGGTTTGGAGAAATCCTCCGAGAGTCACAGTGAAGTCGTCAGCAGAGAATTAGTCAAAGGATGGTTGTCGAACCCATGGAGAGACCATACCGCAGGAGAGAGTTTCAACCCTTCCTCTGAAGTCAACTGGCTTATCATTTTTGATAATGCTGACGATCCCATGATTTTGACCGATTATTGGCCTCAGGGTAGTGGTGCTGTACTGATTACCAGCCGCGACCCTCTCACCAAGACTCTTTTCTCTGCGCGTACTTCTGGAATTGACCTCGGGCCTTTGTCTGACGAAGCCGGAGCATCTTTGTTTCTTCTTCTAACTGGAGCAGATGCTGAAGAAGACGGTGAGCAGATGGCGAGACGTAACACGCAGCTACTGGGAGGCGTACCTCTAGCCATCTCACAGATGGCTGGTATCATACGACGGCAAGACCTCAGCTTGAACGAGTTCCATGACTTGTACACTGACGCAGCAGAACATCTCGACCTATACGACACCAGAACTGGTGACGCGTCTACTAGAGGCTATGCTCACAGCATTTCCACAGTATGGGCCATCGAAAAGTTGAACCCTGTCTCAAGGAAGCTTCTGGAATTAATCACATTCTTGGATGCGGATCGCATACCGGAGTATCTCTTAATCGAAGCTTCAGTCCTGATCTTTGCGACAGAAGTCAACTTCAAGAAGAGCCTGTATCGAGATACGCGCACTGAACTCATACAATCGTCTCTGGTCAAAAGAAACAAGCAAAAGCAGGAGTTGTCCGTACATAGACTGGTTCAAGACGCAGTACGAGCAAAGATGAGCGCCAGTTCTGCTAAGAATATGTTTGAGGTCGTCGTGCGGCTTTTGTGGGTCAACTGGCCATCAGGCATGCCGAAACCTTCCAGGCCACCTCAATACGCTCAGCCCAAAATAACTGACAGTCGGAGCAAGATATCTCGTTGGCCACTTTGTGGACAACTATATCCTCATGTCCTCAGGGTTCACCATTTGTTCGCAGCTGTGCCAGAACCTTCAACTTTGGCGAAGCTAGAATTTTCTGCCGTGCTAAGTGATGCAGGACTGTCAGTATCAATCTTCTTGATGTTAGAGAAATTTAGCTGACGGTTATAGTTATCAGATGGAGCGCGGCCGGACTCGTGGCTTCGACAACTTCTTCGATACTGCTATAGCGGTGTGTGAGCCACTAGTTCATCCTGATAGAGATTGTCTACTCGGAAACATCTACCATACTCTCGGCCAGGTCAACTACGAGAACAATAACGTCGACGAAAGCCGAGATTGTATGGAGAAGTCTCTAGAGCTTCAACGTAAGGTCTGCGAAGAAGATGGGATCGTGGATGAACGATTAGCTATGGCCTACGCTGAAAGAGGCCTTACAAAGATGCAACACGGCCTGTACGAAGAGGGGATCGCTGATTATGAGAAAGACAGGGAGATTCGAGAAAGTCTCGGCACCTATGCACCGACCTCAAAAGAAGGAAATCTCGCATCAGCATATATGGCTTTGGGTAAATTAGACAGGGCAGACCACATACTCACCGAAGCGATCACGAGACGCATAGAGTTGTACGGTGAAAGAGACAAAGAGTCCTTCAGGTATTTACTGTTTTATAGAATCTCGACAATCGACTGCTTTGCTATGTTACAGGACACAAGCTAACTATAACTAGAGCTGGCTGGTTAGCATACACGCTTGGCAGACTACGGAACTTACAGGGTCGGTACGATGAAAGTCTAGCAGCTCACCATCAGGCACTGTCCTGTTTCCGCGATACGATTGGGGACACTCATCCCAAAGCGGCGCTGGTGAGACACAAGATAGCGGAGCACTACGACCGTCTCGGCCAACACGAAAATGCAATGTACGCACCTCAACTCGAGTCGTCAGATTTACTATGTGTGCAGCTAGCTGACCATGTACCTAAACCAATAGCAACGTCATCAACGAAGCTCTCAAAATATGGAGCCAGGATCCTGATACATATAAGGCTGAGCTTGCTCGTACTACTTTTCTCAAAGCAAACGTTCTGGAAACGTTGCAAAAGAACCAGAAAGCCGCTGTAGCTCTGAAAGTAGCGTGTCGAATGCGGCAAGAGCTGACCAAGGATAAACGAAGTCCATCATCGCTAGAAACAGACGATTTTGAGAAGTTGGTTGTTTTCTGGAAGCGATGAGATTCCGAGCGTGTCTCAACATTCACTTGTGCAGTTGGTGTAGTCAAATTGGGACATAGAATATTCTCGATGCGTACATTATTATTGCAAGTGTAGTTATCGTGTTATTAATTACGTAGGCCTCGCAAAACTATGGACAGGTCGTTGCGTGCGCTATATACAGCCTTTCATTTCTCAACCATGACGACTAGGAGTGAGAACTCGTCTTCGAGTATTCGATTTTTATGTGTAGTGAGATAAATCAATGGGTTTTACCACATCTCCGATCGTGACTGCGCTGCTGTCTGCTCTTTGAACAACCACTGGAAATAGACGATTTCGTGGTTCGAAGAACAAAGAGCTAAAACAGCGTTTTCTGTGCTTCGGTACCGAATTACCAGGCAGCGGCAAAATTTGTGCCCGCTCTCCACCTAGAGCATGAGCTGATAGTTGTTGGGGGTAAACTCATCATAAGTTGCTAGAAGAGCCTGATATATACGCAGCTGTAACCTCATTACCTCTTCTCGTTTGGAAAGGGCGGGCAGGGATTTTGCCGGCGCCTGGTGGAACCTTGAAATGCGTCCCGTCATGGCTGTGCGTTTACAACATCGAATTGACAAAGTCGCGAAAGCAGACTGACTCAATGAGAACCAACTACAAATACATCAGTCTGTCTTGAAGGAACCAAAAACGACGAAGTGAGGTACATGAACAGACTTAAGTTCGCCCCGCCCCTGATTTATCCGGTCGATCCGCTAGATTCGCCCACACCGCCGTCCCGGGCTCCCAACCAACACTAAGTCGATACTCCACATCCACATGATCGTTTCCCGTCCTCTCTACGAAACCTGACTTCGCTGCCGTATAGATTCACCGTGGGGTATAGATACCAACTAATTGAATTTATCTTCATAAAATGGTTGATCCCCTCGATCATCAGCATCTCACCGGCGTGGTGGCGGAGTGGTTATCGCGCAAGACTAGAAATCTTGTTCCTTCGGGAGCGCAGGTTAGTCTTGCCTTAACTGAGAGTATCTAGCTCGAAACTAATCTTCCCTAGGTTCGAATCCTGCCTACGTCGCTTGAAAATTTCTTTTTGCTCATGCATTGCTGCCAGTTAACAATTTTCAGTTTTTGATGCATCGATAGGTATAGTGTTTGTTGCAGGTGTCTTGTTGGTTGAATTCTGTCGATGATGCCTCGCTTACGCTTAGCAACATCGACAGTATTCAACAGGAGCGCAGGTTCGAATCCTGCCTACGTCGTCTTTTTGCTGGAGCTGAGTTATGGGTTATGTTGTGGTGGTGTATGGATGGTAGATGGGCTGGTGGGTGGACGTTGGGGGATTTTGCGAAACCTGCGCCCCAGGATTTTCACGAACACTTTTTTTGCGCGGAACAACAAGAAAACAATGAGATAACAAGGAAGATCTTATTTGTAATTTAGTTTATTAACTATGCGACAGATGAGCTGGCTCGCGGGTGGATGTTGGGGGTTTTCGATTGCGGACTTGCGGACTTGCACTCCAGCATTTTCAAGACAACTACTTCTTGCACGGAATTGTAAGAAAACAATGAAGAGACACTAGGGAACAGGGTTTCAATTCAAATAATTCAACTACGAGATAGTACAAATGACCTTGCCCTTGGTCTTGTTCTCCTCCAACAGGCGATGCGCATCCTGTATCTGCTCCCACGGCAGTACTTTATCAACGAACAGCTTGAACCTGCCGTCCTTGAACCGCGGCAGCGCATGCTCCACAAGCTGATCTCTCAACTTGCCCTGGTACTCCTCGTCGCGACTCCTCAAACTACTTCCCACAAAAGTGCATCTCTTCCGGATGAAAGCGCTAATGTCTGTTCCCTCTGGAACTTTTGTGCCGCCCATGAAGCCAAGATTCACAATAACGCCGTCCTTTGCGATCGCGTCGAGATTTTGCTGGAAGTACGATGCGCCGACGAAATCGACAATGATGTCTACGCCCTTGTTGTCTGTTGCCTTCATGACCTCCTCGACCCAATTCTGGCTTGTGGTATTGAAGGCGCCATTCGCACCGAGTTCCTTGACAGCGAATTCACACTTTGCGTCTTGGCGTGCGGTCGCGTAGACGGCAGAAGCAGAGTCGGCGCGGGAGAGCTGGATGCCAGCGATTGAGACGGAAGACGCGGCGGCGTGCCAGAGGATCGTCTTGCCGGCAGCAAAGCCGCCAACAAGGTACATGGCTTGTGTGGCAGTTATCCATGTCTGGAGTGATGTTAGCTTTCAGCCAGGTCTCGGGATAGAAGTAGGTGTTGGACGTACCTCAGGAATACCAGCGCACTGCTCCCACGTCAACTCCTTTGGCTTCCTCACAAGCATATGCGTCGACACGGCAATGTACTCCGCATACGCACCACCGTACGCCAATCCAAAAACCTCGTCGCCCTCCTTGAAGCCTTCCTTTCCGCCGCCTTCTTCACTCAATTCGGCAATCGTACCAGAAAATTCCACACCAAGGATTTTAGAGGCACCAGGCGGTACGGGGTACATGCCCTCGCGCTGTAATAAATCCATTCGGTTCAGACCAAAGGCCTTGATCTTGACAAGCGCTTGCGACTTGCCGAGCTTAGGTTTGGGAACATTGGCGATATGGAGAGCTTCAACGGGTCCTTTGCCATCCTTGATGTCTGTAGATTGTTAGATTAAGAGCTGAACAGCTTCGTTGGCGTCACGAACCTACGGCGCGCATTGTGTCGCCCATGATGCAAAGAGTGTAAAGGTTTCCAGTGTATAGTTCGGTCGTGCAAGATAACAACTAAATTGCTCGATATTGTCTGAAGAGTTCTTGATAATATTAGAAGGACGGAAAAATACTGCGACTGGTGGGTAGCTTTTAATTGGTAAGCCAGAACTTCTTTCCGAGGCGATTTCACAAATGCCGAGCTGGTTGCTCATGACATCAGGTGGGGTAGCTCGAGTTTTAAGTACAACAAGCAACTGAAGCTTTGGTGGGGCATATTCTTCACTAAATCCATCTCATCCATTCAGGTCAGAACTATGTCAGAAATGTGTCAGAAAGCAGATGAAGCCTGATGAAACATCTTGGAAAGGTAAGATTGCATCGCTTGTACATATCGTCCGCCACTATACGGACGAAGACTCCAACAACCCTGCGCATATGAAAACGTTCGGCAAGGTAGATATTGGTCAATTGTTAGCCAGTCTTCCCTTAGCATGCACTTTATTTATCTAAACATCTACTCGTCGGCAGCGCAACATCCCGGCACACTAGTTCACAAACAAGCTGTCCTCGTTTGTATCGTACTGTTTGATGAGCTGGGCGAGCTTGTTCGCTTCTTGTGCGTAGTTGAGCGGATACATGTTCATGACTTGATAGCGAGGCCTTGATATGTCAGCAAAGATTCTCTTGTTTGTTCGAAAATTGGCACTCACTTGGGCTGATCCTGGTACGTCTCCATTTTCGCTCGTACCCGAAAGTTGAATGTCTTGCAGGTTGCTTCCTGCATGGCAGTCATGAAGTTCTGCGTATTGTTCTCCTCGTCATCCACCTTGATCTTCATAGCTTCATTTGCGGACATGCCAACGATACTCTGGCCAGCTTCGTCGAAACAGCTGAGCCAGAGTGTGCCGGTGTGATCAGCAACATTGACGCTCAGCACGTAGCGGTAGTTAGGCTCCGGGAAACTCTGTTGGCATTTCTCACACCACCAGGAGCCTGGATTCTCTTCGATGACCTTCTTGTTGCAGCCGGCTGTGGAACATGCCGGATAAGCAACTGTGGTGTTCTTGACGTACACGACAGACGCTTTCAAGCTCATGTAGGAAGGTGTGTCTTGCAAGTAGGTCTCTTCCTCGATACACTGTGAGATGAGTTTGTTCTCGTTCTTCGAAGAGCCACCAGACGCTCCGGCCATATTCTGGTGTGTGGAGAAGGTGGCATTTTGGCCAACAGCGTTGAACCATCCTCGGAGCTTGTGTGCCTCGTCGATATCAGGATCGACCATCATCGAGCCAGAGCTCAACAGACTCAGACTCCGCCCACCGAAATCAGAGACTTTGACGCCCTTGAATGCAATAATTGATTCCAGCGGGGCGTCGAAGGTTTCAGCCGTCTTGCCCCAAATGGTGAGACGCACCGATGTCTGACTGTCGTCTGCCAACGTCAACTCGCGCTTGCTGAAGTCCTTGTTTGTGTTCTTCGACGTAATCGTGTTGACTTCAGCGACCTCCTTGAGAACACCGACTGTGTCGATCGTCGTGTCCTTCTCAACTGAGTTGAGATCACCAATCTTGGTGAAGTTGAAGCGGATCTGAGGTTTGTTGTCCTGGTCTTCAGCCTTCTCCACTTCGGTATCCTTCTCAAATTGCAGCTCGTAGTCGTTTGGTAAGTTTGAGAATTGCTTCTTCGCAAGTGTGACTCTGCATGGCGCGGAGATGTAGTAGACCGTACCTACCTCGAAAACAGGAAACAGCTTCTCAGCAGCTTCAGTAAAGGCTGTGGCTCGAATTTCGCCAGTGTCGTCGAGCAAGTTTACGCTGAAAAGCTTGCCGGTGCCTTTTGCATTGTGCCATTCCTTCATGTCACTCTTGTTGGTGCATCGTGCACGAATGGTCCACTTGTGTGCGTATGGCGATAGCGACTCGATGGGGTACAGATGCGGATGCGAGGATGTTGCGGGGTTACTCTGGTGAACAGGGAGATTGCGTTGCGGCTGAGGTGCTGGTGGCTGCTTTGAGCCGTAGAAGTTGTTGCCCGAGATTGCAGCAGGCTGAGGAGGGTCGGATTTCGTGTCTAGCGCTTCTGGCTGGCCGATCTTGTCCAGTTCGCCATACTGTGAAAGGACTTCGAGTTCCATGATGATGAGGATGCTGTGCGGTGTTAGACATGTCTCGCGGGCAGTGGTGCAGAACGTACTTCTTGTCCTTGACTTGTTGTGGGTTGTACTTGACAAGTCTCACAATTGAACCCTTCTTCAGTTGCCCAGACGTGACAATATCGTTCGCGGCTAGATGCGATTAATGCTGGACTTCATAAACTCGTCGTCAACATACTGGTAGCAATCATGGTCTGGATGAAATTGCGAATGTCACTCAGCACAACGCGGAAGCGCTGCACGGGGTTCGCATCGCCGGCCTTGGGCTCCATGGTTTTGATTTGCACGCATTGTAGCACGGGGTGTTCTACGAAGCAGCCGCTGGGCTCGAATATGCTCCTGCTTAAAGTCAGTATATGATCATGCATTCAGGGTGCGACTGCTCACTTGATAGCGCCCTGTGTAATCGCCTGTTCTGCCATATTGAGTTCGTGTTATGGTCCAGTTGAGATGGGAAGTTGTGAGAAGTGGCGGCGAGGAAATCGACGCGTTCCGACGCGTCTCAGGCGCGCACGTGACCGAACTTAAAGACTGGCAGGCGCAGCCCCGCACTTGTCCGAGTCAGGCGTGCTAACAGCTGCATACGTAATTGGCTTGGACCCTCGATCTAGATAGAGCGCAGCTAGCCATTCACCGTTCAAGACACCACGCTTCATATACAGCACACAGGCACCATGGCAGATAATGAGAATGCGACGCGCGCACCGGAGAGTGATGCGCAAGAACAACCTGCTGCTGATCCAGCGGTAGAGCAAAGTGTGTTCCCAGGAGACACCAGAGCGCAAGAAGGACCGACAATGGGTGTAAGCATTTGCTTGCTGTGAATAGGCAGCATACTTACTCGTATAGGACCATTGTACAACGGACCGCCCAGCACCCACTGGCGAGAAACCATCCGGCGAAATCTCTAAAGTTGGCGGCATAGACTGCTACATCACCAAACCGACCGACTACCCACACTCACCGTCGAAGCTCCTGCTCCTGCTGACTGGCGGAACGGGATACCAGTCCACGAACAACCAGCTGCAAGCGGACAAATATGCTTCAGAAGGCTATCTCGTTGTCATGCCCGACCAATTCGACAACGACCCGGCACCGAACTCGGTCGATATGGCAGAAGTCAAACAAGACACGTCATGGCTAGAAAGCATAAAGCTGAAGACTGCCGAGGGAATCAAGAGCTTCATGATTGACATGTGGCTTGCGAGGCATACGCCTGAGAAGGTACTGCCATTGCTGCACAAAGTAGTCGAGGGCGCGAAGGAAGAATTCGCCGACGCGGTTGCGAATGGAGGTGGCATCTACGGCGTCGGATACTGCTTTGGAGCCAAGTACATTCTGATCCTGGCCGGAGAGAACTCAGATCCTTTCACGACTCCAGGACAATCGAATGACGAGGAGACAGGTCCTGTTAAGAAGGAGCCGGTCCTCAAGGCTGGGGCTATCGCGCATGGAACAATGGTCACATTGGAGGACCTCGAAGGCGTCAAAGCGCCTGTATACATCGCAGCTGTAAAGGACGACCCGTTGTTCTCCGAAGAAGAGGTTCTGACGCCTGGGCGACGGACGATGGAGAAGAACAAGGTCGAGCACGAGGTTCAAGTCTTCCCAGACGTACCACATGGCTTTGCAGTGCTGGGAGACTATGATGACCCCAAGATCAAGCAGTCACAAACACAGGCGTTTGGGCAGATGTTGGGCTGGATCCAAGGTCATTGAACAGTGCGGTACATGCTATGGCGTTGAGCGGTATTTTTGGTTCAGAATGATGTAGGTATACCATATTAAACGGCAAAATGACTACACGAACAACTTCACCTTGAAGATTCTCACAACTCCTCGATGACCGAGGTATCTAAGAACTTCTCCAGATCATTCCTCGGAATAACTGCCCTCTTATCCTGCACAGCCAGGTACTTGTCTTCCTCAACAAGATACTCAATCAACTCACCACCCCACGTCCCACTCCACTTATGATCTCCCCAAACCTTTTCCAGGACCGGCTCGTCGACTTTGACCGCCTTACTAACAAACCCATACACACCACTTTCCTTCGGCGTATGCGTGAAGACATTCAGGGTCTTGTTCAACGCGCGAACAAACTCGACGATATCTTTCCTCTTCGTGGGATCATTCAGCGCATCCGTCGTCGAATAAAGCGAGTAAATCTCGCGATAGATTGACGCGTTCTGAAAGATGACAGCATCTGACCCCAATGCTTCAGCACCGAGTTCAACAGCGGGTTCCCAGACACCAAAGGCGTCTATAGTACCGGCTTTGAGCTGCGCAGGGAAAGTGTCGCTAGTACATGGCACTCTCATGCATACCTGACCATTAGACGTGGTGTAATCATTGTCTTTGATGCCGACGCTGGTGAGCATGTTGTGTATAAAGACAACCGCACTTGTGCCGCGAATGGTTCCGATTTTCTTGCCCTTGAGGTCGGAGAGGTTGGTGATGCCTTTGCGCTTGTCGGCGACGATGCGATATGACACTTCGCAGATGATGTAAATGAGGCGGAGGTTGCGGTGATTCGCGTATGACTTGAGGCCCTGGGTTTCGGCGTTGGCGGCAAGATCGAAAGTCTTGGGATTGGCAGCGAGATCGGCAACAGCTCCGGCTACAAGAGTCGCATTTGTGCTGCCGTTGTAAAAGTGTTTGATGGCGTAGGGTTGGGGAGTGTGCTCGATCCAATTTAGGTTTGAAGCGATGCGAAGGGAGCAGCCAATTTGAAGCAATGCAAGGACCATGAAAACATCTCGAAGACTGAACTGCATTGTGAATGACGGGCTACTTCAGCAGAGTCGCAGTACCGTGCCTTTTGTGAATATATATGCAATGAAGTTTTGCATCCTCCAGGCCGAACTTGCTTGCAGATATCCTGCAACATACGTGACCTTCGGTTTGCAAGGGACATGATGCTTCTGTAAAGTGCGGAAGACATGCATGAACACCTTGTATGATTGAACCCTCTGGACACGATGCAACACCAGGTTCGATATTGTAGCTACCATGATTACCGACAGAGCACCCTGACCCTGGTTTCGGAAGAATCAAAGATGACGCAAATGTCCCGGTAACGCATGCCTTTGTATCTGCCGCCACATGAACTCGTCAGCTGGCGATATCCAGTTGCTATAAGCGCTTCCCATTCAAGTGCCGTGTGTTTCGGTTCGCTAAAAGTACTGTGCCGCAATTTATTCCCGATATATGCCAAGGGCCACTCTGTGATGCTTTAGCGACAGTGACCAGCACTATACAGATCTTTATCGTGTGTGATGAGCCGGTACATGCGACCGAGCCGACCACAATTGGCGGTGATGCTTCCCGTCAGTTCGGAAACTCTTTCTACTGTTTCTGCGCCGATAGTGCTCGTAGTGACCCAGGGATCATATCAACTCCACATCGCCTGTGCCAGATCCGACTGCCCACTGTCTGACTGCGCTCCACCGGACAACCCAGACGTCCCCTCTCTTCATTTCAAAACGTCGATCAGTGCCCTCGACATATATGTCTCCAACGTCTCGCAATGCTCTTACAAACACAGCTTTGTCCTCGTCTGGCTTATCTATCATGCTAATGCCACCCGTTGTGTCATCGAGTCGTTGTAGCGAAGCTGGAAACTGGCTGAGGAACGAGGACGAGTAGTGCGTCGACAGTAACGAGTGATGTGATGTGAGGTACTGATATTCCGAAGCCGAGAGAAGTGGCTGTAGTGTATCTACTGAAGCATTATGGAGTGACTGAATGTGTAGAGGGTGTAAGTCAATCTGCCAGAAATATGCATTAGCATGCCACTCCCGACATTCGACATCGTGACTGCGTACCTTTTTAATTCTTGCTCTCAGGAAGCTCCGTACCAAGAACTTGAATCGTTCAAGTTCTGTCTGTATGATGATCAATTTGAAGTTTGTCTTTGGGTCCATGTTGCCCGTCTGGTCCTCGACTAGTTCAATCTGGCTGCGCTATTAGCATCCGCCTCATTTTACCTAATATCCTCCGTGACGCACCTGTTTTCGTATCCTGTCCAGGACTCTGTTCATAAGTTCACTCGGCCAGGGCAAGATTTCGGGCGCGACGCGCTCGGCAACCCAGCATCGTGTCAATTCTTGCAGATCGCGCGTTTCTCGGGGCGTTGAGTCGACCGCAACCTCGGCAAGCAGATCGTCAATGTTCATTATGTATCAGGATATCGACGAGTGTGAGTGAAGAGATGCAGCGCTATGCGTGACCATGCATGTAGCCGTGCTAGAACGCGGCGGGACTGCAAAAGAGTGGGATGTGCGGGGCATAGCCTAGCGCGTCCTGGTCGCGACTTCCTCACTGTTTACACACCAGCAGGACTCGAGACACCCAAGATGTTGGGCTCGTATCGACGGTTCAGCACTGATGGCACAGCATATAAGGCAAAACATCATGGAGTATTCTTTGTATTTCCTAACAGACGATGAACAAACTCTTCAAGCCGTCTCCGTCACTCGTATTACGACGAAGTACCCGTCAATTACCTCCTCAATTTTCCTGCAGGCCCATAACTAAACACTCGGAAGTGACCACCTGATACATGCCCTGGCCTGCAGAGAATGGAAGCGACAAGTGAATAAGTACATCGAACAGAAGCAGAAGCCCGAAAACGGCGAGTAGGTGACGCATACGCCGAACGCTGAGCCGAAACCGAAGAGCAATGATCAATCTGTTTGCGGGAGGATGTGTACCGAATAAGGTCGAGCATTTTGTAATAGGGAAGGTTGTCGTATTGTTGATGGTGTGTCAAGGCACGTAGGCCTATGGTATGTGGTTGCGTGATGATTCTTAGATTGTCCCGAGAACATGTGAGAGCATTGTTTCAGCTCTTCAGGGTCGTAGAACATCCGGGTTGGGATGAATGACAAAGGAAATGAAAGCTCGCGAGGCAGCGGTCTTCTGCTGCAACTACGCTTGCTGAAAGCAAATGGGTATCCAGCAAGCCCTCTCGAGAAGTAGTAAAACATGTCCGGGCCACTTGCACCGCGACATAGGGTATAGAAATCAAACAAAGATGGAGACCAGAGGTCAAGGCTGCTTTTCCGCGCCCAAGAAGTCCAAGATGTAGGCAGAAGATCGCTCGAACGCCCTGGGTGCAGTGAAAAACGCTAAAAACGCCAATGCTGTGGGATTCCAATGCAGCAGTCATGATAACGCCGTGAGTCCAATCGCCGTGAGGTAAGTGAGTATCGTAAAGAAATCGTTCGCCAGCTCGCAAGGTCAATAGGATGCCATGCGACGCGAGGCGCCTATTCGTCCTGTGTTGAATGCATCATCGCCGAGCATGAAGATGCCTCCACTTTTTGACCGGCCGACTGCAGTAGGGCTGTCTTCCATCTGGCAAGACTGCTGCCCGAATGCAAATGTCTGCGCGCGGCTAAGCTTTGTGCGTTGACGGAGCTTGTTCAAACCACGTTCGCAAGACTGCTCGTGTTCCTTAGCATCCATGCGGAGGTAATTCTGCGGGAAGCAACGAGTGGAGTGTGCATGGTAGAAAGAGCTGTAGCCACCGTCAAGGATGTACACTTCAGGGAACGACAAGAGAGGGTAGCGGTGAGCATTCTCCTTGCGGTCCTGTGACCGTACGAATTTAGCCCTAGAGGACGTTAGCCAGGAGTCGAGACGTTGGGAGAGTAGAAGCTTACATGAGGGGGGCACGATGTGCAGAGTATTCACAGTGCAAGATCAGTAGAGTCTTCTCACTTGTTGGAGCCTGGAAAAGACGCTCGGCAAGCTTCTCTTTATCACAGAAGTTCAATGCGCCCTCAATGTGGCCACCCTTGTACTCATACTCAAAGCGACAATCAATGATGACCTTGTGGTTATAGTGTTGGTCATACTCTCCATCGAGAACTTGAACCAGTGTGGAGTGGGAAATGCGTGGTAAGCTCTCAGCCTCGGTGGGCATAAAGTGAGGAAGCTTGAGCGAGGGGGTATCATCGACATCCATAACAGACTGAAGACCACTCGGCTGGTAGTTCTCCTGATCCTGCTTCGCGTTCATCACGTCACCAGGGTGTTCAAACATGCTCAGAGAACGGCGAAATTTGCTCGGTCGAGTCCGCGAGGGAGGCCCAGCAGGCTTGCGAATAGCAGCGAGAGGGGATCCGTTGGCACGAGAGGCAGCACTTGAGTTGAGGTTGAAAGCTTTAGGTTTCGATGCAAAGAGCGAACCATTGGAGCCGGGGCGGCGTTCCTGTGGCGGTGAGGCAGTGAAGCACTCGTCTAACGACAATGATGAGGCGTTGGACAAGCTGTCAACCCCGGCACCAAACTGGAAGGGAGGCAGCGGGTTGTTGTTCTCCTGTTGCTTGAAGGATACTGTGTTAGTGGAGTAGTTCTTGGTGCGGGAAAGAGATGGTCTCAGAAGGATAGACTTTCGTCGACTACAGTGTGTCAGCAAGCGAATAGTTGGCCAACGCGTGTGGTACTCACTCGGCAGCAGACAGGGGCCGGGGAACCTCGAGCATCGCGGTGGGGAACTTTGGTGGAGTGGGCAGGTCGCAAGGCGAAAGCATTTCGTCGTCGTCTGTGCTCGGTGTGGTCTCTGGGGATGGGGACGGCAGCGGGATGGAGCGCTCGTTGAAGCTGAATGGGGCTTTGTGAGGCAGAGGAGAGATATCCATGGAGTCAGGGACGAAGCAGGGCGACGAGGAGGGAATTGGCGGAGTAGTCACGCCTTCCCATCGGACGGGCGGGGTCGTGGCTCCCTCTGCTGCTGCGCGTGTTAGCCCTGAGCTGGAACAAAGACGTGTCAATGGCACAGCCGCGTACCTTGAGAGTCGATCTGGTGAAACAGGTTTGATGTGAAGAGCGAGCGGCGCGGCGTGGCGAACTGAGGGCTAGAGCAAAGATAATTAGCGTGTGGGTCGGGTATTTCCTAAGCAAGGGAGGTGGTACCTCTGGTCGACGTGCAGGTTCGAGGACATGTCGGCGGCGAGGCTCGCCGTTGGCGACGAACCGCGGCCCATGGGCTGCAAAGCGAAGTAGTCCATGCTCGGCTTCTTCATGCTCATGTCCCGGAAGTTGAAGCTCTTCGGTCCCAAACTGTGTGCTCCAAACAAAGGCTTCGAGGGTAGATCGCGACGGTAGCCCCAGGGACCAGGGATTGGCGGTGGGTGCATGGCGGCGAGCGGCGAGGACATCTCCATGATGGGTGCTGTATAATGTGTGAGGGTTCTACCTGGTCGTGCTGGGCAACGGAGGCGATAGCGAGCGTTTGCGGGCCGTCGTCTCTACTCAATGGCGACGAGCGGAGGGCGGAGGGCGGGACACAGGGACTGGCGGCCGGTATGCAGCCGATAAGCATACAATGACTAGAAAACTAATTCCAATCTGAAGATGCTCGCTGTAGATGGCGGTGCAGCACGCGCTGTCGAGGAATGGCCGGGTAGAGGTGGTGTACCGTCTCGGTCTCCAAAGCGGCTGAGGTTTGGCAGGTCCAGGGATAGTGAATGTCGGTCGCGACTGCCGTGGTCAGATATCCAAGCAAAGGTATCCAAGTAGAGTCACCGACTTCCTGTACCTCCAGCCAACTTGGAGAGGGAATTGAGCCTTCTTGGGGGCGAGAAGGATAGAAGAGAAGAGAGCAAGGCGAGGTCATCCAGCTGGATTTGAGGCTGCTGAGCCTGGTTCTCTGTTGCTAGGGTGAAGACGCACGGGTGGTTAGGCTAGGTCTGAGCGCCTGGGTTACTTGCTTGCTTAAGCGCGCGAACACTGGTTACGCCCAGTCAGATGCGTGCCCTGGCATGGCTGTGCGGGACGAGATGGAGCCAGTCGAGTTTGCTGCTTCAAGCGCAGGTCTGATGCATGCTACGCTGATCGTACGTCTGTGATTGATTCCCCAATTGCCCGCAGCACGCCGCCGTGGTCACTCTGGCTGCAGCCCTGGAGGCTGTGTACGTGCAGCTCATAGTACCTGCATCCTGTGTAAACACAGGTTCGCAGCTCATTGATCTGCCGCGGCACAACACTCGCCATCACACATTTCCTGCTTCACAAGGCCGAGTTGCATGAGGCTATCCAAGCACGCTTGTCTATCCTCTCGTTGCTACGTAAGGCCACAAACGCACAGACTTCACGTTTCTGCAAGCATTTGCCTGTTCCTTGTCCAGCGCCGTGAAACGAACCACTGCCATCCCCGCTGCTGAGGTCGCACAATTCTCTCCGACCTTTCTAGCCTTGCGCAACCTGTGTCCGTTTCCTAGGGATACCGCGAACACAAAGGTGGTAGCGACAACAGAATGCAGGCGAACCAGGCCGTGCATCACCCATGCAAAGAGCCTCACAGAAGGTGGATTCTATTATTTGCGACACTACCTGCGCTATTCCCACACGGCCAACGCGAGCCCTTTCGTCATCACAACATGTCTTCCACTTGGCGTCGCGATGTAAGATGCAGGTTGCGCATCTCAATTGGCCCGCAGCCTCGAGTCTGAAGCAGCCATGCTGTCTCATTGGGCGAGCGGAAGACTGCCACCGATGAATTCGTGCAGTTCCAGTTAAAGCCGAATACGCAAGCGCCTCTCTCTGAGCTGATTACGGCCCGTTCGCCCTCAGCAACCAAACCGCTAATCCGCTTGTGGCGCTGTGGAACCGGCATGTCCTCTCTCCTCGGGTGGAGCGTCGCCTAGGGTGTGTTCGCGATCGAGGTGCGGCTCTCCAAATCGCGATGGAGACCTCTCCAGACGTCATAACCAATACAACTCAGACAGCCAGACTTCCAAGTTTCCTGGTTTGCAAATGCACAACTAGTAGTTGGCAGATTTGGCCGACAAGCACGAGCAAACAAACAACTCTGCAAATTGCGCAGTTCAGCTGGCCGCGAGCACGATGGCGGAAGCCCCGGTGAGCGATAGGCGGTTCGAGAACGCACCCTCATATGGAAGCTGGACAAACCGGCATGCACAAAACCTTCACAAACGGCACAGGGCGTTTTGGACCCCACCATTCGACCGGTGACCCCTCCTGTCAGCGGGTACTTGAGGGCCAAGCACCGGCGCTTCTAAAGGTCCCTGGAATTGTCGCGTGCTGCCATGGTGACAGCAGTACACAAACAACCTAAAGTGTCCCGTGACCTTCCACCATACCCCAGATCGCGAAGTTTCAGACCCTAGGTTCTGCGGGTGACTGAGGATTTTTAGACTCAATCAGGCGTCCTCATCGTGGGTTTCGACCATTTTGTGCATGCACAGCACTCTATCCGCCAGTCCGATCTCACGCGTGGTTGGCGAGAGCTGTAACGGCCGCTGTATGAGTGGACCCGAGGCAAACATACAGCTTGAAGAAAAAATCATGGCGGCGTTGACTAGCATTCGGAACACAGCTATCATGGAGCCTTGCATGAGGTCACGTCACTCAAGGAGCACTGCCAGTGATTTTACTGATCTAACGTGCCTCGCGCGAAGCACACAATTCCGAGTACCTCTCAGTCTGACTGAACAGCCAACGAACTACTCTAGGGCGCGAGGTTAATTTGCGTCCCTTGCTTTTGCTATCACTTTTAAGGCTTTGCCGCAAGCTCGAGGGCGGAGAAGGTTTCCTCCAACTGATGGTTCTGCTCTTGATCAAGGTTCGTGTGCCGTAATGGAGTTCCTCGGGCCCAGCGGCAAGGTTTCGGCTGATGGCGTAAGCCATGGGTTTGAGCGAGAGTGCTGATCAGGGTCGCTACCAGAATTGGACATGGGTGCAAAACACCTAGACCAGAAAGATAACGGTGGGTGTCTGCAAACGGACTGCAACGCGCTGAGTGGCGTGGCCCACGATATGTATTGAGAAGTTCTCTCCCGTTGTACACTATAGGCCGATCCATTCAAGAAAAGATTGAGTCTGACTTTGCCAAGTATATTGATTATGACCTCAAGGCCCTTGATATTCCGGTTTCAGAGAAGTATAATTAGGTCCGCTCACACTGCTGAGGCGGTCATTCCAGAATGCCGCAATGGATGTGACCAGGCTCGGGTCATCAACCAGAGAAGAGATCGGCTATCTAGGCGTCATCAACCATTCTAAAGAAGAAAGTTGACAATTCCTGCAGCACTAAGATCCATCTCATCGCAGCCTGCGGGGCTCATCTATCTCCATAACAATCGCTAGAGACCCAGACGACCCATCAAACTCGGCATGTTTTCAAAGATGACCTCGAGATATTGGGTCATTCCGTGCAAGCTACGGAGCAGATTTTAACGTCTTGCAGTGACTATTTTGAAACTAGTGACACACACCTCTCTCCCTGAGAAACAAATGCGGAGTACCCATTTCGGCAAGTGAAAAGTCAAAGTCTTACTCGAACGGTGGAACGTAGTCGTGAGAATGGAAGTGGAGTTGGAATGGGGAGATGCCGGGTCGGCAAAATGATCCGCCGTCCAGATTAGGCCGAAACAGGCATGGTGCAGAAATTTTATTGAAGGTTCACGTAACCCTTGACCAAAGACCTCGCCAGCAACGACACCAGCAGACAGTTGCCACAGAGATGGGAGACAAAAACTATCGGAAGAGGACACGCGACCCTGTTCAGAGCGATCAAAAAAACGAAGCCCCTGTAAAACGCCGCAGACAGCTTAGTGAGGAACAAATTAAGCTCTCCAAACTCTACGATGATTTGGCAGCCGAATCGGATGATGTGCGTTTCGACGCCGCAAAAGAGCTCATTCTGAAGTTCTCGCCTGGCAACCAGCCGGCTGCCAAAGATGTCGAAACTGCCTTGGGTCGCCTCATCAAAGGTCTCTGCAGCCAGCGGAAAGCGGCGCGTGTTGGCTTTTCACTCACTCTCACTGAGCTTCTTCGAGAGATATTCGGCCAGAGAGAAATTACAATCGAGGGCTTAGATCTTGACGTGGCCTCACTTATCAAACTTGTTGAGGAGAAAACCAAGGTTGAGGGCAATGTACCCGGAAGAGTAAGTGCTGCGGTTGCAATTCGCATTCTCATGACTTACATCTCCTAGGAGAGACGTGATCACCTCATTGGCAAGCTCTTTGGCTACAAGGCTGTTCTGCAGTCTTCCATTGTGATCGAGCCGGAACTTTCCATGGTATGCTGGAACAAGCTTCTGGACCACATCTACGGAATGGCACGCGATGTTCCCTGGCTACGCGAAGAATGTGGCATGGTTCTCGTGGAAGCGGCGAAGAGTCTGCGAGGTCGGAAAGAGTATGAGGAATGCGCAAAAGAGATGATTGGTCGCCTCAGCGCCTTTAAACTCACCTCGATACCCGAAGCGGTGGCTATCTGGTTGACTGTGCAGGTAGACTATGGGGATGTACTACCGGACGGTGTATGGCATAGTAAAGACCCATTGTCGAAGAAAGAGCGTCCTCGGTTAGCCAAGATCTTGAAAGAGAACTATCAAGGCGCGCAAGAGGATGGCAGTGGAGAGCCTGTCAAATCAGGCGTAGCGAGTCCTAATCCTACGTTTGCGTGGAATCTGGTTCTCTCGGAGATCTTGCGTAGAGATGGGCAGATCACGGGCGCGAAACAGGAGTCTTCTAAGACAGAGTTTCCTCAGTTCTGGATTGACACAGTAGACAGTGAGTACGCAATGCTTTTCTTGGGAAACATCAACTCACAAACCATAGGTAACCTCTTCGCTTCAACCTCATCCCACGAGCGCAAGGCATGGGGCTTTAAGCTACTGAGCAGCATGATTATTCAGGTCCCGGAAAGCGCCCTCCCGTCTTTATTTAGTCCCAATCTCATGCGAACACTCATCAACCAGAGCAAGAAGGAAGACAGGTTTCTTCACTCTGCAGCGTTGGCTGCTCTCAATTCGATACAGGCGAAAATTCAGCATGAGCCCAAATCCGCCCTACCAATTTTCGTCGCCCTTTCTTCGAAGCATGGAAGCATTGACTTTGATAAGATCACGAAGACAAAGACTCTTGAGCAGATTCTATCTGTGGCCGAAGACGACGTCCTGAAGAAGATCGTACGCCACCTGAATTCACTGATTCTGCGGCCCGAGACCGAGGAGCAGGCGATTGCTGATAGTCGCCGCCAAAACATTGCGGACTTGCTCTTGAACACGATCAAGCACTACAGGCGTTATGAAGAGGCCTCTGATGATCTTGCTGAGAAAGACGGTTGGCTTTACAAGACTCTAGAAGTCTTTGTCGAGTATGCCTACTTTGTCCCCAGCCAAAGCGCAAAGACTAGCAAAGTGCCTCTTCCTGCGTTGAGCGACCGAACCCGGCAAATATTCCAAGAACGTCTCTCTTCTTGCTTGACAAAGCTACTTAGCGTTGATGTAGGCTCACGCTCAACCTTCGCTCTCACAATCGTGGGCATGATTCGATCCAAGAATGCATCATCCAAGTCTTTGGATTTGGCTTTCAAAGCAGATGAATCGGTTACCAAGACACTGGAAAAGGCCTCCCAAACCTTGGATGCTATCTCTGCAAAGGTATGTGTGTCATACACTCTAAACTTTTCAGCTACTTACCCGTTCTCAGGGCTCGATCGCTGGAAACAAGATGGCAGCCGAAGGGTTCATCCTCCTGTACTCCCTGACACTTCTTCAAGTTTACAATGGTGAAGGCGACGCCGTCATGATGCTTGATGACCTCGACGTCTCGCGCAAGTCAATGCTTAAGAAAGCAAAGGGCACTGCTGAAGAAGGCTCAGATGTGTTTGTGGAGATTGTCCTGAGCTTTTTAGGAAACCCTCGTACGCTGTTCCGCAAAATTGGTGAAGAAGCCTTGTCTATCTTTGCATCCGAGATAACTGCAGAGGGCTTGAGCTCGCTGACAGACATCCTGGATACGGAGGAAAACGTGGAGGGACAGAAGGAGCTCTTCAACAATCAAGAAGACGAAAACGAGGAAGACGACGGATCTAGCGATGATTCAGAGGCGGACTCGGATGTCGAAATGGTTGATGGCGAAGACGAGGGGTCAGAAAAGGACGAATCCGAGGACTCAGACGATACTAGTGACGAGGATGCCAGCGGTAGTGACGACGGAAGTGAAGACGATGCGGAACTGACCCAGTTCAACAACTTGCTGGCCATGACGCTGCAGACCTCGAAACCCGACGTCGATGGCGAAGCTGCTGAAGACACCTCGGACGAATCAGACATGGATGACGAGCAAATGATGGCTCTCGACCCTCATCTCAGTCAAATCTTCAAGCAAAGAAGCCAGGTCACAAGCAAGAAGAAGGATAGAGAAGACGCTAAACAGAATGTCGTCCAGTTCAAAGCGAAGGTCTTGGACCTCCTCGCGATATACTTGGAGAAGCAGTACTCCAACCCACTTACTCTCAACGTCCTACTGCCGATTGTCCGCCGCACAAGGGCGAGCGCGAATAAGCAGCTTGCGGAGAAGGCATCGAAGATGCTCAAGACGTTCTTCGACTCTCGCAACAAGCATAAGGCGCCACTACCAAAGCCGGACGATTTGGATTCTGTCTGGGACGTTCTGAAAGAGATTCACGAGGAGGCCAAGTTGGGTGGTGGTGCGAAGATCCACGCCGATGCGTGTAGTAGCGCCAGCTTACACGTTGTCAAGATACTCATTGGACTAGATAAGGAGCATTATGCCGGTGTAGTGGATGTCTATGCGGCGACTCAGAAAGAGTGGTTCATGAACAAGAAATCACCTCTGCAGCCTATGTTGTTCACGGCTTTCCAGAATTGGTCGCTCAATGCAAGGCAGCAGGGAAGATAGGAGGGTAGTTCGGGTGAGAGTGAGACATTTGTAATAACAGAAGCGCAAGATACCCGCTTGATAGCAATGTAAATAACATGAATGAGCGACGAAATTGAAGGAGACGCGGAGAAATTTTGCCGGTTTTGTGCCAGACACAGATTTGGATTGGCCAGAATGTTGACAAGTCATTAGACTTCCAAGCAAGGACAAAGTTTCTCGATCATTGAAATCATAACAGCAGAGGATCTCAGTCCACTCAAGCTAGAAGTGTGTTGTTTCATCAACCTATCTGAGCCGCGGTTCGATTTAGCTGCCCAGTCCGTTATGTCATTTGCCCCGCCAAAAGCTACTGCAGGAACGAACCAAGCAATCAGCACGCGCTCACTTGCTGTGAGCAAACAATCAACACGATCTTCTCGACATTCTACTCTTAGCCCTGTCAACACACTCTGAGTGATAGAAGCTTTATACTCACTGCAGCTGGCAATGGCGTGCACGCACGTCAACGCGCCTGGTGAGCACCCCGCATTTGCCTTCAGCAGGTCTGTTGTATTCACACGAATTAGAGCTTCGCGCCCCCGGATCAACGCAGTCCGTGTACAGAGAAGATTGCACACAATGCTTTGATTCCATAGTGAGTTGCCATTCCGAAGTTTGCCGAGCTCCCCCAACTGACGAGACGCTCAGGACGACCCGACCGGCCTCGATGTTTGTCTCTACTGCTTCAATGGCGGATGTACCAGTGACCGGAACCACTCACTCCTCCACGTCTCCACCAAGAATCATCCTCTCGTCCTGAATATCAAGCGCACGCGAAAGAAGGTCAAGCGCGATGAGCCGCCGCAGAAGATGACAAAGCTTGCGATCGCGGCTGAAACCGAGACCGACCGCTACGACACCACAACCCAGGTCAAATGCTATGAGTGTGGCGTTGATGACGTCGACAAGAGCACTGGGAAGCTACCAGACGTGGTCGACGCTGTCCTCAAGGCAAACACCTTTGCGCGCCAGGAGGAGGTCAAGGCCTGGGAGCAAGAGCTGACTCCATGCGAGCACACGCTGTGCTTGGAGCAGGAAGCTGCACGGCAGATCAAATCTCAGAGCCTGGGTCATTGCTCAGAGTGTGAACTCAACGAGAACCTCTGGCTGTGTCTGACGTGCGGTAATCTAGGCTGCGGCCGTCAACAATATGGCGGCACTGGTGGCAACTCTCATGGTGTCGGACATACAAAGACCACGGGTCACCCTGTGGCAGTCAAGCTTGGCTCCCTTACGGCTGATGGAACGGCCGACATCTACTGCTATGCATGTGATGAGGAGCGTGTCGATCCTGCGTTGCCTGACCACCTGGCTCATTGGGGCATCAATATCAAGGACAGGGTCAAGACAGAGAAGAGTCTTACCGAGATGCAGGTCGAACAGAACTTGCGCTGGGAGTTCTCGATGGTCACTGAGGATGGTAAAGAGCTCAAGCCATTGTTTGGCCCAGACTTTACTGGCCTCAAGAACCTGGGAAACAGCTGCTACCTGAACAGCACTTTACAAGCCCTATTCGCCATGCCTGAGTTCAAAGACCGGTATTACCTGCCAGATGAAGCGCTGCCCAGCACCAACCAGCCCGCTGAAGATCTGGAAACCCAATTGCGAAAGGTAGCAGATGGCTTGATCTCGGGTCGCTACTCCAAGCCAGATAGCGACGTTTTTGTCTCCGAGAGCTCTCCTGAAGTTCCACATCAGCGCGGTATCGCACCAGCTATGCTCAAGCATCTCGTTGGACGAGGCCATCCCGAGTTCTCCACTATGCGACAACAAGATGCCTTCGAGCTGCTTTTGCACTTGCTCAAACTTGTTTCGCGCACCCAGCACGTTGCACCTCACAAAGACCCGGTGGACGCTTTCCGATTTGCAATGGAACAGCGACTGCAGTGCATTGGTTGCAAACGAGTACGCTACCGGTCCGACGAGCAAGAGAACATCTCTATCCCTGTCCCGATTCGAAGGATACCAAAGGATGCGCAGATGGAAGTCACCGACGCTGCAGGTAAAGATGCAGAGCAAGAGAAGGAAGAGTTCGAGTCCGTGTCTTTGAAGGAGTGTCTTGACATATTCACCGCTGAGGAGATGGTGGAGCTCACCTGCAGTGCCTGTGGAAGTAAGGATGGCTTTCTGAAGAGGAGCATGTTCAAGACCTTCCCGACCGTGTTGGCTGTCAATGCCCGCCGATTTGAGCTGGTCAACTGGGTTCCAACTAAGCAGGATGTCCCAGTCATTGTCAACGATGAACCCTTCTCGTTCGACGCCTACAAGTCTCACGGCCTGGTTAATGGCGAGGAAGTCCTACCAGAAGATACGGATACTGGAGCAGCCTCAAACAAATGGGTGCCAAACGAAGCTGCGTTGTCCATGCTAGAGGCCATGGGTTTCCCTAGAATCAGATGCGAAAAGGCACTACATGCGACTGGAAATGAGGACCCTGAGGCAGCTTCGAACTGGCTCTTTGCACACATGGAGGACGCTGATATCGATGACCCTGTAGACTCCAACGCAGGCAGTGGCTCTGGTGGCGCTGCTGCTTCAGCTACTATAGATCCTGAAAAGATCGAGAACTTGGGCGCCATGGGCTTCAGTGCTCCACAGGCGCGACAGGCTTTGAAAGAGACCGGTGGCGATATGGAACGTGCTGTGGATTGGTTGTTTTCTCACCCAGATGCACAGGGCGACTTTGATGAGGGCGGCAGCTCAGAGGTATGGTAAACCGATTCTGCATGGGAAACAAGCTAATAAGTCATCGCACAGCCCCCCGCAGAGCAGCAAGACAAGTTACTTCCAGGAAGTGACAAGCTGCCAGCAAACTTCCAGCTCCAGTCCATTGTGTGCCACAAGGGCAGCTCAATTCATGCTGGGTGAGTAACTCCATGCAAGTGCCGTCAGATAAGATAGCTAATTCTCTACAGTCATTACGTTGCGTTTGTTCGCAAGCAGTTGCCAGACGAGCAAGCTCCATCATGGGTCCTCTTCAACGACGAAAAGGTTGCCAAAGCAGCTGACGTAGAGGAGATGAAGAAGTTTGCATATGTGTATTTCTTCCGGCGTTTGTGAATAGACATGGTCTATACATTGCATTACTGGCTAGCATAGCGGGCGTGGAGTTGTGTGAACCAAGCATTGGTGGAGTAGGTCACGCATTATGGATTGGCAATGGGGAAAGAGTTGGAAGCATATGCGGCGAGCAATGGAGCAATATGGTTGGGATGGAGCATAAGATACATGAATGAACGAATGGTTGCTCACATCAAATGACAATGCATTGCCGTGCACGTCGTCAGAAGTCCAAATGGAAGGTGTGTAATCACCACACCAAAAATTCCGCATCCCCACATTAGAACTTTCGAGCTACAGAGTGAGCTCGTCTACAGTCCTCTGTCTTCACAGGATCGAGACGTTAAGAAAGTCACAGATGTCGCCCATCTGCTTGACACATGTAGAGTATAGAATGTAGTAAGGTATGTCGCCCTTCTACTTGACATGCGTGTAGTATAGAATGTGATTAGGTTATCGCATGACAAAACTTGAAACAATCAGCATCGCCGTCTAAACCTCTGGGCTCGAGTATCACAAAACACCTGATAGTGGCTGCAGTCATGATCGCGTAAGACAGTGTGCAGCAGTCACAGGCACGAAGCTACGGGTCGAGCATCCGGTTCAGTCAATACATGGTAGGACGAAGTTTGTTTGTTGACTAGATCAGCAACAGTGTCCTACACGAGCACTCCAAGCATCCACGAGCCAAGTACAAGTCAATATGCGGTGGAAGCGTGCGGAGAATCTCTTTGCTACCCAAAACACCGCACTAGCACCCGTGGATGCACTTTCCGCCCCCACTCAGCATTGCGGGAAGACTGGTAAGCATCTGGACTTTTGGCTTGAAGCGTGTCGAGATCAGACGGATGAACTTATGGGCCGAGTGACATCCGTGTCGTTGAGCTGAGCACAAGTACGAGGGCTTACAGGGTCCGGTGAGGGTCTGGCGGGTGGTGGAGTGAGAGAAGATGTTGGTACTGAAGATCTCACCGGATGGGCAGTGAAGGTTGTGTAACGAGTGTGTGGTTTGCTATCTCTGATATCTGCGGGGCCATTCATACCATATGACTTTGTTGTTTTTGGCTCACCCTGTGATGTGCAGTAAAGTGGTGAACCCTGGACACAGTCACTGTTGACAGCAACGTCTGGCACTTTCTAGAAGCTCGAGCTTTTCTTGTTCTGGCTCGATCGATCCAGCACGACACTCAACACTCAACGCAAGTACCCATTGCCCGCCTCACTCCAGTCGCTGTGCGCGGAAAGGTCCGGCGTACGCGATGTTGTTATGCATCGTATGGCAAGGGCAACCTTGTTGCGTTGGGCTGTTCGGACTGCTATGTGCATCGCCCTCTGCAAGATGCAAAAAGCGTCTTGAGTCAAAATCTAGTGCGTCAAGCTGCAAGCCAGACTCGGGCAATTTCGAGCGCGGTGTTCTGGTCAGCGGATCCTAGGCAGCGAACATGTGTAGTGGTAGTGCTGAGCATCATGAGTCGTATCGTCAGCCGCCCGACGCCACATGGGCCGCATGCTCGACTTCACCGCATGCGGGGCTGTGCGACGGCGGGTTTCATGCGTCCGGTCAGGCTCTTTTGTACATAGATCTAGAGGGGGCGGCATGCGAGTTGGACTTGTGGGAGGAGTGGTTCGCATCAAGGACCGATAGGCGAGCTGCGGGCGGGCAAATGCTGGGGCTGCTGCAGCGCGGTGAGAAGGGCTTGGGCAGACAGGCAGACTTGAGGCACTGCCCTACAGTCAAAAGGTAGATATGCAGTGTTGGAGCGCAGCTGTGATCCCGGTGCAGAGTTTGCTTTTCTCCCACCACATGGTCGAGCGTGCTGGGTGGTGCTGTCGAGGTCTCAGAGATTGACGTCATCCCCCAGACCATAGCATACAAGCAGCCCCAGGACTTCAAACTGGGCACAGCGGCCCCATTCTCGCAGTTGCGCCTGATCCCGCCCGCTTTGCTCAAAAACGAGACGTGACGTCCTGTCCCGCCCGTTCGCCCTACGTTTTGTCTCTTATTACTCCGCCCGCTTTTCGACTGTCGAGTGCACCATTGCAATCGCCTTCAGACGAAACCGTGTTGATCAACACGCTTGTCAATCACTGCTCGCCTACGTACGATCCACAACCACCTGCGGGTTCCCGCGCCTCTCCGCCCGCCGCCGCCGGGCCACGAAGACGACTCAGCACCATCGGACTGGCTAAGTAAGGCGAGTCTGCGTCAGAGCATCGTCGCCCTTTATTTGCCTGTTGCCTGTTGCCAGTTGCCAGTTGCCAGTTGCACCCCTCGACGGAACCTGCCCACCTAACATTGCAGCTGCGTCCTGCGACGTCACTGCGCATTCTTATCACTCCAACCCCCTACCCTACCCGGCGCAAACCTCCCCATGTCTGTCATCTACAAGGAACGCGAGCGCGAGCGCGAGTGGGACACGGCCTCGCGCGGCGGTGCGCAGAGCTACACCACCGTGAGGCGCTACAAGGTGCCCGACCATAGCCTGGAGGCCGACACGTACGAGGCCGAAATGCGCATGGTCCACCGTGGAGGCCGCAGCGACTTCGACGACCGCCGTTCGACGACGACCAAGGACTACGTTGTGGAACGCGAGGTCGACCGCGATGTCAGGGAGTACCGCTACCAAGACCGCTCTCCGTCACCGCGGGGTCGGGACGTCCGCGACTACCACATCCAGCGCTCAGTCGTCCACGAACGATCCCCCTCGCCAGCCCGCACTGTGCGCGAGGTCCGCATAGAACGCGACTACGAGCGAGACATCCCGCAGCATCGCGACGACCAGTACTCGCTCGAAAAGTACTCGAGAGACATCGAATACTACCGCGAGCCCCCGCCGCCCCCGCCGCCCCAACAACAGCAACAGCCACAGTCCATCTACATCCGCAATGAAGCCCCGCCGCAGCAAATGCAGATGGCGCCCATCATTATTCGTGAGGAGGCCCCACAGCCGATCATCATCCGGGAGCGCGAGCCAGCCTATGAACTCATCGAGCGCTCCGAGGTGCAGCAAGAGCGCCAGGTTGCCCGACCACGCCACGAAGAGGACTACTACTACGAACGCAGAGTGAAGGAAGTAGACCGCGGCGGCAGACACGAGGAACGCTACATGGACGAGCGCGAATACGGCCGAGATCGCTACGGAGATAGAAACTACTACAGCGACGACGACGTCGTCTATGTGCACAAGGAGAAGGACACCTGGGGCAGCGAGACCAAAACTAAGCGCGATGTTGCAGCCGGCGCCCTTGCTGGCATAGCAGCTGGCCAGATTGTTAGACACCACCGAAAGAGAAAAGGTGAAGCCGCTGGAGGCTCCATAGGCAATGCCCTCGGATACGGTACCCTGGGTGCAGTCAGCGCGGTTGCTCTCGACAAGTACAACAACAGAACCCGATCACGCTCTGTTTCATCCGACCGCGGGCGACGAAGGCACCACAGCCAGGGCCGAGCACGTAGCAAGTCAAGAGTCAGGGAGATTGGTGCACTGGCAGCCATTGCTGGTGTCGGTGCTCTGGCCTACGCTGCTGGCCGCAAGAACAAGGACAAGGGCGTTACCACTGTTGTCGAAGAGCACCGCCACAGGTCGCGCTCTAGGAAGTCGCGGTCCAAGCGCGGCCACTCTAGGAGAGGAAGATCAAGGTCTGTCACTGTCATTGAAACTGATGGTGGTCCGTCCCGTTCTCGTTCTCGCAGCACGAGCAAGCACATGGATCCCAAGCACCGTAACAACCGGGTCGCCCAAGTTGGCCTTGCCAGTGCCGCAGTCGCTGGACTTGCCGCGCGCAAGCGAAGCAAGTCCCGCCAGCGTGAAGGCAAACGAAGCCGTAGTCGAGTCCGCGAGGGTGTACCGATTGCTGCTGCCGGCGTTACTGGCGCAGCCATCACTGGACTGTATGAGAAACACAAAGCTAAGAAGGAAGCCAGGGCGATATCACGGTCGAAGTCAAGGTCAAGATCAAGGTCAGTGCTCGACCGCCTCAGAGGGCGAAACCGCAGTAGGCGTGGAAGCACAGCAAGTGAACCTGTTTTAGTAGAGTACGGTGGTGATCCCATTTACACCGACCCCGCGACCCGCAGCCGATCGCGTGGCCGGCGGCGACGAGACTCATCGTCGAGCCGGAGCCGGAGCCGGAGCCGAAGCAAGAGTCGCGCACGATCGGTAGCGGAAACTGCGGCGGTTGCAGGTGTTGCGGGTCTGGCTGCTCACGAGGCAGCCAAACGGCGAGATCGCAAGAAGGCTGAGAAGGAACGCGATAAACGACGTGAGTCTCCCAACCGCCAACATCGAAACTAGTTGTACTGAGTCCTCACCAGGCGACGAAGACTCAGCCTACTCTACTGGTAGCTACAGTCCATACGACAGCCCCCGTCCTTCCACCACTTCCACATCACACCCCAATGATTCCCGCTTCTTCCCAGAGTCAAACTACTTTCCTCCACCCCCAACAGCACCCATAGACCACCAGGCTCCATATCCTCCATACAACCCAGCCGACTACCCTCCTCCGCCATCCACCACTTTCGAGCCCAGCCACCCATCCACATACGTCCACCCACCGCACGACGACATCAACCACGGGAACCCCTACGCCCCGCCCCAGCACCAGTCCAACTACTACTATGGTCAGCCCCGTCGTCCCGATGACAATGTGAGTGCTTTCGCCCCTGTCGCAGCCAAGACCGAGCACTCGTTCGCCTCTGCACGTGGTGGGTCTCAGTACCCAGCCCAAAGTCCCACCCCACTAACCTCCCGCCCAACAGATCGTGTAATCGACCCCACCGACTCCTCGCCCTCACGATCCCCCTCGCCTGAACCCTTTCGGAAGTCCGCAGCGAAAAGACGGTGCAGTTCGATCTCACGCCAAAGGGCCCGTCGCGCGAGGTCTCGCCTGTGAGGTCTGAGGGCGAGCACAAGCATCGGCGGAGAAGGAACGATGACGATCGGTCGGAGGATAGTGCGAGGGAGTCTGGGCGGCATCGTAAGCGGAGACATCGTGATCGCGACGAGAGTCCTGCGTCGGATGCGTCGGACCAAACGATTGATTTGCCGCCAAGGTTTGACGACTTGGGGCGCAAGAGGCCTGAGGATCCGTTGGCGGAGAAGCTGGAGAGTGTGCTGCAGAGCATTTTTCGATAGGCGTTTTTCTTCTCTACGATGTTTCTCTACTTTTTTTTGAATGGGGGGGGGGGGGGGGGGGAAGTTTGTTCTTAGGATGGGATGGGTTGTTTTATTTATTTTGCTTGGTGCGGTAATATCGAGATGACAGAGATGACGGTTACGACCTTTTTTCTTTGAGCAGACATGTTCCTTTTATTCCTAATATACCTTTAATGATTCGTATACTGTTCTTCTTGCTTCCAACGTACACATCAAGTTGTCAGTGAATCCACGAGCCAGTCTCAAATTCGTACATTTCAGTCTAACATAGAAGGTACCAGACGGCCCTCAAGCCCGTATAGCTCGCTGAAAGAAGAAAAAAGGAAACAGAAAAAGCCTGAGCCCCTGGATGCCGCAAATACAATTACACGCCAAGTAGACAAGAAAATCCCCTGGTGCCTTCTTTTATATTCTTTTTCAAAACACGCCTGCAACAAGCAATGACGAGGCTTGCGCTATGCCCATTTCCAAACACGCCGGGTGATATAGATACACAAGTTGATGAGTACAAAAACAGCCACTAGTCAATCTTTGCCTGGGCCTGGGCCTGCTGCATGTTGGCCATGGCATTCTGACTCCAATTCTGCTGCAGGCCCGCGCTATTGGGCGGTTGCGAAGCTATCGACGCGTTGGAGTTCATGCGCTGGGGGCCGGGAGACTGCTTCATTTGCGCGGCCTGGCCCTTCCAGCCAGGGAACAGCTCGACGAGTTTCTGATACAGCTTGACGACCTCGGGCGGGCCGGCGGGGACGGACATGATAGCCGGGCCGGGCTGGAGTTGCTGGCCGGGCTTGTGGTTCTTCTCTGCGTTCTGCGCGAGGAAGGCGAGATTGGCTTGGAGACGGCGCATGTAGCTGGGGCACGATTAGCTGGTGGGTACTAAGAGGTCGAGGTAGGCGTCACTCACTCTACGTATTCCTTGGACGGCTGAGACTTGTCGCTCTCGGGCTTGCCGTCCGCTGCCTGGCCGACCTGGCCGGCCTTGCCCTGGCTCTGGAGGTCGCATACCTCCTTGATGAGGATCGAGTTGATCTCGAGCAGCGTGGCTACCCTATCCTGGTTGCGCGCCTGTGCGACGGGCGACACAGGCGAAGGAGGGACCGTCTTGACGGGCGTCTGCGCCTGCGGGGGCTCGGGCTTGATCTGGGCCATGGGCTGCTGGTGGCCGTTGGACGGCACGGGCGACTGCTGCTGGAGGTGTTGCGGGTGCTGGAGGTGGGGGGTCGCATAGGGCTGGCCTACGTTGCTTGCGGGCGAGGCGGTCTGGCGGTTCTGGGCAAACTGCTGGTGGGCAGGCGAGGGCAGGGCCTGGGAGTAGGGCGCGGTCGAGTACTGCTGTTGCTGCTGTTGTTGCTGCATCGCGGCGGCTCCATGGCGCGTCAGTGTCAGCACAGGATCCGCAAGTGAGTGGTCGGGAACAGGCTCGGGCAACACGAGACGAGAGGGCGGGAAATGTGGAAATGTGGGCGCACGTCACTCGCTCACCTCGTTGCATGCCTCCGGGCTGCATGGGCTGCTGCTGCATCATGCCATTCATCGGCGCGCCACTGCTGCTACCGGCTCCATGGCCCACCACGCCCCCGGGATTGGGGAAGCCTTGGCCGTTGTTCGCAAACTGGCCGCTGTAGGGGAACGACTGGCCGGCCTGCTGGAACTGTGCCTGCGCCTGCGCCTGCGCCTGCGCCTGCGGAGGGAGACTGGTCTGCGGGGAGGGCGCTGACGACGGGAAGCCGCCGAACGAGGGCTGCTGGCCGTTGAAGGCCTGGTAATCCATGGCGAGCGCGAGCCGAGAAAGAGAGCGACTGATTGGACACGTTGCACAGCACCGATCAAGTTGATTGGGGTGGATCAAAGAAAGGATAACGTGCGGTGTCAGTGATTAGGTTGATCTCCCACCGACATGGCTTTTCGGACCCTTGCGCCCCTAGCTGCCGAGCCGCTCATCATCCGCAGCACATGGCAGCGAGGCCTCAGATGCCACCCTCCGCAGCGCATCGTGAGATAGACACGGCCGCCCCCGAAGAAGCCGGAGGAGCAGCCGCCGCCGCCCGCATAATGACGACCCAAACATTCCTAGCAACCGCGGCTTTGAGCACACTCACACAAACAGCAGTGGTCCGAGCCACCCTGGTCCACCCGCTCCACCCAGATGCTTGACATATTCTCCGCAGCCACCACGCATCCAGAACCGGTACCCAGACTACGCCTTGTCTGGTGCCGGCTGGCCATTAGAGACGCCTCGCAACCACAGGCTAGCCCTACAGGAACCGTGTCAGATCATGGCGTCGCACTCGCGGGCCTGATTTGTCGCATTGTGTGACCGAGTCGACAGCTATAGTGCAACTATATCCGCCTCCAACTCCACCGAACCAGGACACGGCGAAACTAGAGTGCAACGGCCCTTGGCAACCGTATGTGAGCGACACTACCCCATGGCCCACCACCACCTTGCCTTAAGCGAGTTCTAGCCTGGCCGCCGGTCCTGCGCGTGCATGTAAAAGGCGTTGGTTATCTATCCTGTCCTGCCTTCCAACAGCACATGTGACCACCATGCCTTGCTTCCAGCTTCTGCAGAATGGTCGACTATCGGGAGCGCCAAGTGCCATCGACCCCCACACCCATCACTCCCGAAATACCTCATCTCTTGTCGGCGTTTCTTTGCGTCGCAGCGCTACAAAGTAAGCTTCCTTGGATTCCTGACCGGCGTAAGCATGATCCTGGCAGACTGAACTAGAGAGTCACATACAGTGCGCGACGAGTCCGGTTTCTCTCGGTGAACACTTGCGAACAGACGCTTCAGCTTTGTCTCAAAAGCCTTCTCTTCAGTCCCTTGGTAGAACTTGCACAGGAAGTGACCGCCAGTCTTGAGCGTGTCGTACGAAAACGTCAACGCAGCCATACACAGGTCCTGAAAGCTTAGCACTGAAACCATACTCAGAGCGAACAAACTTACCATGCTTCCGGCGTGGTCTCTGAAGGCATTACCGCTGGTGTTCATCATCCTAAAATACGGGTCACTAAGGCTCTTCTTGTAGAAGCCGGCCGTCTGGTCCCAGGGTTCTGACATGTCACTCAGCACCACATCAACTGCTCTCCCATGTCGCGCGTCCCGCTCCTTCAGAGAGAGCCTGGCCTTGGGAGCCGCATCTGCCTCGATGTATGCTGCTGGCTGGCCCATTGGCTCCGTAGTTACGCCCTCGAGGTGCGCTTGGCGTTCAATGTCGATGTACCCTCGTTCCATTTCGTCGAGATCCTCTTCCGTGATACCGTCTTCGTCCTTGGCCGAAACATTCTTGCGCGGCCGTCCTAGCTCAGGATCTCGGACATACGCTCGAACTTCATCTTGAATGACTGTAGATAGGAAGTTGCCTTGAATAGTGGATACACCCCGGGGAGGCTGGGCCGGGATAAGATCGATGCCAATGACGCGACCATTGGGGTTGGTGCGATTGACTGCGACCTGAGAAACTTAGACAATGGGTGGAGGTTGTGGTTTCAATCCTGCTTACCTGAGACCACGACCCTGGCGCAAAACCCTGGAAACACTTAGCTGGGTATCAATTGCGTTCTAGAAGGCTCATACAAGGTCCACGACAGTTTGCCCAGGCTTGAATAATTTGTGCTTTTCATTGAGCTACCAAAATCAGTGAACACTCAACCGCTAATATCTCACCATCATACTTCTAGCAACTTGAAAGCTGCGCGGCTCTTCAATCCCTGCACCCGAGCTTCACGTGCGAAGAAGTCTTTGCCTTGACGAGACTTCCATCTCGTTGATGACGAAGACGATGCGTGGCGAGCAGGAGGTACATCGGGTCGACGACATTGGCGACATTGATTAGCAACGCAAGAAGCAGCAGTTACTCTGTAGCTTCCACCCAAGAGCACACGGTCAGTAAGCTCGCGGAAAATGCGTCGTGAAAGCATGAAGATGTTTTGTCGCTGCATGCTGAAGCTCAAACGTTCTCATGTGACGCACGAGGGAAGCGTTAGCGAGTGTTACGTAAGCATTGCAAGGCAAGAGCACGGCGGCGAAGTTGTGTTCACCTACATGCACAAACAACCACGATTGCATCTTAGGCAAACAGACTCTAATGGAGATGGATTGTAATGCCTTTGAAACGAGTGCGATCTCGACCCAGCTCGAGATAGCTTGCCTGTCCAAGCATGAGCACTCCCAGACCACCTTCGAAAACACAACAACACCACTCCAGCCAGATCATACCCACGATCGTCATAACCTCTCGGACATGACGCCGTTCGCCCGAATCATCAAACAGACTTTTGACAACACGTAGCCTACGAACTTTATCATCCATGCTGCTAGGGAAACGACTGCTAGCCACGTCTGTGCATCACTGCCTCATTTGGCTAAATGGCCAAAGCGTCATGGTAGTAGCGGGCTACGAGACCTAGGCGCATGCGTATCTTGGCACACTGACCATGAGTAGTCGAACTCAGATGGGATTTTGCTCTGGAAATAGTATGGTGTTTTGCAACCCATTCCAGGATGCCTCGGATGTTTACCAGGCTCATGAGGTCAACAGTGGCTAGAGTGCCCATATGTAAGTGGTCGTCCTCAAACTGTGTAGAGTACTTGTCGCTCGTCTATCTGCCCAAGTCGTTCAGCTACCGTCATGGCCAACGAAAGACCATCCTCTCTGGCGTTATTCTCTTTTGCGCGCGAGAAGACCATCTGCTCTGAGATCAGCTCCATCCGACGCCCCAGCCATGTGAGCACTTCTTCCAAGCCGGCCGATGCGCAAGCAGCTTTCGAAAGCGAGAAGTCCATGACTTTCCTTCAAGCTATACGGTTATACAAGAAGGCCATTTTCTTTTCCATGGCCATGAGTCTGGCTGTAGTCATGGAAGGGTACGTTGTATGTATCCGCCCTGGAGGGATCTGCTAACCTACGAGACAGATACGACCTGGCGGTCATTGGTAAATTCCACGGATACGACGCGTTCCGGAAGTCCTTTGGCACTGAAATCGACGGCGATGGAAACCCAAGAATCTCGCCTGCCTGGCAAGCAGGCATCCAGAACGGCGCGCAAGCTGGATCCATCATCGGCCTCTGTATCAACGGCTACATCTCAGAGTGGTGGGGCTTCAAGAGGACCATGTATGTTTCGCTTTTTGCCGCAGTCTTGTTCAACTTTCTGCACTTCTTCGCGCGGGATCTGAACGGGTTTTTAGCTGGCTCAGTCCTTTTGGGATTGCCGTGGGGAGTCTTCCAGGCTCTTACCGTCACTTATGCATCAGACATCACGCCATCTGCGCTCCGGCCATACCTGACGACTTATATCAACATGTGCTGGGTGTTTGGTCAATTAAGCGCGGCAGGTATACTCCGTGCGTGCCACACCCTTGACAGCGCATGGGGATGGAGAATCCCTATAGCTCTCCAGTGGGCGTGGGTGCCATGTACGTATCATTCGTGGCTGTGAACCGCATATACTAACACAACTGCACAGTCATTCTTGCGGGAGCATGGTTCGCACCAGAATCCCCGTGGTGGTTAGTTCGCAAAGGCCGGTACGACGAGGCTCGGGACTCCATTATCCGATGCACGACGCCACAGCCAGACGTACCTTTCAACCCAGACCACGTTCTTGAAATGATCATGCACACAAACGCCCTCGAGGAAACAATGCACAGCGGCACCAGCTACTTGGACTGCTTTAAGTGCTTTGAGAGACGCCGGACGCTCATCGCATGCATGGTCTGGCTCGCACAGGCTTGGTGCGGCGCTGCTATGATGGGCTTCTCAGTACAGATCTATCGTGAAGCCGGCCTGTCCGCTGAGCATGCGCTGAACCTAAGCATTGGGCAGTATTGCATGGGCGCTGTGGGTACTGTCGTCTCCTGGTTCCTCATGAGTCGCATCGGACGCCGGACGCTGTACGTGTACGGCTTGTGTATTTTGTGCGTCCTCCTGATGGTGGTTGGCGGACTGGGCGTCATATCGCGCGAGAACTCGAGCGCGGCATGGGGTCTTGGCTCAATCCTGCTGGTCTACACCATGTTCTACAACATCACGGTCGGACCCGTGTGCTATGCGATTGTATCTGAGATCTCGTCGACGCGGTTGAAGATCAAGACTGTCGTTCTGGCTCGGAACATGTACAATCTTGTAAGTCTCAAGACCTCAATCTCCAGCTCTGGCGCAGCGCTGACATTCTTGCAGGGAAGTATCTTCAACAACATCGTCGTGCCTCGCATGCTCTCACCGAACGAATGGAATTGGGCTGGCATGACGGGCTTCTTCTACGCGGGGCTTACTGTCCTGCTCATCCTCTTCATGTACTTCATGCTCCCGGAGACGAGGAATCGGTCTTTTGCAGAGCTGGATGTGCTGTTTGAGAATAATGTCTCGGCCAGGCAGTTCCATAGGATAGATGTCGATCAGTTTGCTTTCCAGCATGAGGTCAAAGTTGATTATGCAAGCCACATGGCACGTAGTGAGGATGGTGTTGGTGTGGCTGTGTAGAAAGAAGGAATTCACTTTGTTTGACCAAAAGTGTCTTGAGAGCTTGGATGAAATTCATCTCAAGGTCTTTTGTGATCGGTTATCGTGATGCTAGACTCGATCAAGCTTCAAAATGCTTGGATTACTTCAAGCTGACATGCTCCTGGGGCTGATCACTTCCCCATGGCAACTTTCCTGGGCCGCGTTGCCGTACAGTCCTCCAATGCTGGCCGTTCTCCACATTTGCAGTGACTATCCGAGCAGCGGCCGGAGACAAGCCCGGGTCATTATCGTCAAGTCGCGATCAGAAGGAACAAAGGCGTTTTCCACGGCCGAAGTATGCACCCAGCAGGCATGTCAATTCGGATGGAGCATACCGGTAGGAATAAGTTCACGAAGGTCGTGTGGAGTTTGTGAGGAAAGGTCCCGGCTGGAGCATGAAGTACAAGCGCGGGCTGTTTCCGACTAGTGACGTTAATTCCGCGCCTCGATGCCAGCGCGTCACGCTGCTGTGTTTTGCTTCTACACGACCATCTCAGCAGACGTGGAGAGGCATGACTATTCGCGCATCGTAGCCATGTACGTGTCAGTTTCGGGATGACCGCAGTCGGTGATTTGTGACGTAAGTAGGGGCTGACGCAGCTGACATTGAGGCTTAAGAAAGGGGTGCTTCAAGTCACGCCAGGCCTCGCTCATCTGCCTTGTGTCCGGATGGCGTGTAAGAATGAAAGGAGGCGCTCAAGGGGGGTGAGGTCTCATTTGACTTGTCGGTGCTGAAACATAGGTGTAGCCAGTCAAGGTAGCATCCCAAAGACCGAGCACTTGCACGGACGTCCGGGGTAAGCTGCCAGATGATCAAACAGGTGTGCCAAAACCCGGGTACCCGTGATATGCACATTCGCGAAGGGCCGGGTTGTGAGGCTGCGTTTAAGAGTCGCGCGGTAACGTACATGGCGTCGCTGATTCGCTGATGCGCTAAGAATCTTTAAGCTCCTTCCGTCCATGTTCCAAACTCAGCGAACAACAGTTGATGACCCCCAATTGCGCCGCCACGACCATCGTGACCAGACTCGTACAAACTAATTCCCGCGCGCAATTGTATGCTGGACGGGATACTGGACGCCTCAACCGCACTCGCGACCTTCTGAGAAAACGACCTTGACTTCAGGACCACACGCGCGAAAAAGATACCGATGATCTCGCCATTGCACGCACACATCTCCTTGCCTCTCCGATAGACGCCGTGCTTGCGCAGGCTGCGTGTGGCTTGTCGCAGGCGAACCTTTGCTCGTGCACCTTCTCCACAAGGGCTTGAGCTACGTCAGAGCAATACCGAGCTTCCACAACCACCCAACCATGGCCTCACAAACAACCCAAGAGCCGAGCGTGCGTACCGTCCCAGACTTCAACACTGGCATGTGAAACAAAGCTGACAGCAAGTGCAATGCAGCCGCTCGCCCCAGACCTTACGGCGCTCGAGCGCATACGGCAGACATTCGCACAGCCGGTCCTCGCGTCCTTTGTCGCAGGTGGTGTTGCGGGCGCGGTGTCAAGGACGGTTGTGTCGCCGCTTGAGCGGCTGAAGATTTTGTTCCAGGTGCAGAGCGTGGGGCGGGAGGAGTACAAGATGTCGGTTCCCAAGGCGCTGGCGAAGATGTGGAGGGAAGAGGGATGGAGAGGCTTCATGGCGGGCAACGGCACAAACTGCATTCGGATAGTGCCGTATTCTGCGGTGCAGTTTAGTGCGTACAATGTGTATAAACGGGTGAGTGGGCCTTTCTTGATTGTGTGTGGGCTTTGGTAGAGTTGAGAGGCATTCGAGGTTGCAGTCGAGCAACTTCTGGAGCAACATCTGAAGCGAGTGGAAGAGGAAGAGAATGACTCGGCGAGCGTCCTACGGCAACAAGGAACACAACTGACCTATCCTCAGTTCTTCGAAAGCGAACCCGGAGCACCCCTCGACGCATACCAACGATTGCTCTGCGGTGGCCTCGCCGGCATCACCTCCGTAACATGCACATACCCGCTCGACATCGTGCGAACACGCCTGTCCATCCAATCCGCCTCATTCTCAAGTCTCAAGCGCGCAGAAGGCGAGAAGCTACCCGGCATGTGGTCCCTCCTAGTAAACATGTACAAAACCGAAGGAGGCTTCCCAGCTCTCTACCGCGGTATAATTCCCACCGTCGCCGGCGTCGCACCCTACGTCGGCCTCAACTTCATGGTGTACGAAATGGCACGGACAAAATTCACACCCGAGGGCCAGAAAGATCCCTCCGCGATAGGCAAACTGGGCGCTGGCGCCGTCTCGGGCGCCGTGGCGCAGACAATCACATACCCCTTCGACGTGCTGCGGCGGCGATTTCAAATCAACACCATGAGCGGCATGGGATACCAGTATTCGGGCATTTTCGATGCGGTCAGCTCGATTGTGCGCACCGAGGGCGTCCGCGGCATGTACAAGGGCATCGTGCCTAACTTGCTCAAGGTCGCGCCTAGCATGGCGAGTAGCTGGCTCAGCTTCGAAATGACGCGGGACATGCTCATGGGCAAGTGGAATTCGGGCTTCTTATAGACCGGGAGAAATGGTCACACATCACCGAGCTGCGCGTTCTCGCCAAAAAAAAAGACGTGCAGTGAACCTCACGCGGGACAGATACATCGAAACAGGCCATAGGAAGCGTGGCTCCTTTTGCATAGTTCGCCAAACCCACACCCACACACACACATATATAACTTCTCATTTTTGTCACATATCTTGCATTGGGATACAGGTTACGGGGCAGGGCCGGGGAAGACGCGCTTTTTCCACCCGTAGAAGCACGGCAAAAAACCACAGCGATGGCGTCAATTTTTTTCTTCCTTTCTATTTCTACACTTCAACAAGGAGCATATGAGAAAGAACGGGGCATGTGCCTAGCTAGATTGTAGATTCGCGGGCTACACATAGATAGAGTAGGAGGGCGGATGTATAACACGACACTTTTCTTCTACTGAGCACTTTTTCTGAATGCAGAAACGTTGTTGCTTGATTTCAATTCTTCTTTTCACAGCACGTGGTCCTTGTCGTCTTCCAGATCTGCAAACGTTGTTTGCGGAACTTTACCACACGGTAATTCCGAGCTGTGAGGAGGTGGTGGCGTGATACTCGGCTCATGAGCGCGAGTTTTGCGCGTAGATCAGGCGGGCCGACGGGAGGGTATTTTGTTTATAGACTTGGTGTATTTCCTCTTTCAATTTTTACTGCTCTGCAACTTTATGTCTATACTTCACGCTCCTGGCCGATTGCTACTCGACATGATGTACTCCTCACAATTCACAACTTTCAGTCCAAATGTTTTAACTGATGTTGCACCCAATGGGGTCAAGGTAGGAGACATCACAGCCATTGTACACTTGATTGTTTTGATTTTGTTTCGATTTTGTTGCTAGGTAGGTACGTTTTGGTATCTGTAGACAGTCTGGTCTCCTACCTCATGCCTTCTGCAACCCAGCATCAAAAACCCCGCTCAAACGCCTGCAAGCACAACGTCTGGAAATACTGAGAAGAAGCGACAGACTATACCGTTGCTGATATCAGATAAAGCCTCGTCTAATCCTCAAATCGTCGTCTCTTTTATTCCTCATGTCATCAATTTACATCCCCAGTCATTCTCTATGCTGACGCGCTCGACACAGTCTCGACCTCAACCTTTGGCAGCGGCGCAGACTTGCCGCCGAGATCCGTTGCGCGTGCGTTGGGGTTCTTGGTGTAGTAATTCGAGATGGCGGATTTGATCGCATCCTCCGCAAGCATGGAGCAATGCACTGTTCACTCTATCAGCAACTCATCTCCATTAAACTTTACTCCGAATACTCACACTTGACAGGCGGCAAGCAAAGCTCCTTCGCAATCTCGGTGTTCTTGATCCTCGCGGCATCCTCCAGCGTCATTCCGCGGACCAACTCGGTCAAATAGCTCGAGCTCGCAATCGCACTACCGCAGCCAAACGTCTTGAATTTGACGTCGCTGATGGTGTTGCTGTTGGGATCGACGCGGATCTGGAGCTTCATGACGTCGCCGCACGCCGGGGCACCGACGAGGCCTGTACCGACGTCGTTGTCGGCTTTGGACATGGAGCCCACGTTGCGCGGGCTGTTGTAGTGGTCGAGCAGTGCTGGCGCATGTTAGCTGGGCGTTCTACAATGCGAGCGACGAGGTTGAGAGGGCGCCGGAGACACTTCCGGTGGATCGGGATTCGTCGCCACCGGGGTTTCTCCAAAATTGACAGTTGCGCAAAGGAAAGACTTATCTTTCTCATGGTATTGCCGCCTTCCTGCAGATGCCAGTGTGGGTGCTGCGGTGCGGATAGGCGATGCGATGTTCGGCCTGGCGACTGTGGAAAGCACTCTTCCGGCCTGCGAGGGCACTGCGGCTGCGACTCTCCTGAACATGTTGATTTAGATGTGTGTGTGGAATTTAGCTGTGTGTTGTGGTGCGGTTGCAGTAATTCGTTGGAATTGGTGGATGTGGGTGAGGTGGTGTAGGTGACAGGAGTGTTTCGATAGTGACGAAGTCGAACGAAGCAGAAAGCCGTGCTCGGCGTCATTTTGTCGCCTCCTCGTGCCAAGACCTACCCCCACATCTCGGTCGAACGCCAGCATCACCGATGGCCCGAGCTTATCTCCGACCTTTGCCTTATCAGATGAAAATATCCCGTCACTCCAGAATGAACATTGCACAGAATATCTGGACATCATGCAAAGGTGTTCCACGATGCAAAGTAAAGTAATAAACTATACGCTCATCCTATTCTACCCCTAAGCGCGCCGAAACAATTTTATCCAAAGTAATTTACACGTCGAAGTCGTACCACCATCTCCAAAACACGCATTACTCCAACATTTCCATTACACCATCGGCCATCTACACAATGCCGTACACCCTCTTAGCGATGACAAAGCAAAGCACACCAAACGCCACTAAGCCCCCGGTGATGCAGAAGAACCAGTTGAGGTTTTCGACGTCTTGACCTGGTACTATACTTTGAGGTTGTCAGCACTTGTGAGGAGCCAATGAAAGAGGCGTTACATACCAGTTCATGCCCCAGATACCGGTGACGACGTTCATGGGCAGGACAATCGTACCAAGGACAGTCAGTTTGCCCAAGATATCCGAAGTCTTTTCCTGGCGCTCGTTCATGCGGATGTTGATCTGAGCAAGGTAATTGCTATGAGCGCGCGAAAGCAGGCTGCGTCATGTTAGTGGATGATTTCAAAATGTCAAGGTAGGTAACTCACTTCTCGTAATGACTCAGGTTACCCGTCATGGTCACAATATGATCCTGAATATCACCCAAGTACATGCCAATCTCGTTGCGTGGCGCGATATCCCACTGCTCATTGCATCTCTTCGCAAAGCCCTTGATGACATCGGCCTTGTTTCCCAACAGGCGGTACAGGCTCATGACCTTCTTTCTGCATTCGCCAACACGGCGCAGCATGTCACGTCCGCTTTCTTGACCCTCTCTGGTGCCATCCGGCCGCTTCTCTGCATGGGGGGTATTGTACGAATTTGCCTTGGCTTTTTCAGCCTCTTGCTCCTCTTCATCGGAATGAAGACGCAAGATGGCTTCGTCAATGTCGTCGACCTCCTCTTCGATACGTTGAATCATGGGTGCATAGGCGTCAGTGATGTCGTCAATGATGGCGTACGAGATCCAGTCGGGTGATAGTACAAGATAATCTGATAGTTGTCGGATACGGCGCCGTACGTTCGCAGGATGGGGCGTCATGGAGAAGTGAAAGCTGATGACACCTTCGCGGAAATTTACCACGTAGAGATTAACCGGCTCGAGGTAGTCTTCGCTGTTCTCGTCCTGCTCGAAGGTCCTATAATTGATGAAGTAGTAATGCTTGAAGAGCTCCACCTTTTCACGCTGCTCCTGCATAAGGATATCTTCAGTCGTCAACGGATGGATGCCGAACGTCTTGGCAATGACCTTCATCTCAGTCTCGGTGGGCGACATGACATCGAGCCACCAGGCAGGGCGAGGCCCGTATCGCTTTGGCTTGTCTTCTTCGGGCTTTGGTGTATTTGACTGACGCGGTGTAGTCGCCCGCGTCTGCTCGCCCGAGTCGGCCTTGGACGGAGAGAGTGTAGTCGCCCGAGAAGGAAACCCATTCATGCTCACACGTCGCATATCATCGTCGTCGGAGTCATCATCGCTGCTGTCCTCCAAAATAACCGGATCCGGAACAAATAAGTTCCTGAATGTCTGTCCCGGTTGAACGAGCTCGCCGATGGTTTGACTATGTATTGTGTTGTCGAATGTCTCGTTGAAGTAGGTGAACCGAAATGGGGCATCACTTGCTTCGCGATGCCATACACGCCGCCTTGGTCGCAGACGCCCTTCGACCATGAGCGGCTCGCTGACCTTGCGCATGCGCATGCCCTCCATAGTTCTCTGCTCTTTCTCTTCGCGCGCATAAGAGTCCAGGATGTCGAGGTCGGGCCATCTACGGCGTCTTCGTCGACTCGTGGGCTCGCCCTTTGTAGGCGGATTCAGATAGTCCTCATGGCCTAGCTCGGACATGGTCTCGTGTGGGAAGCACACGTCTTCAATGGCACTGGTGGTCATGCGACGTCGAAGATCGCGAGGCTCATCGTCATCATCATGTTCCACATCAATCAAAGCATCGCGAGACCTGCTACGCTCTGGAGTGTCGGCCAAATCCTCTGTGAGCATGACATCGTGCAGTCCGTTGGAAGCCTTGACGACAGGGCTAGTGGGCACAGACGGCGGGTTGTTGACATCGTAGTCATCTAGATTGGTCTGCGAGTGGTGGCGCTGGGTGAACAGGTCAGGCCGGTTGTTCATGCCACTGGAGGCGGAAGATTTTCGGTGCCGGTTGGAGCTGCTGCTTGCGCCGCCATAACTTGTGCCCGTTCTGATGTCTCTTTGGGACGTACCCATCAATGGTGTGCGGTCGTTTGCGTCTTCGTCGTCGCTGTATGTGGCCTCGGGAGTATGCGACAATCTCGACCGGCCATAGTTTGACGAAGCCACGGCATTGAGACGGTGCGCAGCGCTATTGAAGGGCTGGCTGGGTCGTGGCTGGTAGATCTGCTGCGTGATGGGCACGCTCGGTCGGCGGGTCCTGAGCTGGGGCTGTTCGCGGTGGTCAAGCAAAGCCTCGCTCTCGAGGCTGGTGCTGCTCAGATTGCCGTGGCTCCTGTAGAAGCTGTTGCTGCCCCTTGAGTTGGCGGCGACGTTGGCCAGCGACGGGCGCTCCGTGTTCATGTCTCCGGTGACAATGTCGGCGGTTGGGGCAAATGACTGCCTGCGGTTTCGCTTCTTCTTGCCGCCGCCACGATGCTTCTTCTTCTTGCCGACCCCACTCGAGGAAGGCCCCGGCTGATCTCCGGAGTCGTGGTGGCCTGCAGAGCCATGGGGGGCTGCAGCCTCTGCATAGGAAGCGGCGCCTTGATTTGCGCGTCCGTCTGGACTTGATGCCATTGCGGGTTCGTTGCGCGCTGGATGACAATGGCAAGTGGAGTGGGTCCCAAGGTAGAGAGGGAAAATATGGTCGCTTCTCCAGTGCGATCAGTGGAGGCGAGGTCCGGAGGGGAGAGTATAGAAATTGGAGCTTGTAGGATGTGGAGGCTTTCCGTGAACCATGGATGTTAGCGCGTGAATCAGATGCGCATCAGTGACGAAATTGGTCCGGGCGCTGAGTTACTGCAGCTTAGCCTGTTATCGTTTTGCATGCGAGGACCCGCTCCGAGAATCAAGAACAAAAGCTTTGCATCAACAAAAGACTTGCGAGACCATGTTGTGCTCGTCTATCACTGGAAGAGACTCTTCGTACACAGCAATCCTTAAGCACCGAGGCCCGTCTGATCGACACTCCGGACTGTCTGACAGGGACACCAGACGGCTGTGGGAAAGTGGGCGCGTGACGACTTGCTGCATTGAGACGAGCCAAGGACATCCAGATTCTGCCATGCACTGCTTTAGCAGCTCGCGCTGATTCGATGCTTCGCCGGAGCTTATCTGGCTCGTCTTAGTTGGGACGCGGCAGCTAAGCTCGCATCCCCACGCGTACATGCTGCTGCCGAGTCTAATGTACTTCATCGTCACAATGAACTGACGTTCACAACGCTCTGTCCTGCAACTCTGGGTCAGCTGTTGTTCACTGCAGCCGATGAAACTTCGATGCTATCTATGTACGCCATCGCCATCGCCTTTACATTCAATTCCCACGCCACTGGGCTGCATGGATGTGGACAGTGTTGGACTGTGACAACTCTTCCGGGAATTACGTAGTTTGTAAGCACGTTCAGGGTATAACGCCTCACAAGATAGCTCAACGTCAATCCTCGAAGATCAGTGCAGTTTACGCCGTTGCATGCAGGATCGCCGTGTTAGAATGTTGACGGCGCGGACCTGCTTGTATCCCTCACACCAACTTTCGGGAAAAGTTCAAGGCAGCAAAACGCGAGTTGCTTCGAATTTCACAGCCAAGCTTTGTCCCTTCACAGACACAGGAAAGTCACAGCAAAATTATCAAATCGAGCTTCCATTGCATATCTTGCATCTTATAAGCTTCTGCCTCCCCATCCTGCCTACTTCCCCCAGTGATAATACCGCTAGATAAATGAACAGCAAAAGCAAACGAACGAACAGCCAACCTCATCAGCAGAGCAGGCGTTATGAAAAAGGAGTTCAGGGTATCCAGAGTCGCACGCGATGCGTCGAAACATTACGAATAGAAATGAGTTACTAAAAGTATAGGGTGATGGATGATAAGTGATGATGGCGCTTGCGCGCTGGTTTTCGCTTCTAGCCTCGTGTGAGCGAGGTCCCTAGTGGTGACTGAGAGTAGCGAGCGTAAGAATAGAGTTTGTACGTCATGGGCATCGATGCCCATATCGTGCTTTTGAGGCAAAACAGGTAGGAAATATGGTGCAAAGCGAGGATAGTCCGAGGACAAGGAGCGTGGAGTAACACCGTTGCCCGTGTGACGTCGTGAGTATGCTCAACTAGAAGCCGCGGAAGGGATCGTTGCTGACTTCGAGGTCGTCGAAGAAACCGCCGGCGCGGTTGGGTGGCTGTTCGCGTGTACTCGCGCTCCATTGACTGCTGCCGCGACGTCGCCTGTGGGTTGGCTTCCTTGGGTAGTTGCCGGCGTGTCTGGGATCGCCGAGGGCGTTGTCGATGAAGGCTTCCATACGCACGGTGCCCATTGTGTCGAAGAAGTGCTGTCGAGTTGACGTGCTGGCTTCCGAGGTTCGCGAACTGACGACGCCGCTGTTGGGGTTGTATACTGTAGATGGTACTGATGGCGGTGCCGCTGCACTGTACATATCCGACGAGCCATTCGAGTACACAGATGGTACTTGCTGATGGGAAAAGGCACGGAAAGGAACGCTAGGTGGTGGTGCCCCAGGGCCAGTAGAACTCCTCTTTCTACCATGAGCTGGTCCGCGTGGGATGGTAGGAGGGCTGGCACCGTCCGATATAGGCCCGTCAAATCCAGCAAGAGAGGGTAGAGCGGTATGCATGTCGTTTTGCGATGCGTAGCGCTGCATGACGGGATTAGCTCTGCCCTTGGCGAGACGGACAGAGTCTTGCACACGAGAGCGGCGCAGTGTTGCGTTCTGTGAAGGGATAGGCGGCGCTTCGATGACTGGAGGTGGTGCCGGTGGCATCGAATCAAGATCGGGTATAGCCGCGTTGGAATGTGCCAGGAAGGAAAGTGCAGTCAACCACAAGTAATGTCGCTCTTGTGAAGTGGTGGTGAACTTCAGCGCACGCGCTGGAGTGAGGATCAAGATGGACCGGTTGAACAAGGTCTCGTTCTTCGGTGGAGGACAATTATCCGCAACGTCCAGTACTGATTGAATGATAACTGGAAACATGTTAGTGGTTTTCTAGAGATGCTACGAAGAATCTTACGTTTGCGACCATTCTTGCCCAAGAGTGCAGTGCCAGAGGTCGGTTGCTTGCTGCTCCACATGATGGCTCGCTCGTATGGTGAGATCCAGACCCAACGCTTGTGTCGAACGCCATGGTTGGCGAGAGAAGCCTCTTCTGCTGCACGATCCATGGGCGTCTCCGGGCCCCCGAAGGCTTTCCTCTTTCGTACATACTTCCACATGAACTCGCCAATCATGGATGCGGCGATGGCATCGACAACGCTGCTCTGACTGACAGAGGTGTTGACCGAGCCGTTCGCAGTGTATGCTGTTGCCTGAGAAAACTGGTGTCGGTGACCTAGGCCACGGGCACTGACAACATCGCTAGGCAAAGGCGGGATAGACATTGTATCAGCCATGCTGGGTGTAGCAGGGAGAGGCGGCGACCTGCTCCTGGAACGGCTTTGCTTTGTAACAGGAGCTGCGGATCGCACTTTTCGCAAGCTGTCCTTGCGCTGATGTTTAATACCATATGGCCGACGGCCAGCATACGAGCCACTATTGCGAGGCGTTGGGCTTTGCGAACCTTCACTCTTACTGAAAGGTTTATTGCGGGAACTCGACCGTGTAGGAACAGGAAAAGGCGGCTTGGGAGTGAGGTTGCTTGCTTCAAGGCTACCGATGCTTGGGCTGCGGGATCGCATGTGGGCTGCCGTTCCATTCTGGATCATGGCCGATCGTCGAATACTTGGTTGGCGACTCAAGGAGTTTCTTGAAGGCTTTCCTACCTTGGATGATTTCTCTATCGAGCTTCGCTTGTAGTTCGACCTTGTAGAATCCTCAGATGCCCTGCAAGATGGTTCCGCCTCCTTATCCTCGGGAACAGGGGTGGGTGGCTTGAAAGGGCGTCCGTCTCTTTCGAGAAGACGACATGGGCGTGGCAAATACAGGACTCCTTAGCTCGTCATCACTGGCTTCTCCATCATCATCCTCATCTTCATCAGATGAGGGGCCGTCGAATCCAGCGAACAAACTGCTGGTGCGGAAAGGTCTGCTAAGAATGTCAGCGGACAACGGCTGCTTCGACAGAGGCCCGTTGTCATTGTTGCCAGGATATCTGTTTTCGATCTTCTTGTCTGCAGCTCTCTCAAGCAATGTAGTGAGGTCCTGGCGCGCCGTAGGCTTCGCTTTGGAGTACTCTGTTTCACTGGAACTTGGGAAACGCGAGTCATTCCGATGAGCGTTGCCAGTTGGCTGAGCCTCTTGAGATTGCTCAGGAGTGCTTGGCTGGGAAGTGATTGCTGAGGGCAATAGATGTGCAGGTAATTTGACGGGACGCTGGTCGATCCTGATTGGTTCAGTTTGCATGCCGGCTGACTGCATGGGCGCGAACAAATCGCCTGTCGTCTGTGTCGAAACGGTCTTCGTTCCCGGTGGCAGAATTGGCTCCTTCGGTGATGATGGAGCAGAAGAGGGTGCATGGATGGCGATGGACGGAATTGTGATGGGCGGCGGTGGTGGTGTCTTCTTGCTCTCGGTAGGCGGCTCCTGTGGCTTTTCTGGCGCTTCCGTTTGCGTTGAGGCTGAGACAGGTTGAGCTTCATGGATTGGAGAAAATGGAGCTTGAGTAACGGGGAAGTGGATCTTTGGGGTTGCTGGCGGGCTCAGAGGCTGTTCAACAGTCTGCACTGAAGTAGATGTCATCGAAGAAGCTATGGGGTTGACGGTTAGAGGCGTCCCGTGAGAATCGCGAGCTGCAGACACACGCTTCCGGCGCTGGTTTGCTTCGACCTCCGCATTGGTCGACAAAGTCTCGCTCGACTTGTTCTGTGGAATTGGTTCAAAAGTCTGAGACGATGCTTCAGCCATGGCAGGTTTCTTCGGTGATGGCGGTGGTGATGGTTGCACTCCAGTGTCTACGTAAATAGGCCGCGTTGGTGGGAAGACGAGTGTTATTTCCCGTGGGGTGATAGTAGTAGCTGAGTGGGCCGTTTCGTATGAAGTCTTTGGTGCCTCAGACTCTTCGGTGGTGGTAGGGTCATCCCTGCCGAGCTGCTGATTGTCAATACTGAGCCCGAGAATCCGTTTGGCCTTCTCATCAGGATACAGCGACTGTCGTGATTCGTGCAGTCTCCTCGCTCGCATCTCGTTCTCGGGGAAGTCATCGGAGTCGAGCTCCAGGTCTCCCAAATCCTCTTCCTCTTCATCGAAGATCAGTTCATCTGCTAAACTGATCCCGTTTCCTTTGCCGTATCCATCTGTACTCATCAGGGACATTCGGTAATTCCGCCCGACACTCCGGTAGCTGCTATTGCTCCGGTTTCGCGAATGCCGGCCCAGCCGTGTGGACGATCTTCGTTGTGGAGACGAGCGGATGCTAGCCGTGTCGCTTTCAGGGCCGAACCCAATATCTCGTACAACATCCTCGACCTCACTTTCTAGACCAGCGTCGTCCTGAGCGGCTTCTTGCAACGCAAGTTCGTCCAGTAGGATTTGAAGTCGGGCATCCGAAGTATGTATTCGGCGTTCCAAAACTAATTTTTCTCCTGCCCAAGCTTCTTTTTCGCGGGCCCACATGTCATGAACTCTACTCGAGTCATCGTCCTGACTACGCGACTTCTTCTGTGCAGCCTCAAGTTTCACCTTCAGATCCGCATTCACCTCCTTCATCTTGTCTCTCTCGCCAGCAATCTCCTCTAGGGCAGCCAAAGTCTCCTGTTCGAAATGCTGCAGTTGGCGCTTGGCGTTCCGGCTCTCCTTGGTGGCTGATGAAAGCTGTTTCGACAACGAGTCATTGTCATCCCGCACCGCATTGAAGTTTGTCTCTAGATCTTCAATGAACCTATGCTTTGAATCCAGTTCTCGTCGAAGGTTCAGGATTTCAGATACCAAGTTCGCATGTAAGGTGGGTGTGAAGCGCCGTGGATCGAGAACAGAAATGCTCTCATTGTTGGCCGAATCATCGGTACTGATGCTTGGATCAGGTGGGAGAGGGGCTGGCGAGCTGGGTACATCGCTGCATGGGGTGCCGTATCGTGAGGTTCGCCGGGAGATCGTGTGGTAAGGGGTCCCTACTGGTGAAGGCAGTGGTTGGTTTGTGATAAACACCTCGTTGTCGGAAAAGTAATCGGTAGCCATCCTGTAGACTGCGCCGCTGAGGGGCGACTAACGAAGAATAATAAGGTGACAGGTCAGAACCACAATGAAGTGGTGCCGTAGTCTTGCGCGGTTCAATTCATGCCTGTTGGACGATTAGCGACCGCTCCAGAACCAAATTATCTCATCTTTCCCTCCAGCGCCCCCATATTTCGTGCACGATTGAGCCACAGTCTGGCTCTCAAGTATCGGTTCTTCGATCCAAGGGGTGGGGGCGCATGGGTGGAATTGTGCGGTATACATACCGAGATATAGTCGAGTAGCATTCGAGTGTGAGGGCATGAAAGTCGCGACTGAAGAGAAGCGTTCGGAGATGTTCAATAGTTTGCGGCGCGCGGCAAGTGGCTATTGAGTCGGGCGTATTAAGATCGTCGGCTGTCAGGCATCATTGTCAGTACGAACGAAAATATGGCGGGGTTTGTAAGAAGGTTCTTGTGAATCATGATCCAGAACCAGCAAGCAGACTATACTTACACGATAGAATCACTGAAGATAGGATCTATACAACACCTGCTCGAATTGTCTGAATATATGTGCTTCGTTGAGCTTGAACAGGAACAGAAAGAAACAATTGTGGTAAGGACTGATGACGCGCTGGTAGAGAGCGAAATGGTGTAAAGAAAGAGGTGCGAACAGGTCGAGGAGGATCTACACCCTCTCAGTGGGCGATTGCACGAGGCGTGGGGAGGAGAAAGAGGGACGAGGAACGAGGGTCGAGCTCGCATGAATTCGCTGATCCGCCATGCAGCAGCTTCGTGCTCGGAACATACGCACAGCCCTGCATGGTCCTGCACGGCCCTCTGGGGAGACGGAACCTTGAACGGCGACGAATGATGTCCAAGGTCCCCGGTCCCGCCATGGTGAATTTGTTTTGTCCTACCGCAGATGAGTTACAGGAGGTGCTTATGCACGCTCTTTGCTAGCGAGCACAATTAGGCTTCCCGACATGCCAGCGACTAGGGACCCTTGTTTTCTCCTTTCCAACGGCGCAATTGGCTCTAAAATATAATGTGTACCAGCCAATATTTTAGTGAGGAGAGAGGCCCGGGTAAGGTTTGTGCGTCTGTCCCCACAGGACGTCCTTTCGCAACGGTGTCCATGGACGATGTGCAACCTTGACCTGGCTAGCAGAAGTTGCCTTGTTTCAATTGACGACTTGTCCGCACTGTGCAGTCAACGTCAGCTGTCGACCGATGTGACCATTGCAGATCGCAAAGTTCCAGCGAAAGCCTGATCCTATCGTCTGGCGTGATGGAATTTGATTCGGAGTTTCAGCCTCCTTGGTCACGCCGCAGGCTTACCATTATGGGGAAAGTACGTATACGACGCTTGGGCTGGCAGCGGTCCAAGCAGCTAAAGTTGGCGGCGATGCCGTCCAACGATCTTTCAAGCTGCCGTTGGCCTCCCGTGCACATGGAATCTGACATGAAGTTGGTGAGAAAGTTTCCGCAGTCTTGGCCAGCGCTGTCCACTCCTCCAATCTGCAGTGTGGAAAGCATGTAGCATCAAGAGAAGGGAAATCGACTGATTCTGGGATGCGCAAAGGCTACGATGCTTGCTAGTTTCATGGGCACATCCCTTTTGGGTCGTGGAATTAAACCGGGCTCCCTGGGCGCAGCGGAGGAGTGGACTCGAGTCGAGATCCGCATGCGAATCCCAACTGCAGATCGAGTAGAGTTCCAGAAAAGGCTCGAATGCACTTGCTAGCAATACGAAATCCCTGCGAAAGAGATGCGTCTGACGACGCTTTCAGAAGGACGCAGTTTTACCTCGACTCATTACATCCCGTTGTTCATTTCACGATTGAGGAGAGCGATGCCGGCGGTACGGGAGGTGCATGTGACTGTGCATGGTGAAGTCCGAATCACCTGCAAACGCGGCATACCGGGGCCTACAGAATGGACATCGTCGCGCGGGCTACATGGAATTGCGTGAAGAATGCACGGGAGACACCTCTCTAATTTGCCTCCCCGTAGTGGATGCGGTAGTTGAGTTTTTAGCCAATTCGGCAACACGCCGACTTGAAATCGAAGATAGGGGATGATAGCGGTGGGCCTTGTCAGGTTGCGTTGGAGAGTGGAGCCTTCATGCAGAGAGCTGCTGAGCTGCAGCTCCCCATGCCAGGTGCCATGCGCCTGGTTTTGCTCGACAATGATATCACTGGGATCGAGTTAGCATGGTCGGCGTGCGGAACCGAAGACGTTGGGAAGGTGTCAGATGCGGCTGCTGACTCGGGGTGTAAGTCGTGGGCGTCCTCGCACGCAGCCTCATCATCAGAGCTTATAGTTGCACCGCTCGAGCTCAGTCGATGTAGCGCATCCTTCTTCTCCACCTTTCAACATATGTCCCTCGCAAGCGCCCCTCTGGTTCCATGCAGCAGTGACATACAACTTTGGCGTGAGATGCCGCGAGGGTGACCTGGCAAGCTGCCGCGATGGGGGGCAGGGGGTTGGGGCGCCCCAAAGTTGAAATATGCTGCCCCACGTGCCTGACTAAGCGGCCATAGCAGAAAATTCGAGATTCTACATCAAGCTCAGAAAAGGTGTGTGGGGATAACAACATCCAAGTTTCGACAACAATCAAGAGTACGACATGGCACAAAAATCCGACCAGTCTGACGCACCAGGCCCGTCGGCGGATATGCCGCCGGCGATGGCTGAGATCAAGTCGCAGAGTGTCGACAAGGTGCTCCAAGAGATGAACAGAATGCCGCTCTTCATGACGAACCTGGATGAGACGGACGGGGAAGGCGGCGAGAACGATGCTCTCGAGGCGCTGAAGGCGCTGGCCTATGAGGGCACCCGAGCTGAGATCGCGGAGAACTTCCGACAACAGGGCAACGACTGCGCTAGAGGAAAGCTATGGAGTGACGCAAAAGAGTTTTATGACAAGGCTTTAGCGGCATTGAAAGGTCCGCAGAATAATCCAGACCCGGATGCTGAGGGGCCTAAGGTCATTGAGGTTGAATTTGATGAAGCAGAGGAGGCGGCGAAGGAGAAAGTGATCGAAGAAGCCTGTCATGTAAACAGAGCTCTTTGCAATTTGGAGAAGAGTAAGCTCAATGTCCTTGCTGCAGTCCTGTGGGGGATGTACCGCCGCTTTGATCTGTTTCTCTTGATCTGCAAGATCAACCACCCAATTCCAACTAACGTCTCCAGAAAACTATCGTTCTTGTATTATCGACTGCGCGCAAACACTTCGTCTCAATCCATCGAATGTTAAAGCATTCTATCGATCTGCTACGGCGTGTCTAGCACTTGACAAACTTGCCGAGGCAGCAGACGCATGCGACCGGGGACTGGGTTTCGATCCGAACAACGCTCCCTTGAAGGCACTACAAGCCAAGGTCTCGAAAAGGAAAGACTACATCGAATCTGTGGAGAAAACACGCAAAGAGCGAGAAGCGCGAACAGCATCCGAGCGACTCACCCTCCAGCTTGCACTCAAGAGCAGGAACATCCTTGTCCGCAAGACCGAGCATCCTCCAGATCTGGAAGATGCCGAATTGAAGCTCGAGAACGCTCTAGACCCGTCCTCTACACTCATCTTCCCAGTCATCTTACTGTATCCGACAGAGTCGCAGTCTGACTTCATCAAGGCTTTCTCCGAGAAGGAAACTCTAGGCGAGCATCTTGATTACATCTTTCCCTTGCCTTGGGACGAGAAGCACGAGTACACGCCACCGAGTGTGGAAGCATATATGGAGACTGCCGCAGGGGGCTTAATCAAGGTTGGCAAGAAGATGAGTCTTGGAAAAGTGCTGGGCAGTGGCAAGCCAGAAGTCGTCGATGGATTGGCCACGATCAGCGTGGTGCCCAAGGACCGCGCTGCAGGCTGGATAGAAGAGTTCAAGAAGAGGAAGGGCAAGAATTGATTAAGCTCGAGCTTATTTCACGACCAATGACGTCGGCTGTTGATATTACCTGTGCATGCTCAACATCGTGTACACAATCATCTCACGCCTCTGCATTATCGGAAAGATCCGCGTATTGTAGTCGTCACGGCCTCGTCACCACTCCGCACTCCTGATGCTGTAAGACGGCCCAAACATCCAGGTTCATACATGCAGCGGGAGCTCGATCCCAGCGGACCGACAGCGCAGCATGCACAACCTCGCACATTTAATCTATCGCGGCACATCTTCGACAAACCCCCTCAACCCTGCTGGCTGTGGGGTAAATAACCATTATCCCAGCTTATGGAGAACAGAACTGAAGGTAATCCGCGCATCGGAGAAAGAATACGCGGCCCGGCGTCGTTCGTGAATTAGGCTTAATTATCACCCCTCTGATATAGCCGCTCGGACATGGCTCGATCCTATAGGTCCAGCGTTCATGAATCCACCCACAATCACAATCTCAACAGAACTTAAAGCGATGTGAATCTTGAGCATGCCGTTCCCAGCGTCCTGGTATCTGGGTGGCCGTTTGTTTACCTGTGACAGCGGGCTCTACTGCATGCGGTATCGTGGACCGTTGATGTTCGTGATCACCTCACATCGGAAGTCTAATCTCGTGGTCGCTTGCGAAAAGGTACTCCACATCAGCAGTCCAGTGCAATGTTCGCTTGCCCATGATTCTCCACACCTATCGGAAGACAGCGCAAGTGTTGATCGCAACACGTTCGCCGCAGCGCAGAATCCCCAATCCAATCCAATCCAATCATGCAGGTGGCGCAAAGCATACATACCCGACCCTCCACAAACTTGCATCGACCTTCCCCATTAACAGCCCAGCTCCCTGCCAAAGCCTTACTGTCACATCCACTCGCAGCAAGCAATACTTCGTGCATGCTCAATCGAACCACATTGCCCACATGGGCTCCCTACAGTTACATATCATGTTTTCTTTTTTCTCTCGCTTCCATTGCGCAACCGTACAGTAGTATTTGTACACCCACCGGCTCGCTTATGCAGGTACGCGCTGCACAAGCACATGCTTTTGAGCTGGGGTCGGACAGGACTTGCTTAAAGTGGATAACGGGACAGGCGAGATTAGCCCGGTTAGCGGCGGCGCCGAACGGGGTGTTCTATATGGGCCAGGGTATATGATGCGTTGAATACGTGGACTTGTGTTGTGCTTACCTGGATGCGAGGAGGCAATGTACTTGTTATTAAGAAAGGTGAAGACGAAAATAGGTGTAGACAAGAAGAGTTCTGCACAGAGGTTGTTTTTCGTGTTTCAAATTGATGTCGTCTATGTGTTGATCTGGATACATGAGACTATCATGTGGTACTGGAGATGTTACATCATCTCATCCGTTGGGAGTATGTGTTCTTTGAAAACATGTCGCCTTAGGCTCCAATGTCAAATGCCCAGTGAATCCTCCCCTAGTATGCCGTTTGACGCCTTGGACGACACTTAAGAACAGCAGACAGATTCTCCGGGTCAAAACCTGTCAAAGGATGAACATAGCCACTCAGGGCTAGTGAAAACAGCAAGGAAATGAACGGAGTTTATGTTGCCAACAAGGTTGATGCCGAAAAGTTCCTGGGTGGTTGTGAAACACTGCTTGTACAGCACGCAGATGTTTGGGACATCTGAACCGAGGCCTGCACATCCTACTTCTTCTCGTACAACTTCTTCTTCCGGGTCATCTGCTCCTTAATTCCTGCCCAGATCCATGCTCCAGCTTTCTCCTGCATATGCCATGACATGGGCAGCTTGATCACCTCGTCGGCTTTGATCTGTTCGAGATAGCCGAGGAACTTGACGTCCGATTTGAGGAGCTGGCGCCGTCCTATGAACGTCATCCTCACTTTTCGGAGCTTGGCATCTCGAAGAATGCGCAGGCAGTGCATGAGATAATCGTCGACTACATAGCGACGGGTCTCGATGGTGGAATCCGGGGCGTGCTTTGGCAGCGCATCGTCAAAGTCGATTTGGATGTCTCGCAGGTATTGGATGTTCTCGGGTCCGATCATCTTAAGGAACTGAAGGACGTCCTGATAGCCAATTTCCTTAAGTTTGGGTTCCCAGAATGGTGAACGAGTATCGTAATGGCGTTGAAAGAAGAACTCGTTTTCGCCATATAGAATCGAGCATCCTTCATCATGAACAAGTTTGCAGGTGCGGAGGAATTGACCGGACAGACAAAGTCCCGGGCGCAAGGGACGTTGGGGAATGTTAAGTGCGACATCGCGAACAAACGCATGTCGATAGATGGCGTTTCGCAGCTCGGGCGGCAGGTCGGTGAAGCTTGGGAAGCGCGCTGTGAGTACTGCGGCCGCTGGGACTGACGAGTCTTCGGTCCGTGCCTTCTTCGATGGTACTTTGCGCATGTCATGGCGGCCACCGTCCTCATTGTCCTTCAGTAGTGCGCTGTCGAGCTTGACGAATAGCGGGCCATGGAAACCGAGAGGTACATTGAATTGCAAGGTGATGGGTGGCTTCTTCGGTGTGCTGCGATGGAAGGCCCCACCCGTCTCGTCGTCGGTCAATTCGCCCAATTCCTGGCTGTAGATGACGGGATCGAGGTGCGGAGACGGCGGTGATGGGCTCCGCTTGCGCTTCTGCCTCGTCTTCTCTGCGCGGCCTCGCTTGATCATGTCTTCGTCCTCGCTTTCTTCAGAGGCCGACGATTCGTAGCCTTCTTCGTCCTCGAGCAGGCTAGAATCAACGTAGCCAGCAACCCGCTTGACCTTGCCGGCGCTTTTGCGGATGGGGCGACCCGTTTTCTTGTTGTACTGCAGTATCTTGGACGGACTGCCGAGCTCTGGGCTGCTGTCGTGTTTTGGGGTTGATGGAGGGAGGAGCACCGGCTTCTTGCGGTGGCGCTTGATATCGGTGGCCATACTTGAGGGTGTACAACCGCGGGGACACTGGAGGCGGTGTAGGGCAGCACGAGAGGGGTCGACTGATAGCAGACTCAAATGCTAGTGTACGTCGATTGGCGCGTCAAGTTGAGGTAGAGGGCAAGGTAGAGAGAAGAATGGCAGAGGTGATATAACGAGAAGGATCTAAGGAAGGTGCTAGTCGACGCGTCGCTTGGTTGCTTGGAAGCGCGTTCGCGGGTGGGTGCCTTCCATGTCATGGCGACGGCGGGCCTTGGCGGTGCTCGTGAGAGGAAACGGAAGGAATGTTGGTGGAGTGAAAAAGTGACGAAACGACGGATTTGATTCTCTACCTACAATTTGTTCACATCACAACAACAGACATGCAACGCATGCAGCAGCGAACAACAAAGCCTCACCACATCAGGTGACAGCATGTCGTCGAGCGTCGCCGTACGGCATCTGTCAGTACCCGCACCGAGGCCAACGGCGCGCACACAACTAATTCCAATCATAACCATCTCGTCTCCTCTGGGTGGTGATGCCCGGAGCGTGTCAGCATCACCCACGTTGATCGATGCAAATGCACCGGCCAAGTGAGAATACGACTGTCTGAGAGCGTGTAATCACGAGGTTTTAGTTGTGAGGAACGAATTTCGCGACGGAAAGCCTTTTTGAATCAAGGGCATCGGCCGTCGGATAAACTTGCGTCCTGCGACCATCAGCCTTGCGCGCCACTCCGATGGCTCCGTCACTAAGCGGGGCGACCGGACCATCGTTCGTTGCCTCTATTTGGTGCGCAGATCCAGACATTGTTCCTTGCAGCATTAAAAGGTCGCGACACGCCCTTGACAGTTTGAGCCTCACATACTGCCATGGCGAATATACGATCTGTCTGCAGAGTGCCTTTGCGCCAGCTTGCTCCTCGCTCTTACGCTTCAATTGCCACCAACCACTCAAGACTACTACAGAGACAATGGCGGGGCTACGCCACAACTACCATGGAAGCCCAGCAAAAGGTACTGTTGCGATAACGAGGGATTGGCTTAGTAGTCCCACTAACGGATTATAGGTGCTTTCGCAAGACCTCGAGAAAGCGGATCCAACGGTCTATGAGATCATCCAGAAGGTGCGCGAATGACCATTGAGGGCTGCCAGGGTGATTGGAGCTAACAGAAGTCTTAAAACAGGAGAAGAACAGACAAAAGCACTTTATCAACCTCATCCCCTCGGAGAACTTCACGTCGCAAGCTGTTCTCGATGCTCTCGGCAGTGTTATGCAAAGTACGCCTAACAAGCCCGGTCTCTCCACCCCCTCTGACATGTAAGCGTAGACAAATACTCGGAGGGATATCCAGGCGCGCGATACTACGGTGGTAACGAGCACATCGATGAGGCGGAGCGGCTATGCCAGTCAAGAGCGCTCAAGGCGTTCGGTCTGAGCCCGGAGGAATGGGGGGTCAACGTACAACGTAAGCATATTGACGTCCACCATTGGCAATGGCTGACAAATACCGTACAGCACTCTCGGGGTCTCCAGCAAACCTCTACGCATACTCGGCCATCCTTAACACACACGATCGCATCCTCAGTCTCGATCTTCCTCATGGCGGCCACTTGTCCCACGGTTACCAAATACCAGGAAAGAAGATCTCGGCAGTCTCCAAGTATTACGAGACTCTACCATATAGGCTGAACGAGAAGACCGGCATTATCGATTATGATCGCATGGAAGAATTGGCATACCTGTACCGACCCAAGGTCATTGTTGCCGGTACATCAGCATACAGCCGATTGATCGACTATGAGCGCTTCCGTAAGGTGGCAGACGGCGTAGGCGCATATCTCCTGTCTGATATGGCTCACATCTCTGGTCTTGTTGCCGCGTCCGTCATCCCGTCACCATTCCCTCACTCCGACATCGTCACAACCACAACCCATAAGTCGTTGCGCGGCCCGCGAGGTGCCATGATTTTCTTCCGTAAGGGCACAAGGCGTGTGGATAAGAAGGGCAAGGAGGAGAAGTACGATCTTGAAGGCCCAATCAACCAGTCTGTCTTCCCTGGCCACCAAGGAGGACCTCACAACCACACTATCACAGCTCTGGCTGTCGCCTTACAACAAGCCCAAAGCAAGGAGTTCAAGGACTACCAGCAACAAGTACTTGAGAATGCCAAGTCTCTTGCACAGCGTCTCGGTGATACCAAAGAAAACGGCGGCCTGGGCTACAACGTCGTTAGCGGTGGAACTGACAACCACCTTGTCCTTATTGACTTGAAGGACAAGGGCGTAGACGGAGCTCGAGTTGAGCGCATCCTCGAGCTTGTCGGCGTGGCGTCCAATAAGAACACCGTTCCTGGTGACAAGTCCGCCATGAAGCCTGGCGGTCTGCGCATGGGCACTCCCGCAATGACGACCCGTGGCTTTGCACCTGGCGACTTCAAGCGTGTCGCCGATGTTGTCCACCGCGCCGTCGGCATCACTCAGAAGCTCGATAAGGAGGCGAAGAAGAAGGCCGAGGAGACTGGTCGCAAGAACCCCGGCAGCGTCGCTGCCTTCAAGGAATACGTAGGTGAAGGAGAGGACATCACCGACGTTGTTCAGTTACGAAAGGAAGTCGAGGACTGGGTAGCTACTTTTGCTCTCCCATGGGACAAGAGCGAATAGGTACGAATTTTCATGAGGATACAATAGCAGGCGAGCATTCAACATGGCGAATCAGGCGTTTTAGGTGGCGAGCAAACGGTATTAAGTATACCGCTGTCCCACAAAATAGGAATTGGCATTCACCGACGGTTCACTTTCACCTTATTGTCCGCGTATCTCATCATGCCATCCATATATCCTCCCGTTCTGCCTCTACTTCCATCTCCAGAACAACACTGCTTACCCATAACCATCTTGCTCACGATACCACATCACGCGTCAACCCACGACGAAACCACCACACCACACTATACCAAGATCACCACCAGCATCATCATGACCCACCCAACCCTCACCAGCACCCTCATCCTCATCCTCACCCTCATCGCCGCCACCAACGCGTTCCCCCTAGTCAGCGCCGCGGACGCCAAACCAAACCCGCCAGCGTGGATGCACGCGGCCACCGTATGGCTCATTTTCTACGACGTCGTCGTTGTGGGCCTGTTTGTTTGGATTTGGGCATGTGGATATCTTGTCAGGAAGAGAGAGGCTGAGTGGATAGCGAGCGGCGGGAGGAGCAGGCACTCACTGATTGAGACGGAGATGAGGAGGATTGGGATGTGGTGAGGACGGATGGGAGGAGTTTGGAGAGAGGAGTAAGAAGGGGTTTCGTCATGTGGGTAGAATGGAAAGGATTTGGGGTGGTGGTGAAAGGGATGAGTGAGTGGTCAGATTATGTGCATGGGAAGGGAAACGGGGTTGGAGCACATTGTGGCTGCGTCTCGTACTCGAAAAGAGCATTACGAGTCCAAAAGCACAATAAACGTTGGAATTATTGGTATACAAAGTTTCTGCGTCATCAAGCCACTTAGAGCTTGTTCCCGCAAAATGCCAAATTGATCTCTTCCCGTTCCATGTTCGCCCAAAAACGCCGCGCCAGATAATGCTTTTGCCCTTTTCTGCATAAAAAAAAGCCGCTCAAATGACCCATCGATAACTCGCGTACCGCCCGGCCGTTTCTGACTTTCGAATAATCTTCACAACGGAGCCTCTCCTCAGGCCCAGAAACTTGGCGACGGGATCTGTGGACTGGATACGCGGCAATTGCGTCTCCTTCAAGCGGTAGCGGGTGAGGAGCTGGGCTTTTTCTTCCGCGCTGAGCAGCACGTGCTTGGGGACCAATTCGTGCTTTGTGATGTTGACGAGGAGGTCTTGCTCGACGAAGACTTCGATGCCGCCCTTGGGGCCGTCGCTGAGGTTGGACGCGCCGCGCAGGAGGCGGATGGCCATGCCGGTGATGGGCTTGACGGTGACCATGATGCCGGAGTAGAAGGAGCCGCTGCCCAGGTGGTTCATGAAGTCGCGCAGTTGCTTCAGACCGACGGCCTCGTCGGCGTTGAATTCGCACCATATGGTGCCGATGGCGGGTACGGGATTTGGCTCTTTCTTCGTGGGCATGGGCGTGTATTTGATGAGCATTTCTTCGGAGGGTGTTGAGGAAAAGTTGAGGCGTGAGCGGCTTGAGAGATATTAGGACTGATGTTCGCGCTGTCGCATGCTGGCTGTACGTACTCTGGTTCTCCGTCTTCGCGCGCGTACTTGTCGGCGAATGCCTCGAGCGACATGGTCATCTCCTCATCCAGGACATTGTAGCCCTTTTGCAGTGTCAGCGTGACAATCCAGAGTGTAGCCTGGTGCATGCGCAACTCACCCGCTCGTACATCATCTCCTTGGCCGTCCGCCAGACCCTCCACATGCGAATCAGACTCGGCTGGTACCTGGGCTCATCCATGGTTGTCGGGCAGTGTGCTAGTGGTCGGGGTGGAGTTTCCGGTCGGTCTGGTGGCTGTCGCAAAGTCGTGAATGAGCTTGTCGCGTCAAAGAAATTGTTCTGGAGCCGCTTCAAGATGGCTCTTGGCATGCATGCGCCGCTAGTGGTGACGGCGGCCTAGCGGCTCAAGCTACCCCACTAAATCAAACGCAACTGCAAACGAAATGTAATGGTCTGTTGCCCAGATTTGATTTTAATGATCGATATGACGCTGAGAGTTTGGAGAAATGCCGGCCAGTATCTGCTTTGCTAACACTGAATATGCAGTAGAGAAAGTGGCGTATTTGCATACGCACATTACTAACCGCTTTTATCACTTCAGCATGTTCTTCAGAGAGCTTCCTAGTTATTATATGCCCATACATACCTAATGACTTGCTCAATATGTTGTTTCACCGTGTCCAGCGGGCGCATCACCTCTAAATCACGCCGAATCTTAGGGCGAAACCTGTCAATAGTCTACCCATATCAAGGCGACAGCTTCGTCATGGCATGCGAGTTTGGTCGCCTTCCTCGTTCTAAGTAAATCCACCTCATTCTATAGCTGACATTTGAAAGGCCCAGTTTCCGTCACATCTCCGACATCATCTCTGCTTTCTCGTTCCTGATACTCCCTCTTCAGCTTCTTGTTAGTCCACCAATAGGCTGCTATGGTGGCTACTGTAAGGACGATGGATCCAACATACAAGCACAATATAGCTAGAAATCCACGCTGGTACCGAGGTGCATCCGACTGCCTAAACATTTGCTGCCCAGCCAAACCGCCCAGATTGGAGCCCATGACCGCAAGTGCAAGACCAATACTGCGCCCCGCAGAAGTTTGCGCGTTTGCACTTACCCAGGCGTCATTGAGGCCCTGCGCTAGCGCGTTCCCGCTGCCGAGAAAGGTGAAAATCCAAAAGCGAGTCCAACGATTTGCATTCAGTGGTAGGCCATAGAGAGCGCCAGAAAAGGCAATAGACCAGGCAAAAGCGACGATGCACCATAGGCCGCGCTGATGTGTCTTATCGGACGCGTATGATATGGCAAAGGAGAAGACGACGACGAGATAGCTGCTTATTGAGTTCAGGGCGTTGGCTCTTGTCTTGGAAAAGCCGAGACCTTTGATGACAGAAGGGCCGTAGAGTTGTAAACCACCTTTGGGTGCAAGGCTGGCCATATTTATGATCATGTGCAGCCAGAGGCGGAAATCGAGTAAAGCGCCTTTCACTTTCGTCCAGCTGAGGTCGGCTTTATCTGCATTGTTTTGGGCGCTCATGCGGGCGGACAAAATGCTGCGCTTCTTCTCGGAAAAGCAGTCGAAATAGCAGTGGATAGGCTTCGTGTGTCTGGGACTTTTTGGTAACAGGGCGATGAATATGAGGAACATGACTAGTGTCATGATGCCCTCAATTGGGAGTGAAATGTCTTAGTTGAGCACCATTTATTCGTGACTAGGGGCGACTCACTAACGAACAACCACTGCCAACCCGAGAGTCCGTTGGTACCAGCGAGCTTCAAGATGCCAGCAGCCATCAACGACCCCGTAGCCGCTGCAAAGTAGTTGCCAAAGTAGAAGACGGCTGTTCTAGTTGCGAGTTCCTCCCTGGTGTAAAACAAGGATAGCATATACTGACCGCCGGGAACATATCCGCCCTCAAATACACCCAGGATGAACCGCGTTGCGAAGAAGGAGCTTTTGTTTGTGACCCAGGTCTGCGTAAGAGCGATGGTGCCCCAGATTCCCATCTGCCCAGTAAGCCAGACTGGCGCACCTACCTTCTGCAGCAGCATGTTGGACGGCAGTTCCGCAACGACAATACCTGCTAACATGAGCTGGTTACCAAGATTCACATCGTCGTTGGTGATGCCGAGGTCTTGGGTGATCGTGTCCGTCAGGGCGTTTGAGATGTTTCCTCGGTCGAGCTGTAGGACAAAAAATCCGAGGACGAGTAATGGCATTAAATAAAAGTCAAGCCTATGGGAAAGAAAGAGTAAGTAGATTGTACATGTGTGCATGCTTGCAAGTTGACGACTCACTTTCGGACCACCTTCGCTTCTTGCTCTGTAGTCCACGACACAACCTCTGCTTGGTCTGAGCGTGAACATATCGGTGCAAGTTGCTTCTCGTCAACTCCTTCCAAGGGCACGGACACGGACCCGTTCGGCTGTGTTGAAACGTCGTTCATCCTGTGATTTCACAAACTAAACAAGATAGTAGTGAGTAATTATCGCGTTCACAGCGGCCTGAAATGTCATTTATGGCACCGTGGACTCGCTGATAACGCAATTAGCCCTAAAATGATGCAGCGGATCCTTTCTCTTGTCTGAACCATATCTTTCGAATCGGGTCTGGGGTTCGGAGGTCGCCAGGGAAAAGGAGCGATAGTTTGTGGGGTATAGGTTGTCGTCGGAGGTGAGCGTCGGCGGTGGGCGATGCTAAGCATCCGGGCCAAGACTTGGATGTCTACGTTTTATGTTTTCAACTATCGACTATTGGTTCTTTGGCTCTCTGCCGCAAGATTTTGAATCTCACTCCAAGTTCTCATCCTTTGTCAGTTGTTTCCCCATTCAGACTAACGAGGCCTGTATCTCAGACCTCGCGGCCTTCGGGATTGCAAACACCAAATAGACAGCCATGTCAAAAGATCTCAGTCGACCGAACATTGTTCTCATCCTAGCAGACAATCTAGGGTGGGGTGAGTTGGGTTGCTATGGTGGCGGCGCCCTTCGTGGAGCGCCAACCCCGCGCATTGACAACCTCGCAACCCAGGGATTGCTTCTCCAGAATTTCAACGTAGAGAGCGACTGCGTCCCTACTCGATCAGCTTTGATGAGTGGGCGGCACCCAATTCGAACGGGCTGTAGACAGTCTGTGCCTGCTGGATTTCCTCAAGGATTGACACCGTGGGAGAAGACCCTTGCGGAGTGTCTACGAGAAGCTGGATATGCTACTGCCCATCACGGGAAATGGCATCTTGGCGACATCCCAGGTCGATACCCATCCGACCGGGGTTTCGATGAATGGTTTGGAATACCGAGGACTACAGACGAGAGCCAGTTCACTTCGGCCTGTGGGTTTGATGCCGAGGTTGCCGAATTACCATATATCATGCGCGGCCTCACCGGGCAAGCCTCGGAGAATGTCTGCGTATATGATCTCGAAAAGAGGCGCATGATCGATGAAATGCTAGTAGCTCAAACCAAAGATTGGCTGTCGAGGAAGGCTGAATCCGAAGCTCCTTTCTTTCTGTACCATCCACTAGTCCACCTACATTTCCCAACGTTACCACACCGCGATTTTGCTAATTCCATAGCTGAGATGGACTTTCGCGTTGGTCAGATCCTCGATCACATCGATCATCTGAAGCTGCGGGAAAATACAGTGGTGATTTTTGCGTCCGATAATGGGCCCGAATTTCGACCGCCGTATCGAGGAACTGCGGGTCCTTGGTCAGGAACCTACCACACGGCGATGGAGGGTACTCTACGGGTGCCGTTCATCATCAGATGGCCTGGTAATGTGCCAGAGCATACAACATTCAATGAGATGGTGCACGTAACCCATATCTTCACCACTATCCTGTCTATGGCGGGTGCTGAGAAGCCCAGTGATAGACCTATTGACGGTATCGATCAGTTGAATTTCTTCCAGAATCCTGTCACTGAGAAGAGTAAGCGAGAAGGCTTCCTTTTCTACATCAAAGACGAGCTACGGGCTGTGAAGTGGAGGAATTGGAAGCTGCATCTAGTATGGGAGCCAAAGGTCAACCAGTCATCTGGAAAGTTAGAGTCGCCGTATCTGTTCAACACAACGCGCGATCCGAAGGAAGAATCCAATATACTGGCATATAATACCTGGGTCTTGCAGCCCATGATGAAGCTTAGAGCTGAATTCCAGAAGAGCTTGAAATATGATCCTGCGCCGCCAGACCCAATGAAAGACATTTAGATAGTATTTCCAATAAAAGCGGAACAGTACTCTGACGACATGGGAATTAAACAAATGTATGGCTGAAATGTGTTGCTCAGCAACGTGAATCCTCATATGTCCCACATGACAAACTCTTGCATGCTGAAGTCTTGAAGTGAAGGGTCGCTCGTTGGCCAGCCAAATGTCTGCGGCAGATCATACTGTCCAGCCACTGGAAAAACAGGAAGTGCGTCAGACGCACCTATTTGGGTTTGTACCAAGGAAAGTTGATGCGCGTTTGACCCTCGAGTAGAGTCGTAAAGGGTTTCAAAAATATCTCGGCAAGGTCTGCCGGCAGGATATCGCTCAACCATGCCCCATAGAATGGATGAACATGAATTGAGCGACATGTGGATGGAGTCCAGATCGATTGCACATTCTTGTGGCCAGTTCTTGAGGCAATGGATAAGCGCCACTCCGGAGCGAAAGAGATTGTGAATGGTCCGCCAGTAGAAGCGTAGCTTACCATCGCGAAAAGATGACCGATAAGCTTCAATAAGCTTCAATACTCTTCTGGGCGCAACTAGCGAGGAACACACAGTCATCGCTGGCTAAACGTGGCAAATGGCGGCTTGGTGAGTATAGCTGGAGCAGTGAGTTATGGAGACATCCATCAAAGATCTCTAGAGGTGCCAATTGCGATGTTCTTTGGTGGGAAGGCAAAGTAGCGCGCCACTCGTAAAGTCGTTTACGCATGTCGTCTCGCCAGGAGTAGTGATCGAATGTCTTAGAAAAGAGCGGTGGCGATTGATGTAGTACTTGCATGATTTCCGACTCCAAACGTCGAAACTTCATAAGATGCACAGCAAGAGCCAATCGTGACGGACTGGACGACGGCGGAACACCCTGCTCCGTGATACCTTCTTCCACGTGGGCTGGAAGAGGCACCGAAATCGCCTCACCGGGGATGGATACCGGCCGTCCTAGCACAGCGCAAAGGTTCCGTTCGAACGTATAGATCGCCCAAAAGAGTCTCCTTCTTCTGTCCAGCGAATGTTTGTCCAATTGAAGCGATGAGGGCTCGTCGTGGAGCCCCAAATCGATGCTGAGTCTTGTAGCCAGCCCAAGTATATGCCAGGTACCAGCAGGCTGAGAAGAAAAGGACAGAAATTGTATCATGAGCAGCAGGACTTCTAGGTGATGTAGGTCTCCTGTAAGAAGCTCAGTGGTATGGGTAAGAAGAATGCCGGATGCTGTGGAGAAGAAGGCGTCAGCCCTCGAGGCAGGAACAGAAGAATCAGTCCGGCTCAATAGTTGCACAGCTACGGCCAGGATCATGAAGATCTTGTAACGTTCTTGGGTCTTCGAAATGTCGTTGGCATCATCTAGTGAACGAAGAACGGACGCCTTGTAGAATATGGGTGAGAAGAAGTCGCAGTGCTCAAAGTAGGTTTCAATAAGTCGATACGAAAGATCCCTGGATGGCAGACGCATGGCAGCTTCTTGCGGTAGCATACCCACAATAGACGCTGTCGCTGTATCATGAGCGGACGGATCATGTGTTGGATGAGGGATAGCGAGTCCGGCAAGTACAAGCCGCAATACAGGCAGTCCTGAGCCTATGTCTATATAACGGGGACTGGGGAAGGTTGAGGGATGCAGCGTCACTAGACTGGCTTGGGACAACGCCGTTTCGACATTGTCTATATGCAGCTGTGATTTCTCATGTGAAGCGACATGCGATCGTTTGGTGCTTGATGACATAGGGAAGTTGTAATCGATATGCCAAATGATGTGCGGCCAATTCACACATCGCGCCAATCTAAGCCGCTAGTGGCGACGGCGGCCTAGCGGCTCAAGCTACCCCACCAAATCGCATTCGAGCTTCACCTGCGCGAGATCATGGCCTCTTCCAACGAAATACCGAACCTCAAAACTCTCCTTGGCAATCGACGTGGCGGCGGACTACGAGGAAGGGAACGCAGCGGGGGTGGTATTGCAAGCTCTAGTGAGGAAAATGAGCAAGTAAGAGACAATGCTGTCAAAGCAACGGATCAAGATGCAGCGGGGAGCAGGGTGAGCTGCGTCGAGCTTGGATATCTTCATGACCCATATGCGAAGCTGTTTGCGACACAGCCGGCGACAAGGCGACTGCCATTGCTAAACAGAGGTACGACATGGATATGTTCGAGCCCGTCTCAACACTCACTAAGCAGCGCAGGTACCTATGTCCGCACCTCAGCAATCGACCAGCTCGTGAACAAGTTCCTCCTTGCCGATCCGTCTTCTGCGAAACAGATCGTGTCTCTCGGTGCTGGCACAGATACGCGCTTCTTCCGCCTCATGGACTCGTACCCCGACATTCGTCTGGTATACCACGAGATCGACTTCCCTACCAACACTGTCGCAAAGATCGCCAGCATACAGAGGCAACCTCTCCTGTACCGGAAGCTGCTGCACAGCCCGACTGCTGCCACATCGTATCACTCCGAGACATACAACATCCATGCGCTCGATCTGCGCTCTCTTGCGAACTCGGCGGAAGAGACGCCGCGTCCTGACATACCAAACCTCGACCCTGCAATACCTACCCTGATACTGTCCGAGATGTGTCTAGTATACCTACAGCCATCTGCTGTACAGTCGATCGTATCGTCGCTTGTCACCCGCTACCTCCAACCCGCAACACCCGCTTCTCTCATACTGTACGAACCTATCTTACCACAAGACGCCTTTGGCAGGACCATGACTTCCAACCTGAGAACCCGCAACATTCACCTACACACAATGACTGCGTATCCCGAGCTTGGCGATCAACGCGCGCGACTGAAGGGCTATGGCTTCGAAGCAGCAGCGAGAGCGGAGGACACCAGCTATATTTGGCGGAACTGGGTCAGTGAAGAGGAGAAGGAGCGCGTTGCTGGTTTAGAGTTTCTGGATGAGCTCGAGGAGCTGGAACTCCTCTTGCGACACTACTGCATTGCTTGGGGCTGGCGAAATGGCACGAGTGATGTCTTCTCGAAGGCGTGGGCGGATGTTCGGTAGCAGGGTGGATGCTTTGCTACCTAGTGAGGAAAGAGTGAAAGTTTGCTACTGCATTCAAAGTGTAAATAGCACCACAATAAATTATGCACTCACACTCCACTGCAAATTACTTTGGTAGGGTGAAAGTGTGACAGGTGACTTCGCGACAGCTCACATTGACGCGCTAAGCTTTGTCCGAGCGGCGCTTTGAGCCTCTTCCCCAACATTGTGACAACGAACTTTACCCACCTCACGACTCACGACTCGCTCGACGCTCGAAATACTTGTCGCATCAGACGGAATCGCCTCGGCTGCCAAAATAGCCTTCCCATGGAGCGACGGCAATAAGAACGCCCTCCTCGAGATTTCCGGGGTGCAACACTATAAACAACAAACAAACAGGAGCGCGCTGCGACCATGTCTAGGAAGGCACTCCAGCCATCCTTTGATCTCTTTGGCGGCGGCGGACTTGAGGAGTCCCAAGAACCTCCTGCGAAGCGCGAACCACTACGAGAAACCTTTCGAGCCACATTTCGCACATCACAGAATGCGCCGCACACGGTCGTCCCCTCGGATCCAGCGAACGAGGAGCTGCGCGCCCAGCTCAACACCGTGCGCTATGAACTCGAAACAGCGAAGCACGACATGGAAATGAAAAAGGTGGAACATGCGCAGGAGCTCCGCGAAGCACAAAATCGCGCCGATGCCGACTTTCGCAAAGCGCAGCAGGCCGAGGCAGCGAACACGGTCACGCAAAAGAAGTTCGAGACTCTGGCAAGAGACATGTCCGAGTCGCAAACACGAGCTGCGAACGAGAAGCAAGCTCTCGAGAAGCGATTAAGACAGAGTCAAGAAAAGGCGCAATCGCTGCAGGAGGAGTTTGACGAGGTGCAAGAGGAGCTGGCATCGTCGCAAAGACAAAGCGAGCACAAGTACAATACGCTGCAGGCGGAGCACAAGGCGCTCAAGGAGAGCGTGGAGGAGATACAGATAGATCTACAGTCGAAAGTGGATGCACTGCAAACAACACAGAAGAAGCTGGGCCAGAAAGAGGAGGAGGTTGGGCAGCTCGAGGCAGAAGTACTGCGACTGAAGGCCATCACCGGCGATGCAGAGACGCTTGAGGTCATCAAGAGGGAGTTGTCAGACCAAGTGAACCACATCAAGAAGCTGGAAACCCTGACAAGGGAGCAGAATGCGGAGCTTAAGCAGTACCGCAAACAGCACAAGGCTATCGAGATTGTGGAGGAGGAGAAGCGATCTTTACAAACCAAACTGCACAACATGGACGACATGCAACGGCAGCTGAACGAGGCAAATCTCCGAAAGAAGATACTTGAAGAGGAGAGGGACTCGTGGACATCATATCTTGAGGCCGAGGCCGCGATCCATGGCGAGCTGCAATTCGACTCCCCCGAAGACCTTGCACGAGCTTTCATTCAGGAACGAATAGAAAGGACCGAGCTCCTCAACCAGCTGGGCGAGATCAAACCAGAGCTTACCGTCAAGGAGGCCAATATACAGGCGCTCGAAGATGAGAAGCAAAAGTTGCAAGCTGAGATCCAACAACTCAAGACATCTGGCTCTGGAAGCGCCCCAAATGCAAACGAAGCAAAGGCTCGTGCGAGATTGGAACGACAGAAAGCTTTAGCCATCAAGGAACTAGATTTCTTGCGCGCGCAAGTCAAAGCATTCGACGATGAAGAGCGCGAGATGCAGCCTGATACGTTTGATGCGGCGAAGTCAGAACTAATCAAGGAGCTACAAGACTCCGTTGACCAGTATCGCAAGGAACTCGACACCCTCCAGAAAGAGTTCAACAGCATCGAGAAGCAACCCAACTCCACCGCAGCCGGCCAAAAACGAGCTCTCGAGACAGAAGACAACGACGAACGTCTGGGCGAGCTTCGACGCAAGAACCGCCAGCTCCAAGACGACCTCACCGCGCTCCTAAAGAAGCAAAAACTCATCGAAGCCGAGTACACCGCCCAGCACTCACAGCTCAAGAAACTCAAGGAAGCGTCCCGCACCCGCGTCCTTGAACTCAAATCCAACCCCACCGCCGACGCCGAAGCCCTCAAACTGAGCACCGTCCGCAACCTGCGCGAAGCAAACGCCCAACTCCTCGCCCAACTCGACAACGCACGCACTCCCCCTGCGAGCGTACCGACAGCCACCCTCGATGCCGTCCGCGACGAGCTCGAAGAACTCCGCACCCAACTCGCCTCGTCCACAAAAAAGATCCAACGTCTCAAGCAAATCTGGACCGCCAAGAGTCTCGAGTTCCGCGAAGCCGTGGCCTCCATCCTCGGCTGGAAACTCGACTTCATGCCCAACGGCCGCGTCAAGGTCACCAGCATGTTCAAACCCGCAGACGAAGACGGCGAGAATAGCATCGTGTTTGACGGCGAGAATGGCACGATGAAAGTGAGTGGGGGCGAGCAGAGCGTGTTTGCGGGCGAGATCCGCGATCAGATTGTGTATTGGGTCGAGGGGAGGAAGGAGATTCCGTGTTTTTTGAGCGCGTTGACGCTGGAGTTTTGGGAGAGGGGGGGTTGGGGGGGATGACGTTGCAGGGGTGAGGAAGGATATTTATTGCATTTTTGTGTTGGTGACATGTATTTGGAGTTTGTCGGTCAAGCTGTTCATGAACAGATTCTTGTTTGGTCATGTTATGGATGCAATGTATATTATGACTTTCATTGTCCTTTTCAGGCAATACATGGAACTACTGTCTCCAAAAGAAGCACGAACTATCTGTCTACACCCTCGCTTCCCTATCTCCCACCCATCTCATACACCGGCCCCGTCTTCCCAGGCGCACTCATCTCATGCGCTCCCGCGGCCGGCGCCGAAAACTGCTGTTGCGGCGGCGGCGAAGTATGTGGCGAAGGCACCTCATGCGCGCCATTCGCCGGTGGCTGATACTGACCACCATACTGTTCCGAGATAGGAGGCGAAGGCACCTCATGAGCACCATTCAGCGGAGCCTGATACTGCCCACCATACTGTCCCTCCACGGGCGAAGCAACCTCATGCGCCCCGTTCGCCGGCGGCTGATACTGTCCCGGGTGAGGCATCGGCGGGGCATTTGAAGCCATATATGGCTGCACATATGCGGGAGCCGGCGTTGTTGCATTCGACGCCACCGGCGAGACCTTGTACTCTTGGACAGACGTGTGGCCGGTGTATTTCTGCTCTTGCGGGTTCGGGGGTGGAAAGTATCCGTTCATTGGTGGCGGCGGGCTCTGGGGAGGCATAGGTTGAGGCGGACCTTGCTGCATCTGCATTTGCGGCTGGAATTGGGATTCTGGGCGGCTGGCTTGGACGTTGGCCATAAGTTGAGCATTTGCAGCAATTTGCTTTTGCTTCTTCTTGCGCTTCATGCAGATGCATACGCCAACGATGGCGAGGAAAGCGAGTCCGAGCACGGCGAGTACGATGCCGATGATGGCGCCGATGGCGAGTTTCTTGCTTGTTCTTGAGGACGGCGTGGTGTATGATCCCGAAGTCCCTGAACCTGAAGTCCCTGTGGTTTCCGTGACGGCGCCGGCAGTGACGGTTGGTAGTCGTGTGCTCGTCGAACCGCTGAAGCCGTCCTGTGCTGTCTGTCGAACGGTAATGATTGAACCCGTTGAGACACTGTCACAGCCGAAATCCTCCACGCCGTCAGAGGGGTATGTCCAGGTAACGCAGTAAGGCGCTGCAGCGTTCGTACACTTCCTCACAAGAGGATCGATGAGACAGTTGCTGCCACAACTTCCAGCAGAATAAGAAACAAAGTCGACGCAGGAGCTAGCCCATCCGCAGTTCTGGGTGTCGCGGCCTTCACAGCATCCTGCCATGTTAAGCCCTGCGCTCTTGTAAAGCATGCATGTTCGGCCAACACTGCAAGTCAATGCATTTGCTGTATGAAGTCAGACAGGCTCAACTATGAGAGCGGTGACAACGTACAAATATCTCCGTCAACCCAGCCGCATGTTGCTTGTGAGGAACTCTGGCGCTTTCTCAACTCTTCTACTGACGGGCCCCTAGTAGGCTTTGGGCTCGTCCCTTCGAGGGCACGATCTGGGCTGATATCTGTCGGAGCAGGGCCTCCAAACGCGACAGCATAGGTGGATGGCAAAGCAGCTACCAAGCTGAGAACATGTGAATACCTCATTGTAAGGTATAGTCAGCCTTGCAAAAAGACGTTGAAGGACTCAAACAAGACAGACAAATGCTGGATAAGTAAGAAGAGGGGGCACGAAAAGTGACAAGTCGAAAGAAGCCCGCAAGCACCGCAGATCCAAGAGGTCTACGCCGTATATGAGAAATTGCAATCAGTCAACACGCCTCACAGCTGAACCTCCAGATCTCGCTCGTGGTAGCACCAATACGGCATGGCGTCTCCCATTACTCGGCCAAATGCTCAGCCGCACTCGCAAGGCTACCGCCAAAGAAGCGAAAGCGGCCGCTCTATCGTAACCGAATCGAGCGAGCCATTCAAGCACATTGGGGTCCACTATTCGCAAATTGGAACTGATCTTCGCATGCGCTTTGGCGCTGAATTGAGGTTGTGTTTGATTTGGGGATGGAGCTGAAGAAGATGGCTTGCAGGCAGCCTATCAGAGAAGATTAGTATGTTCGGAAACAGTAATTGCAAGCGGGACGATTGCTTGGCTATGCAGGGCTTTTTGGGGTCCAGAATAGCGCTGTTCTCATTGCTTCGTGGAAAGCTTGGGCTCGCTTGGGCTTGTTTGTCTCCATCTTGACCGGTATTTGTGCCGTGCGACGTGGGAAGAAAATGTCGAGATTCAAGACTAAGGACCTGCCAGGAATGCATACGATCAACGGGTCCATGAAAACCGCACTGCATCTGAGTCAACATTTGCTGAAGCTGGTTAACAACAATCCATGGTGGTCCCATGATATAGGTAGTGGATAGATATCGTGTGGCACTTTCAGGCCCTCAACCCATACTGCTAGAAGACTCCCCCATTAACCCGAGTGCCCAGAGGAGTGTAACTCTAGACACTTCACACGGCGATCAGAAAAGTATCAGGCTGTGTGATGCGACAAAGCCTCCTGATGCATTTCATTATCGTGAGTAAGATCCCGGCCAAATCTTAGGTCTCGCCTCCAGCACCTCCGAGATTGACCACGAATGCGACAATGTGCTGTTCTCTGCGGTTCGCGAAACTCCTCGGGAAAAAAAATGCATAGATCGGAAGTTGGGCAGATGTTGCTTCCGCGCGTTGTTTGTGAGACCCGAGTCTCATCGCTCGTCGTTTGAGGGAAATGAGAGAGTCAGAGGCAGTACGCGCACAAGTGCTGCGAAGTGCAATCGTCAATCGCAGCGGTCGCGCGTGGTTATCGAGGCACGACATAACTACTGGTGATGTTGGCATTGGTGTCGTGCGGCGAACAACCTCGGGAGTCAGGAAGTGGCAAGCCCAGCTCTCGCAACTTCTTCGCTGGTAATTTGTCAGCAGGTCCACCTCTTAAGTATGGCATTTTTCATCAACTCCTGGCGAATACATCCAGATATATTCCTGAATCATCTTCAAAGTGGCTTTCAGAGCGAGTTTACGCAAGATGACGCACTTCAACATCAATGTTGTCAGCGACACAGTCTGCCGTAAGTACGTCTCTCTACGTCCTACACCTCGGTCCTAATCAGAACAGCATGGTGTTACGTGGGCAAGAAGCGACTAGAAAAGGGTATTGCAGAATACAAGGAGAGACACCCGGGCTCGAACGATACTTTTGCGATCAACTGGTTTCCTTTCTACCTGGATCCGACTGCTCCAAAGAGCATCGACAAGCAGGAGCGCTATGAATCGAAATTTGGCAAAGAGCGCACCGCTATGATGCAGCAACGTCTCTCACAGATTGGCCACGCCGAAGGCATCAACTTCAAATATGGCGGCAAAACTGGCAACACTCGCGACTCGCATCGCTTGATCCAGCTCGGAAAGACGAAGAGCCCACAGCTTCAGACCCGTGTGATCGAAGAGCTTTTCGCTGCGTACTTTGAGAATGAGAAGGACATCACCAGGCAAGACATCTTGATCGAAGCTGGTGTCAAGGCCGGACTGGAAGAGAAGGAAATTAAGGAGTGGCTCGAGAGTGGTAAGGGAGGACCGGAAGTTGACAAGGAGGTGCAAGACGCCGTCGAGCAAAACATCAGCGGTGTGCCCAACTTCACCATCAACGACCAGTTCGAAGTAGGTGGCGCGCAAGATGCCTCTGCATTTGTCCAACTCTTTGAGCGCTTCAAGAAACAGGAAGGTAGCTTGTAAAAAACAGGAAACAAGCAAGACCAATAAAGGCATGGGTTCAGAGTTCAAAACTCGACTTTCACTCCACACACCCACTCGATCTCCATGAAACTGAACATTGCTGTTTGTATTCTCAACGCAATCTTTCTCTGTCTATTTCTCCGAATTGTCGAGCATGCTATTGGCTGCAATGAGAGCTCACCATTGAATATCAATTTACCCGCACAACCCCCTGGCATGTGGCATGCAGATCTTCCGGAGAAAAGCTCGCTGGACGCGAGGGTGTGATTTACCCCACATTCGAACCTCTCCGCTCGCCCAATCTAGCAGCTCGGAAGCTACTAACCCGCCATGATGTCAGTCGCCCGTTTGCACTTGCATGTTAAGGTTACATTATAGGAACTTCACATATGAGACTTAGCCTGCTGCTTTGTCGCCCGCATGTGTTGATTGATATCTTACCACCATAACTCCGCGAACACGAGAAGCTTACTACAAGCAATCGTGGGTATGAGGAGTGTATTATTTCTTGGGCTCGCCGCTTCGGCTCTCAGTGCAGCTATTCCACGTGATGACCCAGACAACCACGGCATAGAGGATGACGACTTTGTATATGTCAAAGGTCTACGGCTATACGACTCGGAAGGTCTACATTATCTCACTGGTAAGTTGAACTTACAGCACTCAAGAAGGCAATGGCTGATCAACTTCAGGTATGAATTACTGGGCTTGTATGAACTTAGCAGCAGATGAATCTACCGGAGGCAACTATTCGCGCTTGGTCGCGGAGCTGGATCAAATGGCTGCGAAAGGCATCAACCATCTTCGAATCATGGCCGCTTCAGAGGGTGCCCCAACAACGCAACCATTCAGGATGAACCCAGCGCTTATGGAGGCTCCGGGTCAGTACAACAAGGAGATCTTCAAAGGCTTGGACGTGTGTCTCGCTGAGATGTCGAAGCGCGGTATGCGAGCCACCATGACGTTAAACAACGAGTGGCAATGGAGCGGTGGATTCGCACAGTATGTATCGTGGGCACAGAACAACTCGATAATTCCGTACCCGGTGAGATACCATAACTACAACTGATGAGGATGCTGCTGACCGCGTAGTCTTCCTGGAACCTCTCTGCGTCACCACAGCGCGAAACGCCTAATACAGGATGGGGAAGCTACACTACCCAAGGTATCGATGCTGCGCCATACAACGAGTTTACCGACTTCGCAAACTTGATCTACACCAACGAACAGGCTGAAGAGTGGTACAAAGCCCACATCATGACGGTGATGCATCGCCGAAACACCGTCACTGGTAAATTGTATATTGAGGATCCTGTCATCATGACATGGCAATTAGCCAATGAGCCACAAGCAGCATTTCCAACACTAAACGAAAACCTGAAAGATCCGCTCTTCGCATGGGTGGAGCGCATTTCAGCATACATTCGCTCTATGTCTCCGAAGCAGCTTGTCAATGTTGGCTTCGAAAGCAAACAGGGAGAATGGTACTTCAAGAAAGTGCACAATTTCAGTACTGTGGACTACGCCACGACGCACTGCTGGGTCCAGAACTGGGGCGTATATGACATGGTAAGCCACACACTACAGTCCACATTGAAAACTCGAGAATTTCAGAGGCAGTTACTGAATTTCGGCAACAGTACAACCCCAGCCCAGTGAACTTGCAGACTGCTCAGAGCTTTGCGATAAATTTCATGCAGGAATCGAGTCGGTGGAGTGCTGACATTGGGAAACCGATCTTCCTGGAAGAATTCGGCATGGCGAGAGATAATTGGGAAAATAAGGATAAGGAGTATCCTTATCTGAGCAGTGCTTCAACAAACAACAAGGACGCATACTTCCAGGTCAGTCTTCTGGTGCTTTTCTGAGCCAATCTTTACTGATAAATATAGACCATTATTGGCACCGTCATGGACGAGTTCCGTAACGGCGGTGCCTATGTAGGAACGTCTCCGTGGGCGTACGGCGGCGTATACCGTCCCGAAACGCAGCATGTCAATGAGTTTGGCATGGTCTGGGCTGGTGATCCGCCGCATGAGAGCCCGGGCTGGTACGATCTCTACGATACGGACACTGCGATGGACGTCGTCCATTCCCAACAGAAGGTTATTGCAGAGTGGATCCAAAAGAACGGAACCAATGCGACGCAGATATGAGAAAACAGAGAATGACTGGTCAGTTACTAGGTTGGTGAAGTCTTGTTCTATCGATCATTGTGTCAAGGAACTTCAAATCGAACTTGTGCAATGCGAGCTGGGAAGGGAACTCAACAGTATCAAACACATTATTCCTCTCGTTGACCAGAATCGTCCTATTTACCACGCGTGTCTTTGTATAATTGGCAAGATGTGACGTGAATATTTTGGCTAAGCCTGGGCATACGGAGACGCCACATCGGGATTGTCGATGACTGCTAAAGTAATCGGGTAACCGTGATACAGTTATGGATAGAGTGATCGAATTTACATTTGAAGCGAAAGAAGAGCCATAGCAGCTCTCAAGGTCTTTGCCATCGCATTATAGCTTGGTGGTACGCAAGTTCGTTATCGTACACCTCAGGGAATATATCATTCGCAGAATCTTTCCAGCTCCTATGCTTGCACGGGCGTTCGAAAAATTTGATGTAGTCCCAGTGTTCTGGATACCATCCTGCGTTCTCCCAATCCAGCAGCCCTGTTATCTCACCATCTTTAACCAAGATATTGTGCTGTGCAATGTCACCATGTGAGAAGACGATGCGATGATCATTGCAAATCTGCTGATGCAGTGCTCTGCGAATTGGGCTTGGAGTGTTTTCCAAGAGGTCAAAATAGAACGACGAGTTGAACTCGGTCTCGTCTTTGAACGGTCCGCCGCTGTAGTCGGTGTATCGGCGGCAGTCTCGTGCTTTCCCACCAGCGCAGGATCCAATCAGTTTAGTCTTCCAAGGTATGGATCGCATTGTTGTGAGGATATCCCGTAGTTGTTGGCAGATGCTGCCTCTCTCCTCCACTGTCATTTCGTGCCAAACCTGGTCAAGACTATCTCCCTCGATATAGTCCATTTTAATGAAAGCGCCTCCATCAATCTCGCCCGCACCATATACGTGTGGGACAGGAAGGCCATGCTTTGCGGCAAGTTCCAGTGCCGGTCGCTCATCAAGATGTATTCGTCTCCCTTGCTTGATAACCATAGTGCCAGAATGTAGAGTAACGAGACACCCAGACATTTCATGTAGAGTCACGATTTCTAGTGCATGATGATCAACAGTTTATCAACCCTTAGTTTACGAAGACTTACCCTCCTTGTCTGTTTTTAGTATCGAGCTTGTTGACCCCGAAGCCATCGTCGCTAAGAGCAACCCTACCACAAACGTCCGAGGGATCTTAAAACGCGACTATTCTGATAGCATATCAAAAATCTCGCGGGCGTGACTTTTGCTTTCATTCAAAGGACCAAAGGATCTTGCTTGCTCCACAGATGTTAAAGATGTTGAGGTACTGCGGGATCATGTGAAGATGACCTTTTGTCCCCAATCCTATGCAGTTTGCTTTATCCCAGTTGCGCGGCTAAAACTGTGATGTTGAGAGGGGAGAAAAAAGAAGAGAAGGCGGCCGCCGTCCTTGGGCGAATTCCCGTCGCGCATGACACGTCATCGACACTTCCAGCACTCCAGGGCTTGTAATACATCCTTCTCGTCGTAACTTGTAACTTATGGGCATGCGCAACTGCACGAACAGTACCGAACGCTCGGATCCTTTCTTTTCCTTTTTTTGCTCTCTCGAATCAAAACTAATGTCGTTGATGTCTGCACTATGCTTACCAGGCACTAAGTTGGCATATTCATCGCCCAGTTAGATCTTGCGCTCGTCTCGCACAACAAGTGCATACAACATTGTTGAGAATGTTCAAGTATTGATAAAAGCTCAAGTTATACCTTCAGGAGTGTCGTATTAACCGATGCAGCATCTACGCAGACCCTGCAATAGTTCACGCACAACCAACACGAACGCACTGCGCCTGTTCATCACCGCGCCTATCAGACACATCTGCTTATATTGCCTGACCACTCCGCTAGGATCTCGGCATCACCAACGAAGCAATACCTCACCTTCGATCGCAATATAAATTCATCTATCGCACGTTCTGTGCATTCATCCTACCTCTAAGCGCGAGCTTTCCCGTCGTCCCAACAGACGCACGTCAGCGGCCCGTTCCAACGTCCCGACCGCTCAACTCTCTCGCTACCTCAACGCGCCAAAACAACTTCGACGATCATGCGCCTGCAGTGCCAAAAAGTGGTGAGATAAGAGCGTTATAGTAAGGCGTCGAATGTGCTCAAAAGCCCTCTGAGTGGAGCGCGCCTTTCCTTGTTGGGGACAAGCGGCAAGCAGGATCTGGTGATTGCTGACGAGCTTGTTAGATCACAGGTTGTGGAATGTAGACAGTATGCGGTTATGCGGCGCCATGCTGTGCTTGTGAGAGGGCGAGATGCGGCATAGCGAGAAGGACCCGCGGGATCAGATGATTGGGGCCAAGTCGTGTTGTACTCTCGCTAGCTGTACGCGGATTCGGTGCAGATAGTTATACAGCTTTGTAGGCAGATGTGAGCCGTGGGACTTTGACTTAAAGGTAAGCTGATACCTTGGTGTCTTGCTTTCGTTTGCTCTGGGTCTGCGTTTGCTGAAGTCGAATTCTTGCAAGGTCGTTGCCCAATTTTGTGCCGTACGCCTGCCAATCTCAAAACCTTCTATTTGGTTGTCACTTCCTCTTATCGTTTCAATCAGCGGAGAACCTGCTCATAACTTGCTCATCTCATCTTTCATACAGACGACTTATCGCTACAAAAACATCATAGCCTTGTTCCGCTCACTTCTACTCCCCTCTGCTACCCACGTTTCAACACCAATCTACAATCGCTCGAACCTCATAAGTAAAGATGAACATGGATGGCATGACAATGGCATCGGCGTCGATGGCCATGAGCCCCACCGGCACTGGTATGGCAATGCCTTCATCCACTGGCGCCGCAGCCGGTGGTATGGGTGGTATGAGCATGGGCGGATCATGCAAGATTAGCGTAAGTGCCTGCACTACATGTCCGAAACGCATGCTAACCAACCTCTAGATGTTGTGGAACTGGTACACAGTCGACTCTTGTAAGTCTACTAACAGCACCACTTCACTCCACCCTGTACGCTTACACCAGGTCAGGCTTCATCGCCCGCTCGTGGCGCATCAAATCCCAAGGCGCCTTCGCCGGCTCTTGCATTGGCGTGATCCTCCTCGTAATCGTGCTCGAAGCCCTGCGCCGCGCTGGCAAAGAATACGACCGCTACATCGTCAACCAGCACATCAAGACCCTCTCGCCCGCCTCCTCGTCCGCTAGTAGTGCCAACGGATCGAAGAACCCCGCTACTGCAGACACCACACCCCTCGTCGCTGTGCCGCGCTTCCGCCCGAGTGTTCTGCAGCAGGCGATCCGCGCGCTGTTGCACATGCTGCAGTTTGCAGTGGCGTACTTTGTCATGTTATTGGCAATGTATTACAATGGGTACATTATCATTTGTATCTTCATTGGTGCGTACATTGGATACTTTATCTTTGGGTACGAGAGCTTTGGCGTTGGGCAGGGTGGGAGTGATCGGATGCAAGAGAATGCTACCGTCTGCTGCGGCTAGGGAGCCGAAGACTATGCCGCCGTTGGAGCAGCGGTGTGGTGGGGTGCCGAGACGTTGGTGAGGGCAGTGGACCTTCTGTGTTGGTATTTGGTTGGACCGATTCTGTGGATGTTGGAGAATGGGTCGAGATGGTACGATTCTCTTCGGTCGCTATGAGGTATGGAACAGCTTGGGGACCTCAGACGCTCACATAGGAGGCCTCGTATGCATAAGACATTATAATTTGTATTGTAGCCACCATTCATATGAATCACTCAGTTGAGGCAAGGTTCTGGAATTAAATGATTGCATTGTGAACTGGTCGATAGTGGTATCATCCCCCTGACTCCATCTCATAAGCCAACAAGTCCCACTGACATCAAAATTCAACTCCTTATCCATGCAACCCCATGCAACACCTCTCTGGATTTCGTCTGATCTACCGCTAGTTAGCACACTGTCTGACCTTCCACGATCCATGACATACCATCATCGTGTCATTTTCAAGTTAACTTATCAAGTCGCCCCGTTTAAGAAGTGTGCTGCCCAACAGTCAGTACATAAACTCCACATTTTAATTCACGAGAAAAACACACAGGGCAAGTGTTGCAAGAGCACGTGTTGCCACAAGTGCAGTTGGATCCGCACTTGCAAGATCCGGCAGAGTTGCATCCACAGTCTGAGCCAGGCATGATGAAGGTTGTTTTGTGTTGCAAAAAAAGTTTCGAAAGATGAAAGTTTGAAGATTGTCTGAAGACTTGAAGTGTGATTGATGTGAAGTGCTTTAATGAGTCTCCCTCAAATCGCAGAATCGTTCCTCGTTATATACACAGCTGCGCGACTTGTGCGGTTTTAGTGGCGCCGAAAAGCATACTCAGGGCGGTTCCGATGACGCTGGCGCTGTGATGTGATTGGTTGGCGTATTTGCCCCGAGTTCTAGGCGGCTTCGAGAGACGGATGGTCGGGGAAAAAAGTGGGTTGAGCTTTTTGTGCGGAAATGCGCTAGGCAGGATTTCGGAGGGGGGTTTCTTTGAGGATGAGCCGAGCGAGGATCAACGGGTGCGAGTTTGCATTATGTATATGACATGTTGGCATCTACGATGGAAAGCGAACAGGGTGCCTGGAGCTACACACAGGGCCTCGCCCTCGCAATCGAAACCTAGTGACACTGCATATCTTCCGGCTATCGCATCAGTAAGACCCTGTTACCTCTCTACGCAACTGGTAACCTGCAGTTACCACGTATAGGTAATGGAAAGCCATGTAGCGAGCCAATGTCTTAGCTGCGCAATGCGAAGATGCAGACGGTAGTTTACAGGTGATTCGTGTTCAAAAGGATGTCTTGGAAGCTTTCTAACCCAATTCCCGCTATGCAAGTATTATACAACGGTGCTATAACCACCTCCATACCCCCTTCTGCTTTTCCACCGTAAGTAGAACTTTCGCCCCTCATCTACCCAAAACACGCAACTTGCCACTGCGAGAAGGTGGCAAATGTCGAGCAAGCCCAGTGCCTCTGTCTGGAACACGTGCTGTAATGGTGGGAAGTAGATGACTAACAGCTGGCCTATAAGACTCCCGCCAACAGCGTAGTTGAAGAATTTGTTATCGAAAACACCAATCTCGCCTGATAGGAAGGACTTGGTGTTGGAGCGACATGTGAGTGCGTTGAACATGTCGAAGAGGACGAAGCAGGTGAATGTCATCGTGGTGTCGCGCTCGGTGACTTCTCCGTCAATGGACATTTCGCGGTAGTATGTGATCATGGTTCCGAGCATGATGATAGTGGCGGATTGCAGAACTCGTTGGATTAGTGGACGGGTCAGGACACGGGCGTGTCGAGAGCGAGGCGGTAGGGCCATTACGGCTGGGTCGACGCGTTCGACACCGAGGGACTGCGCTGGCGGACCATCCATGATAATGTCTGTGACTCGGTTAGCTAGATCCTTGTATTTGTCGCAATCGGGACTTACTGATCCATAGAATTTGCATGGCATTGAGCGGAGACTTGAAGCCCAAGGCAGTACTGACTAAAACCAAGCTTAATGCGGCCGCACTGGTACTGAGCTGGAAAGTGAGGAAGTTTTGGATGTTGTAGAAGATGCCTTTGCCTTCTTCGATAGCGTTCAGAATGGTTGCGAAGTTGTCGTCGGTCAAGATCATGTCGGCAGCCTCCTTGGCTACGTCGGTTCCTAACAGGCCCATGGAGATACCAATGTCAGCCTTCTTCAAGGCTGGCGCATCGTTGACTCCGTCGCCAGTCATCGCAACGACGTCCCCTCGAGACTGGAGTGCTCGTATGATCTTCAGTTTGTGTTCAGGGCTTGTGCGTGCGAAAATTGATGTTGTTGCGATAGCTTGAGCGAGTTCTTCGTCGCTCATGTGGTCGAGCTCGTCGCCGCAGATTACCGAGCGTCCAAGGGCTGAGTTTGCTATGATTGGCATACCAAGACTCTTGCCAATAGCGACAGCTGTGGTTTCCGCATCTCCTGTGATCATAATCACTTTGACCTTGCCGGCCATGAGACGCCGAATAGCCTTTGCCACGCCTTTTCTCGGGGGATCGCTCATACCGACTAGGCCCGCAAACACGAGACCACGATATTGTTCGTCATCTCCTAGTCCAGATTTGGTCGGCAAAGCAGGTGTTGAGGCCCCACTCGTGGTGCTTGCTTCGCCCTTTCGATGCACCGCTTGCAAAGCCAAGCACTCGCAGGCCTTCTTGGGCCATAGCCTCTGCTGCATTCAACGCTTCTTGCTTCCGCGCTTGATCCAGGACCACTTCTTTCCCATCAGCAGTAACATAGGTGTCGCAGCGATCCAAAACTCTCTCTAAAGCTCCTTTGATGTAAGCAACGTCGGCGCCTGATGTCAAACCTGTACCCAGACTGCCGTTGATGACAACACCCATCCATTTCCTCTCTGAGCTGAAGGGCGTCTCAAATTTGCGCTCGCCAAGTCTCTCTCGCACATCGTCCTCACCGAATGCATCCAGAAGATCTAGAAGAGCAACGTCCGTCGGCTGGCCTGCCCACCGACTTCTAACCAATGAGGCATCGTCGCCAGACGTCGATGAGAGAACTGCTGCCGTGGATGCAGATGCAGCCTGATCGCTCAATAACCTGCCATTGTTGACGATGTTTCCAATACGCAGGATGTTTCGAGTAGGAGAATTGAGGTCGGAAGTTTCGTGCTTCTTCTTGACATCGATTGGCGCTTCCTCGCCAAAGTGCCAGAGCTTTGCAACAGTCATGTGATTAGTCGTCAAAGTACCTGCAGAATGGTTAGCAGAAGGTTCTCTACATTCAGCACATTAACTCGCCAGTCTTGTCCGTGCAGACGACGTTGACCGTGGCCAGCGTTTCCACGCTCGGAAGTCGCCGCACAATGGCATCCCGCTTGGACATCTTAAGCACACCTAACGCCAGCGTGACTGTGACAATGATGGGCAGTCCTTCCGGAATAGCAGCAACCGCAAGCGAAACGCCAATCTGGAACATCTCTAGAACAGTCCAGCCCCGTAAGAGCCCAATGACGCCGATGAGGCCGATCACACCGAACGAGAAGTAGCTCAGGTCTTTTCCAAGTCGATCCATAGACATTTGCAGTGGTGTTCGCGGGCTCTCAATCTCCCCTAGGGATGCTGAGATGGCACCAAACTCGGTATTGCCTCCTGTGCCGATGACAATTCCCTGCCCGTATCCAGATCGTACCAGTGTTCCCATAAATGCGATGTTCTTCTGGTCATTGAGTCGGATGTCGGCTCCCACTGTTCCTGCAGCTTCTGAAGCGTAGAAGGGCGAGCCGGCGCGTTGAATGCCCGATGGAGGCGCAATGGCGTCTGGAATTTTCGACACAGGTTCGTTCTCTCCGGTGAGGTTCGACTCGTCGATCGTGAGATCTGCTGCGTGGGTGATGCGGACATCTGCGGGTATGCGATCGCCGGTGTGGAAGAGAACCAGGTCTCCTGGTACTAGCAAGGTTGCAGATATGGTCGCAGACTTTGCCTCCGCTGCTGCCAGTGAAGCGGGGGTATCTTTCAGGTTGTCCAACTCTATGCCGTCGCTTGCGTGACCATTTGGTGTACGTCTGCTTGGGGATTGCTCTACCCCCGCGCGAATGATGTGTGCCGAGTGCGGGACTAATTGCTTCAGCGCCTCTATGGACTGTTCTGAGCGGTATTCCTGCACAAAACCCACTGTCACCACGAACGTCACTGCGGCCGTTATACTGACTGCATCGTCGAAATTGCCGATTATGACAGATACAGCTGCTGATCCTAGGAGCAGCAGGATAAGAGTCTCCTTGAACTGCTTGACAAAACGAAGCCACAGTGGCTCGGGTTCTTCGTGCGGTAGCTCATTGTGGCCGTGGATGTGTATGCGCGCCGAGGCATCGGATGCGGAGAGACCGTGGGTCGCCGACGTCTGGAGTTTTTCTGCAGTCTCCTGCGTGGAGAGGAGAGAGTAGCCCGAGGTTATTGACTATAAATGTCTTGGTTAGCACGCATCTACAGGCATGGTAGTCGCAGCCGCGCAGAGGACAAGGGCACTTTGCATACCGGAGGTGTAGAGCGCTGGGCGGGCTGTGGAGGTTGGAGGGACGGCGACACGGTGCGGGAAGACTTGGAGTATCCGGGCGTGCCATTTGGCAGCGGTAATGAGGGCGTCGCGGCTCTTGACATGTTGGCATGGCCAGATGGCCAGTATTGCGCCGCGCTCAAACGTGGCCAGTCGGGTCGATGGACGGTGTTGAGAAGACGAAGAGACGTCAATTATCGCATTGACGCTGTGTTACGCTAAGGACAAGTGTCGATGGCGTATCCAACTTGTTCAGAGCAAGACGGGAATTGGGCTTCTTGAGATGTTGTCTGTCTACCAGAATGTCCACCAAAGATCAATCAGGTAAAACGCCAAAGCACCCGTGTTCTGCAAGCAGGGGCCAGCTGGCGGCGATCTGGGGTCAATCATTCAGTTTCATCGTCACTACAGACTGTCTCTAAGACTCCTGGCTTCTCCATAGGCTACAGTGCTAATCACACGGAGACGATGTTTGCAGCCTGTACGAGACAAAACACATTCGTGCATCAGAAGCCGCATTTGGTCGTATGTCTCACGGCATGTTCATATGTCTTGGCAGGTACCATATCCGGCACTGGACGATGGGTCAAGTGATGGCGCGCTTCTACTGCCGCACTGATGTCATTCGCTTGGCTGTGCATGCTGGACGATCAAGATCGAGCCTTTACTCGGACCGTCTGAACTTTTGAAGTTCCATGGGCACGGCTTCTGAAGGTGTTCACATAAAAGACCCTGGTGGAAGCCTCCATACGACAATGCCTGGGCTGAAGCAGCTGGCGCATATCAAATAACGCGATACGCTTGTCATACGCATGTATACAAATCGTCTTCGTATGTGTAGATATATCCATGTTGTGCGATTTGTGCATCGATGATGCGGATGCAGAAGGTGTCAAAGTCACACCCAGGCATGACTAAGCGAGGAACCTAAGATGGTGCATCCAGCCAGCCTCGTTAACCAGCCTCTCCCGGACCATTCACCCCCGGCGCATCCACAACACCATCGTCGCAACGCATTTTTGCCATTCACTGCCATCGACACGGCTGCGCGCACGCCCCAGCACCATTGTCGAACTTGGCGGAGCGTGAATTCTGCCTGCGCGTGTGCTATCGCCGCCGACGCGCCGATATAAACAACACCGCCCGACGCGACTCACCACGTCGACTCCACACCCCAACATCTCTGATCAACCACAATCATGTTTCTTCCCGAGGACCTTCTATACAAATCGGGCCAGCTCGCTCGCGTCTGGCTTGCTGCCAATCAACATAAGAAGCTTACCAAAGCCCAAGTTCTTCAAGACAAGATCGATGAGGACATCGAAGTCATCATCCGGCCAGAGGGGGCCGCCGGCGGTCCTCTCGCCCTGCGTTTGAATGGACAATTACTTCTTGGTGTCGTGCGCATCTACCACAGGAAAGCGCACTACCTGCACGACGACTGCAATGACGCGTTGTGGAAGATCAAGATGGTATGCATCGTGAGATCCCCTCCACAACCACGCAGCTGACGCGTTCTAGGCTTTCCGTCCTGGAAACATCGATCTGCCCACCCAGACTCACGTCGCAAACCCGACAAGTCTGACTTTACCAGACATGATCACTGATCTCGACTTGTTGGCACCAATGCCCGATCCCGAACTGTTCCTGTCGCAAAGCTTAGGTGCTAACCTTGACCTTGGAAACACAACCGTTCCAGATTGGGATAACAGCCAGTTCCTTTCTGGCAGCATTGAGCAACCGCGTATGGAGCTTATGGAGCTAGAAGATGATGACCTCAACTTAGACCTTGGTGAGGATCTTGAGCCAACCGCGGGATTTGACGATGGCACCAGCATCGAGCGTGGCCGTGATGCACCTCTAGAGCGACGCATGTCAGTGGAATATGGTACAGAAATTGACAAGGACCTCATCGAGGAAGATCTTAACTTGGATCTCGGCGACGATCTAACGGAAATGCCACCTGCGCCAGATTTCAATCTCGGTGATGACATGGATGTCACAATGGGAGAGATGCCGGATATGGAAATCACAGTTGACCCTTCGGTTGCTGGTGATGGTCCTGCCAATCTGGCTCGTGAGGAATCTCCTTTGAGCGAGCTTGGCGAGGAGGAAGCTACACGACTCGCACAGGAGGTGGCTGACGAAAGCACCACTAATTTCGCACCCGAACAGGAAGAGGAAGAGGAGGAGTCAGTCCATCAAGCGCGAGCGAAGCGGAGGAGGGTTATCGGACAAGACGCTGAGACTATGCTTTCCACCGCCACCCTCAGAGACCAACAGCAAAACCGAGACAGGATCCTCAAGGCCCCCTCCTTCCTACCGCGCGACCCGCTCCTGATGGCGCTGATTAACATGCAACGATCTGGTGGGTTTGTTTCCAACATATTCGGAGACGGTCGCAGTCAAGGCTGGGCGCCAGAGCTGCGGGGCATCCTCTCATTAGAAGTCGTCTCACGTCCCAGTCAGAAGCGAAAGCGCGATAGTGGCGTTGCGGATCTAGGTACTGAGGACGAAGAGGCCGCTGCCGCTGCAGAGAATACCCCACAGCTAGAGTTCGAGCACGACGACCCAACACTGGGTGACATGGGAGGAATCGGTGGTGATAACACATCTCTTGGAGGCTTGGACGACATCGTACAGCTCCCCGATGATCCGATCCAACAAGCGCAAGATGAGGAATTTGCCGATTCACCCATTGCGGATAATTTCGATGACACTACCGTGCCACTAGTCTACCCTGCTGAGAGTGGACCTGTGTCGTTGGAGACAAAGCACGCTGTTCATTTACTGCGAGATCGGTTTGGAGCTGAAGCTGAGCACAGCGAGACACAGCGTCAACAGAGCAGCATCGTTTTCCAAGAAATGCTTCCGGAGGCACGAACATCACGCAAGGACGCCACCAAGATGTTTTTCGAGGTCCTCGTCCTTGCGACGAAGGATGCTATCAAGGTTGAGCAACCCACAAATGACCTCGGTGGTCCTATCCGCATTCGCGCTAAGCGAGGTCTCTGGGGTGAATGGGCAGAGACAGGTGCCAGTGGAGAATTGGCTTCTCAAAATCAGACAGCTGCGCAGGCAGAAGCTGATGCGCCGGTTGGACCCGCCCTGGAAAGCTCACGACAGGTTTCTGTGTCGGCCTAAAGGTTCTTCGAAAATTTCAGTTCAGGCGTGGATTCGGTGGCATGGCTTTGGGATAGCCCCATCTGGCGGCGTTGGCTGGATACCCTTTCTTCAGATGCTTCATGACCTACATTTTGGATGTTGGGGAGGCGTATCGAGGCGTTTTCAGCTGGTTGTATTATTGTTCACACGGTAGCTGCATTGATTCAATCTATATTCATACTTTCAAGTTTATCGAAACTCAAATGTTATTTCTTGCTCTTCAAAGATTGTCTAATTTGACCAAAAATGGACCTATGTTGCAGACAGTCCAATCTGGAACATGACGTCGTGTGCAAGGATCGGAATTTCGCAAGCGAACGTTCCGATGGAAAAAATAGCCTTCACACCAGTCATCTTTCCATGCCCACACCAAGGCCCCGCAAACCAAATGTCCAGCTCGCACAGTACTTCTTCAGCCAGCCTCGCTTCCACTCTCTGGTGCAAGCCGCCACGTCGCGCCCTGCACGATTTCGTGTTACCTCGCTGAAGGCGCCGTCATCGCAAACACCGAAAATCACAACAACTGAACACGCAAGCCGCATATCTTGTTTCCATACAAGTACAAAAGCAACCATGGATACCCAAATATTAGCGGTAGATCCACAGAATTTGGGAAATATCACATTCAAGGAAGCGAAGAACGACTTCCTCGACGAGTGGGAGATTGACTATGGCGGAGGACAAGGCTATGAGAGCTTAAAGAAAGCTGCAGACGAGCTGGTCAAAACGGATGTGCCCGTAGCGTTTCCAACTGAGACAGTATATGGATTGGGTGCAGATGCGACACGCAGCTCAGCTGTGAAGTCGATATTCGCCGCCAAAGGACGACCGGCAGACAACCCTCTAATTGTGCACATCCATTCGCTGTCGCAGTTGCGCGCCTTGCTTTCCGGGCAGCTTGAAGAAGCGACTGGAGGGACAGAAACAGGATCCGACTCGATACCCACAATCTACAAGCCCTTGATCGAGCGCTTCTGGCCGGGCCCACTCACTATCATTCTACCGACACCTACGAGCTCTATACTAGCACCCGAAGTAACTGCAGGCCTCCCAACATTCGGAGCACGTATGCCACGCTCAATACTTGCGCTCTCCCTTTTGCGACTCTGTGGACGCCCACTCGCTGCGCCCTCAGCAAATGCCTCGACACGCCCGTCACCGACCGCTGCCGAACATGTCTTCGACGATCTGCAAGGAAAGATACATACAATTATAGATGGTGGGCCATGCGAAGTCGGGGTGGAGAGTACGGTGGTAGATGGCCTGTCAAGCCCTCCTGCCATCCTACGACCAGGAGGCGTTACAGTAGAACAATTACGACAGTGTCCAGGATGGGAGAACGTCACAATCGGATATAAAGACAAGCAAGAGGGAGACACTAGCAAGCCAAGAGCTCCGGGAATGAAATATAGGCACTACAGCCCGAAGGCACAGGTCGTGCTATTCGAAGCTGGGGCAGGTAGGCCAAGTGAGCAGGAGGTCAGTGAAAAGAAGACTATTGGACTTATCCGCACAAAGAGCTGGAAGCCTGCACTGGGGCTTGGAGATTCCAACACTTCACGAACGAATGGACACGCCAATGTGGTGACTCAGTCGACGAACACATCATTGGCACCTAATGGCCCTACATCGCGGATGTCGAACCTCCTTCGCTCAGTCATCCAGCACCAGATCCCGCACGCGCAACATTACAAAATGCAGTCCGGAGACATTGAGATCTGGGACATCGATCTCGGTGCAGAAACAGAGGGCGTCGCTAGAGGTTTATTCTCTGCTTTGAGAGAGCTTGACAAGAAGAGTGTCGAAGTGATCTACGTCGAAGGCATCGACGACAAAATCGACGACGACATTGCCGCGGCAGTCATGAACCGGCTACGCAAGGCTGCGGAAATCAGAGTGTGATGGACTATTCGGCTAGCTTAGTCTATTTTTCAGCCTCATTCACCTACATTTTGGAAAGCCTTCAGATCTTCCACACCGGCACTTTTTCAGCGCACCAACGAATAGGACTACTAGATACCCCAATACACAACAAAGCATTGAGATTTTACCAAAATGTTCATCCTCCTCACATCCTTTCTCTTCCTCTTCACCACTTCCGCCAAAAACCCCAATTGGGACGCAACCGTCAGCATGAAAGCAGCCGCCATGGGCTCCGTCTTTCGAGACTGCTACCTCAGAACGGACGAGATCGATTCGCTGTGTATTACAACGGTCATGACCCACACGGCGCGCCAGGAGGCTTGTACTGTCACTGTGGATTGTACGTGAACTGTCTGAGGTGTAGGAGATCGAGGCTTACGAGAGGGTAGGGACTCATCCGATGGAGATGCCGACGCCTAAGTTTAAAGTAGTGGTTGCGTGTGAACCGACGGGGTTGGTGGAGCCGTGGTGTAGGAGGAAGATTGAGGAGTGTGCGATGTGATAGAAGGTATTGATATTGGATGATTAGCTCTTTAAGAATACAAAATGTTACGATCCATCTAAGGATGCTTCGAGTCTTAAACTGAAGCAATCCTACGATAGGTGTTATTCTCTAAGTATATCTTCGCTAAGACTAATTAGACATGATTAGAACTTAGTTCTCGTCTTGTGCTTGGAGAAGACTTCGAAGGCTTTCGCGAGATAATTATCAGAGCATTGCCCTGTAGATGTGTTGCTAAACCGCGGAAAGATTTCGTTCGGCCGCCCACGCAACCTTAAGAGATAACCATTACACCAGGCTCCTCAAGGAAGGCTTTTTTGTACCTAAACTGCGTCTTTGCACGCTTAGCACTCCACGTCTTGCATAGATCCATGTCAAGGTTCTATAATGAGAAATCCCATATGCGAAGGAGGCCCATGTCAGTGCGCTGTATGTTGGGTAACAACACAAGATTCTTGAAATTGGGCATTGTACACCGAGGTACATTCGCAGGAGAATATAACACTAGGATGTCTCTCGGACACTGTGTTTTGAGTTTACATAAAACGCATGAACGTCCAACAGAGATCACTCAGATCCCAAAGCTCTCCATCCATCAGCCCATGGACGTAGCAGGCTCCTATAATTTCCCATAGATCGTTTGCAGGCCTCAAGATCATAGGTATCCTCATCCCTTGGAAAACGCAAACTCGATCTCCGACTTGTGTACCGAAGGGAGCCCAGCCAATTCTACCGAGTCTAGACACAAAAAATCTCCTTGCATGTCGGACTTTTCCCTCAGCTTCCTCAAAAGGCCCGGCCAGCGTTTGGAGTAGTCTATCATAGATTACTGAACTCATGAGGTCATCCTTCCAGCGTCTTGATATCTGCAACTTTTTCCAAAGGTACCAATACCCGAATGCAATAGCTAACGCGCCATCCGCCTGCTGATTTGGAGAGTTATAGTCGAAGCGCGGTCCACGGTTGTATAGAAGCGTTCGCCAAAATGCATCAAAAGATGGACCATCCATGATGCTTCCTGTAGCGCTTAGCGTTGGATCCGCTAGCATTCTAATCTCTGACAGCCAGTAGACCATTTCAGTCTCGTATCTAGAAACTTCCTCTAGCGCAGAAAAAAATTCCATATGATCGCTTACTGTACCTAGATCTCGCTTGGGTAGTGGTGGCCGATCTCTAGTTAGAATCTGTACTTGATCAAAGATAGCTCCTTTGATCTCTATCTCCTAAATCCTATCGATGAGTATGTGGATAATATAAATTTTATATGGTTTGAAAGTAGCTTACACTTGGGATAGTAATTTGCCAACGATTGGTCGACAATCCTGGTATTTTGTGAAACTGTTCACCCATGCGGACTTCCGGATTTGGCACGCTTCTCCACTCCTGCAGATGTAGACTGTTGTAGAATCCCGTCATCAATAAGCCGGAGCTGTGTGGTGACACTAAGTCGGGAACCCATGAGGGTATACCTAACACACGGTTCTGAGGGTTGGCGTGAAATGCCAACCATTCGATGAGGAACCTGTGTTTTCCTGGGGTACTCTCCAGAATCAGCACTTCAGTGCCATCTTCTGTGAGTCGGTAGTTCGGGATACCCAACAGAGTCATTTTACCAACAAGGCAGGCAACTTCCTTGAAAGTCTTTTTGTAATCAACAAAGGCCTTGGCGAGGCCAGTAGATACACCAAAGAGCGCAAAGAACCGGTCTCGAGGATCTGTTGCACTCATTCCAAGCTGTCTGGACAATGTATCGTATATTGGGAGGGGACCTCTTTTCCTGAACTTAAAGTAGCTCGCTGCGATGTTCCTAGCCATAAGTGCCGAAACCTGAGGGCTGCCCATAGTGACGTCGTAATTTTCATAGAGATTTTTGTGTCGTCCGATCAGCATAGCCATCCAGAGCACTACATTAGTACTCAAATCCAAGGATCCTTTCCACATGACAGACTTTTGGGCACTTAAAAGCTCTTGAATGACCCAAACACGTCCGAACCAGGAATTACTGAGGATTTTGAAGAGTGCAACCCAGGTGGGATCAAACACAGGATTGGGTACCCCTCTGGACTCGCAGTCAAAATCATGGAAGTCGTATATGCCAACATCTGCATCGTACTGATTCCCATCGCATTTTTTGTATAAATCCTGCATGAGATTCAATCCGTCAATGTCCCCGGGGTCTTGCATGCCCAACCAGATGATTACTCGATTCGCTTTGGAATATATGGTGGACATCAAGCGAACTTGACGTGTCTTCTCCTCGATGTCGTCTTGGTTGATGCAAATTTGATCGGCCCATAAGACTGTCGCGGACCTGCGGCGGCGCCTCTCAAGTAGGGCAGCGTGAAGATTGGCTCCAATCTCAAGTCTTTTGCCATTACATCTGATGGGCACTTTTTTCCTTTGATCCCCCCATACATACGAAAGTGCTTCGAATTCTACTCTTTCTAGATTGCCCTCCAGTAGTTGGATTGTCAGGGTACTTGGCTCAGGATCCAGTATCACTTTCAAGAGTCGAATACTTGTCTTCTGCAGCGCTTTGTCATACGTAAAGGCAACCTCGCCTGCATTACCGGTGTAGCTTGACATAGCCGCGAAAGCGCATAAGTGGAATGTCTGTAAGTATTTCACATCGCTTTATGTAACCTCAAGAAGCATTACCTAGGGGTGATCTTATACGACCGTATCGATCAAACCTTTCCGGTCAAGGTGTTGACTGGATTCCTTCACCGGTAAGTAGGATGCAGGAATATGCGTCAGTGTGGGGCTGCATGATGAAGGATTGTAGGACAAAGACTTTGGACGGGAAAACAGAATGTACACGATGACAATTGCCTCTACACGCGAGAAATTTTTGGCTGAATAAAAAATGATGAAATATTAGGTTGTGAATAGGGTGAACTATCTGAAGGCGCCGTGAAGTGAACAAAGACTATCGGTGATTTTGATTCATTAAAGTCATTGATGCACTGCGCCTCTTGCGTCCCTGCACCCCCCACTTCGGTACCGACAAGATATCCGCTTCATGCGAATTAAACCTAAACGAGACGGAGAATGCATTGAAATGACTTTCAAAGCTTTCGGAATGATTCAGACGTGCAGTTCACTGCCCTTTCTTATGTCTGGGGTAGCCTAATGCCGCAATGAACGCGATGTACCAACCAAATATAATCTCTGGGGAGTCTTACCACCGCTGCAAGAACAGGGGTAGCATGGTCTACTGTGGGCAGACCAGGCTAAGTGGGGGATGTGGCGGGGGTAGCTGCACACCTTTTGTTGCACAGCGAAAAAATGATAGGTCACAAATTGTCTAGACAGTCAGGCAGCTACAAACAACGACTATTGGATCTCTGCCGCATGAGAAACATTGTCGCCCTTCCAACCATTCCAACGAAGTGCCATTGAGCAGATGCCTTGCATTAGTCCTTAAAGTCGTATGTTTCCCCCTCTTTTGACAGCAAACAATTCTCAAGTGTACCCTCTCCCCAACTTACCTTTGTTCCCGTGCCTATATTGTGTTGGGGCGAATAGGTTTGCTCGAGCAATTGGCAGCTTTGCGCTCGCGACGTTACGTCTAGCGTCTAGCTAGGAATAATGAGATGCGTAATCTCAGTTGCCAGAAATGATCAGCGCGTAATCGCTCATAAGCTGAGAAGAAAAGCAAGTAGAAACCGGTCAACATCCTAGCAATCAGCCTTGCGACTAGTTTGCCCGTAACTCACAGCCTGATGTAAAGCACCAGCGTTTAACTTTCTACCATTGGGCCTCGCATACCAAATCTTCACCAAAACTCCTTAAGATCGATGCCTGGAAGAATCCTGAACGGCTCCCCGCTCATCTTCCTCGTCTCGCTCAATTGATCTGCATGCGCGAGTGTCATAGGTTCAAATGCCAGAACATTCAGCTGATCAGGCTGCGGCGCCTTCCTTTTCACCAACAACAATATCCGACACTCAACCAAAACGTGAGTAGGAACGAACGGCTTTCTATGCTGTAGATCTCATAGCTAAGAAAATATACATGCCCAGCTATCACGACCCTGTGCGATCCTACGTGTGATGCATTCATCCCTGACCAGCAAATCGAAGTGGCAAACCGCGATACCTTACCGTTCCGCCATGAAAAAATAATTGGTCTGGGTAGCAGCGCCTTGATCGAAATGGTTTCCCATAAATTCACAAATGAACGATTCGCACTCAAAACCTTCCGACGTTACAATGCTCGACAATTCGCAAGCTATAAACGCGCATTTCAGAATGAGGTCAGCATCATGAGACGTCTTGTCTCGCATACGCATATAATCAAATTTCGGGGATCATACATATGCGACCGCGAATTAGGTATATTCATGAGTCCTGTGGCCAGTGATGGCGATTTGGCGGCGTATCTTGCAAGGGTATTTGAGTGTGGAATGACGGATGATCAGGCCGTTATCTTGAATCGCGCATTCGGATGTCTGACGAGTGGTCTTGCATACATACACAAGCACACTATCAGGCATAAAGATATCAAACCGCAAAACATTTTGATTCACGATGGGCGCGTTATTTACACGGACTTTGGTATATCTTTTGATGCAGATCAACAAGATACTACTACGATCGGCTACACATATGCTTTCACGCGGCGCTATTGCGCTCCAGAGGTACACGATTATGCCAGCCGCAACCGGAAGTCGGACGTCTACTCCTTGGGCTGTGTTTTTGTGGAGATACTAGATGCGCTGGAACCGGATATTGGGCTTAGGTCTGGGGACGGACTCCCTTACTTCGAAAAACTTGATCAAGTCAGGCAACAACTACTCCAGGCCAGTGTGACTAGAAGGGCGAGGAAAGACTTGCTTAGTATCTGCTATGATATGCTGGAGCCTAGCCTAGCCGATCGCATCGATACTAGCAGCGTTCTTTGCCGGATGTACAGATTTGGTGATCGTAAGGATAACCCCAAAGTTGGGCTTTTCTGCGAGGATTGTTCCGTTAAAGTCGATTGTAAAGATACGGTGACGCAGGAAGAGCTGGTGGATGACTGCACTGAACTCTCACTTGATGCAAATCCGACCGCCGATATTGTGATTTCGGCAGCAGAGATCGGAAGCGCGACAAAGGAACCCACTAAGAAACACAAGAACAAGGGAACGATCTCAAGCACAGAGTCGAGAGAAGGAAACGAACCTACGATTCTTCAAAATAATTTCAGTTTCAGAACCCCACGATACTACTGCACCGCTTGCGGCGAGCTTGGCCACAACTCCTCTAGATGTCCAAACGAATGCTGGGCGTGCGGTGAGATTTACCACAAATCTGTCGATTGTCCAAACAAGTGCTGGACCTGCGACTCTGTCGGGCACTACGCGCGCAACTGCCCGAATGTATGTGATGCTTGCGGAAAGATAGGCCATCCGACGGATGACTGTCCGAACAGGTGTTGGACTTGTGGTGAAGTGGGCCATTTTGCGAGAGATTGTCAGGACGAGTGTTTTGTTTGTGGTAGGTTAGGCCATGGGACGCAGAAGTGTAGGGGAAAGTGCCACAAGTGTGGGAAGATAGGGCATTGGAAGAGGAATTGTCATGAAGCATGTGGTGAATGTGAGGCTTTTCGTTACTGTGGCGCGACCTTGCTAACCATAGCACTCCCAGGTGGTGACCTTGAGCATGGGGAAACCCAATGCCCTAACAAGAAGACGAAGAAGGAGAAGGAAGGGAGGTGCGAAGATGTGTGTTGTGGTTGTAAGTTTTTTTCTTTCTCTTCATGCTTCGATAACCATGCTGATCACTCCCGAAAGTCGGCGACCCTGGTCACTGGGCGGCTCAATGTCCCAAGAAGCGATGGGAGTGGCGACCGATATTCGATCAAGTACCTCAGGGGCAATATCGACTAAATTCTCGCTATCAGGACTGAAAGCCTGAGTCTTTTCTCTGCCCAGATCAGTGTCTTCTACTCTATCTATAGAAACTAATACTAAGCCTTTACTATCTCTAGTAGAGATCTTAGCAGAATTGTTATTAACAAAGTCTGTTTTAAACAGCAGTTAATTAGTACAGATAACAGCTACGTCAGGCTGGCACTATCAAACACGAAAGTTAGGGATGAAATTTTCCTGCTTGAGGATATTTCTATCCTTATCGTCGTTCGTAAGCGTGATCGCAGGTTCACATTCGTTGGATAGGGCTATCTGGGCAATCATCTGTACGAGAACGCGGACATTCCCAAGGATTGGCAGACTACTTGAGTTTAGTCATGTCACGATGGTCCGGAATCATGACTAAGACCTACACACCCAAAGAGTTTTATCCTTTGTTTACGAAATTGCTTGGTACAGGCTCCTGGCACAGCGAAACTGTACATAAGAAGAAGAAAGCCCATATAAAACTCCACCGTCTGGGAGATATCCATGGTGGCAACAGAGTGATAGTCGCGTGGGGTCGATGAGCCTGACTGGCGTGAGTCGTCCCACATAGTTAGACTTGTGCCGGCTCTTTCTTATTCGCCGATCAATAAAGTCCATCACCTCGGCAAAAAGGCGATCCGTACCGTTGAGCCACCATTGAGCCCCTTTGATTACGGCCGCATAGTTCTTGCAGTGTACTCTGTTAGAAACCTGGTTTGCCTTCGCAACTGTCGATTTACATCTCTCCTGAGGATGGCAAGAGAGTCAAGGTTTCCCTTAAACGTGAAACCTCACTATCACGTACAAGCCACTATGTCACACTCTGGGTATGTCCTGATTTCTTGAGATGTCGAAAGCGCGCGTCATTCCATTCAAATTCGACACCTAATCTTATCCGTCAACTCTTCTGAATCCGTTCTACTTATAGCTTGCCCAATATGACTTCCGCTATTGACGCTGAACTCGGATTGTACCATGATGCGGCCCATCGACGGGTTCATCGAGTGACCCCTCTGCTGATCTATTGGCTCGCTCATCGGTGCTCCCGCGAAAGCCAACGGCGCGACATCATCATCCGGCCTGAAATGGCGACCCAGAGATCTCTCAAAGTGGCTCAACGTCGGGCTGTTGACGCTGCTTGGCCCGTCTTTCATATCGGCCCCGATTCCCATCTCATACTCGTCTAATCGCATAAAATCTTCTTTGTCAATATGACTTCGGGCCAAAGAGCTCAAGATGTGAGAATGCGAGTCTTTCCGGCTGGCCTTTCTACTGCTATTCTTGGTCTCGTCTTCGTAGTAACTGGTAGCGGTGACTGGTTTGGGGAAGAGGCGATCGCTGATAGAGCGTTGGAGCGAGCGGATCGCAGGCAAGGCGGCGACCATGACGCCGACATGCGATTCGACAGCTGACCAATATCCGATAGGCAGGTAGTCCCAGGTAACATTGTCCGTGTGGGCGAATTGGACGAGGTATTTCAAGCGCAGTATACTGACAACGGTAATACTAGACTTAGATCAGCGAAGCACTTCAAGCTATGGAAGTGAACTTACAATAGACCACCGAGGAACATAAACATGACGCCTGCTTTGCGGCGCTTACTGATTGCGAGTTTCTTGATTTCCTTCATGGGAAGTATTATGACGATCAAGTCAAGGACAATGTTGGCGGCGGCAGAACACCATGCATCGGCGTTTAGATTGATGCATCTTCCGTGGTGCTCACCATCCCAACGCTCCCAGGCCAACCGAATCGGTATACATTGAAGGGCAGTCGCAGTAACAAACGTGATGATGTAAACTACGCAGAGCCCGATCGTAACCCAGATAGCTTTTCGGAGCCCTGTCTGGGGGAAAATGCGGAGGTAGAAGAGCAAGATCGAGATCTTGGTCAGTGCGACTGATGCGAGGTAGAGAAGCTCTGTGTAGTAGAATATCTGTGTTCAAGCATTGTTAGCCCAGGGTTCCTATTCATCGTGGAGTTAAGTTTGCATACCTCGAGGATTTTAGTGATATTATCGAAGGGCACTAGCCACATGTCTTGTCCCATGCCGATTTGGTTCACTGACATCATTAGTGGAAGAGTCGGAATAACGAACACATCCACGACCTACAGATATATGCACAGATCGTGAGAGGAATGATAAGCACCTGTTCCTTGTTAGCCTTCGAACAACTTCAGCTTTTGCTCTCGGTATTTACCATAGCAATTGTCATGACCCAGTCGTCGAGACCCCAGTTGCCACCGAAGTAGGGTAGGCGTGCAATTACTCGAAGGAGGAAAAACAAGACCGCCGCCCCTCCGACCACGAGAGAAGTGTATGTTCCAAGCGCTGTATCGTTACGAACAGGCGCACCCATGATTTCAGCAAGGAACTTCTTGGCAGCTATTGATATCAGCAAATCAGTCAGTGAGATCGCCATAATCAAAATGCTTACTGAGCGATTCTTTGATTGTGCAGCTTGCCCTGACACATGATGTCAACTCCTCAAGAAGCAAGTTGTTGTTCTTGATGCAACCGATCTCTGTGAGCTGGCAAGATGATGCGCCAACTACTGACAGTGTGCATTTGAGCTAAAGACATATTAGTCAAACACTTCCTTGATTTATAAGATGCTATACGTACTGCGCATGGTGGAAGCTCCTTTATTGCGAGTTGCAAGACATCAGAACCATTCTGACTCTGCGCACAAGAGACTAGCGCAAAGACGAAGAACAGCGGTGCCGCCAAGAACTTCATGTCTCAATGTGTGTAAGCTCAATTCCAGAGCTTATTCATGCGGATATGTAGAGACAGAAGCCTTGCTATCTGTGCGCAGTGATTTTATCGTGTCCGCGGAGGGAGAAGCAGAAGCAGGACGAGCTGCACATTTGACCACAACGGTGATGACAGGAACTGGGCTAGAATTAAGGGTTGGAGGACAGCTGCCGTACGTTAGGATATAACATTTGAGTCCTAAACCCCCCGAGTCAAGGTATGGCGTTAGCTTGATCTGCCTTCAAGACTACACTCGGGCTCGTTCGGCGGTTCTTGAAACCGGATCCAAGTGATGATTCCCCATCACGCATCTCCATCTGCGTGCATGAGTCCGGTTGGGTAATAGTCGATTTTGCCCTAGATCGCCACTGTGATCTCGAGCGTTGGACAAAAGCTTCATATTTTCCATGGCGTTCGTTGAGGACCTAGGTGTGTTTCATAGCTACATGTGCGCAGGGACCATGTGATGTGTACGTCTGAATGGCTGCCGATCTCGGAAAGTTTCTCCATGTGAAGCACAGTACATGTGAGCTTGGCTTGGAAGACATTTAGGAATATATTCCTACACAGAGGATTGGTGTTTTGCGGTGTTGCTTGTTGGGCACCACGAGGCCGATGTGATGATCCCCCCTCTTTCAAGCAGTCATGACAGAGTAGTCGACTAGAATGATTGTCAGGGTTCCCTTACTACGTGCGACGGCTCTAGTTCGGAGCGAAGTCGTTCCTTAGGAACCGTTGTATAAACTCGTGGCAGAAGCCAGGATCGACCGCTAGGATGGTAGAACATTACCATGTGAGAAACGACCAATCCGATCAGATCGGAGGAGCGACATCCCGTCCAGAAAAGAAGCGAAGCAGCCTTACTTCCGATACTTAAAGTTTTGGTCCATGTAGATCTATACTAGCAGGTGATTCAAAGCGAATCTGGAAACACTGGCGTGCTGTGAAAAGCCGCCAACGAACGAACGCTAGACATCTCTCCACCTCGGGAAAGATTGGCGAGTCTACGAAAAACGCACCGACGTAGGGCTGCCGGCTGCTACTCCGACGTAAGCACCGCGTCTACTAAGCATTCGCTCATTCTAGGTTCAGTTTTCAATAAATAAACGGGCCGCAATCACGACGAAGTGACGCATACGCTTGGCGCACGAAGCAAACGTATCATATTGAACTACGACAGGGCTTTCCAACCCATAACCCTAATCTACTCCATCGCTACCAAGAGCCGGTATCTAAGACAAAGTGTAGTGAAACACATACATCTAGGAAATGAAACAAGGAATACAGACCACCTGTGTTGTCTATTTCACACAAGCAACCATTAGCCTTTCGTAGTCGCCCTTCGTCTCGCCTTCTATTCGCTTGACGAGGTCCTTCTTAACGACCCTCTTGAATTCCTGGCTGACGGCATTCATGAACTGTGGATTCCAGTGGCAACGAACAACCCGCTGCACAAGCAGATTGTCCTTCGTACCCAGGCCTGCCATCGCTTCTTCGAGACGAACAGCCTCAGCCTCAGCGCGGTTCATGCCGCGTGCGATCAGGAGCCTGAGTGCGTCTTCCATGTGTCCCGAGAATGCCGACTTGATCTGCTGGTCCAGGCTCTTGTGGTAGCGCTGCTGGTAAGCTTGCGCTATGGCCTTAATCTGCGCATCGTTCTTGTGGATCAAGATTTCACAGATTCGCGCAGTGTTCTTACTGGCGAAACCGCCCATGCCATTTTGGAGCTCTGTTACAGCTTGGTCGATCTCCTGGGGAATAACAGGATGCGAATCTTCGTTACGTCTCGCGGCAACGATCATCATGTACATTTGCTCGGTAGCGGCGCTGAGATCGCCCTTGAGATCTGCCTCGAGCGTTCGTTTATGGAGTTGCTGGTACTTCTCCTTGATGGCGTTCATGTCGGCATTACTGCGGCCGATAAGTATGTCGTCCAAGATAACCTCCTTAGTGCCCACGCCCTTCATCGCCTCCATGAGATTGTAGCAATCCGACACCAATGGTCCGCGAGCAATCTCTACCAGACCTTTCTCGAAGTATCCGCTAGTCTCCTTTTGTAGATCTGTGATCAGATTTCGCATCAATCGCTGGTCATATTGTGTGCGAATAGCCTCCATCTGTAGAGGGTCCTTCTTCGCCATGGTAGCAATCAAGACCTTCTCATTGGTTCCGAAGCCTTTCATAGCTCCCCGTATAGCTTCAACATCTTTGCTGACATCGATATTGGCTACCCGTTGCGGACCGTATCCTAGAGATGCTTGGGTTGGTGGGCCACCAAATCCGCCGCCAGGAGGAGGCGCTCCGTATTGACCTGGAGGTGGAGCACCGTACTGCCCCTGTGGCGGTGGTGCACCATATTGACCTGGGTGGTGGTGCGCCATACTGTCCCTGTGGTGGGTGGTGCGCCGTACTGTCCTTTGCGGGTGGTGGGTGCGCCATATTGCCCCTTGTGGGAGGGCGGCGGCGCGCCGTATTGACCTGGTGGGCCGGTGCGCCGTACTGGCCCTGTGGAGGTGGCGCTCCATACTGACCTGGAGGTGGCGCACCGTATTGGCCGGGTGGAGGAGCTCATATTGTCCCTGCGGAG